TTTAATCTGAATCACGATTTCGGTTGCCGCGATTAAGTTAACTTGATTGTGTGCAGTTATTCAAATTAAAATGAGGGCTCTGCTGCAGATCTAATCGAGCCCTTTCTCAACTAGTAGACAGCCGGCCACTGGGGGAAAACGCAAGGCTACACTGGAGAAAAAAACCCAAAGTACTTGAATTTTGATGAAAATGTGGTAAACAAATACATACGGTTTATACGGCATATTTTTGAGGAAAATTACATCTGTTTGCCACAAATAAATACAAAGGGCTATTTTTTTTCCAGTATGAAGCCTCATTAAGCTGCCTAAATAAAAGGTGAGCGAGCAATACAAGGGGAACGTTTTTTTTTTTTTGCAAAGTCCCATGTAGAGACGATTTTAAAACAAGCCCCATTCACAGAGAGCTGCATGAATGCTCAGTCATTTGCATAACACAGCTGTTATCCAAAATAATATTCTTAATACATTTGTTTTTCAGTTGAGAAGCAAAGTTTTAGACCTGTTCTGAACACTGCAAAATTCCTGTAGTCATTTAGATGTGCAGCCAAAACCTCACAGTTGGGGCCATAAACGGCCCCTCAGGCCTTAGAGTAATGAATATAGTGAGTTCGGCTTGAACTCTACCGGCACATGCATTCATGAGGAATAAAAAGAATGAAACGATCGCCTTACCAGATGAATGGGCACTAACGTATCCACAGTTGTGCCATATATACAATATTTACAGTACTGAACAGTATGTACATAAACAGTGCATTTCTCTTCTGCTTTCATAGGATGCTCCAAAGATGTACGCACGAAAAGACATTCCGCGTCTTGTAATTTTTCAAGGCACAATAAAAAGACAATAGGCCATCATGTTCTTGATCAATGTGTCTGATGTTGTCTTCTCTAATTGGGGCTTCCAATGAAATGGCCAATTAAAAAGGGCTGCGTTGCTTTGTTAATCAAGCAGTGACTCGGGGGAACATTTGGCTGTCAGTTAATTATGCGGCATTCTCCCACTGTCTTTTGGCCACGCGTACTGTGAGACTAGGAAGCTGTTATTGTGCCGCGCTTCCCTTTTTTGTATTTGTATAACAGAAAGAACGGGCATGTGTTTTGTTGCCGCCGCCTCATGCAAACTCTCAGAGTGTGGGAGTTGGTTGTTAAAGCAGAGATGCAAGAGCAGATAATACAAGCTCTCTGGATTTGGCTGTGGTGACATGAAAGGTAGAAATAATTGTGTGCTTGTTTGTTTGTTTGTTTGTTTGTTTTTGTTCCACCAACATGAGTATGACGACATATATTTGGACGATTGATGTTTTCATCTTTACTCCGGGACTGAGGATCATCATGAGGGCACCTTGAAAAGCCAATGTGCATGAATGTCATTTTCTGTTACGTTTCAATAATCACAACTCAAATTCCCACCATTGTGTACGGTTTGATACAGAATGTTGGTGAACATTAGACCCCCCCCCCAAAAAAAGTAATACAAATAGAAAGCTATTTAAAAGCAAAATCCCATTATTAGTGCATGTTTGATGTTTTCGGTAAATTTGAATTGGTAGTTTCATTGCACTAAATTACATTGTGGAATGATTAAAAATAAGTGAAACATTAATACTTACACAAAAGTGAACCCGTATACTTTATTCTCCGCACTACAAGGCGCTGAGGAGTATAAGGCGCACCTTCAATGAATGACCTATTTTAAAAATGTTTTCATATATAGGGTGCACCGCATTATAGGACGCTAAGAACAGAAGCTACAATAGTGGCTGCGGTTGCGTTATGCATCCACTAGATGGAGCTACACTAAACGGAATACAATACAATACAATGCAGCTTTACTTATATAGAGCTTTCACAACGACTGCAGTTGTAACAAAGCACTTTATAGAACATTTGAAATACTACGTCCAAGAAATCTGAATCTTGATCCATATATAAAGTGCATCGGATTATAAGGCGCACCGTCAGGTTTTGAGAAAATGGAATGCATTTAGGTGCGGAAAAAATACAGTAATACTTAAGATAAGTGAATCCGTGTACATTATTTTTAATACTTACAGATAAGTGAATCCATGCATTTTATTTTTAATATATTCCAGATAATTGGATCCGTGTACATTATTTACAGACAAGTGAATCCGTGTTCTTTACAAAAACGCACACGATTCTTCTACTTGTCAACACTGCTCTTTACGCTAACACCGGATGAGATCCGTCTCCCCTTTTCCATCATAAAAAATATTGGCTTTTAACAGCGACATTAAAGCACACGGGAGCTCAAGGCCATGTCGACATTGTGTAAAAGCCAAAAGACATTGGGTGCGCAGTGTGTGGATTCCCACGGCAAAAACAACTATCGCTTCATGTGGGAGTGAGCAAATACTTAACATTTGTGTGGCATAAAAGGAACCATAGCAACGCTCGCTGAAATAATAAAATATTGAAACGTCTGTGGAACATAAATGTGAATTCTTGCTACGTCTGTCTCCTGCTAATTGAGTTGCTACCAAGAATGTTAGCACTCTGGAGAATAATTTGTCAGTGCAAAACATCGAATGGACCAATTTATTGGTTGCTGCAGGCTGTGGAGTTCCAACGGTCTTTGATCAACCTTTTTTAGGTCAGTAACTCTCGAAATACAGAGAGAAAAATTGCACAGCAGAGAAAATATTTCATCTTTTTAAAAGACGAGGAAGTATTTTTGTAGTTAACGCTCCAGCTATAATGCTGGATTAATTCTTTTTGAAGGCTTGAAGCCAGAGTAGGAAAATAACAGCTCCGGTGCACAATATTTATTGTTTTGTGCGGATTGCAAACTTAAACATTTAACATGAAAAAGTGACAGACAGAGTAATTATAAGTTTTGCTTTGTCTCATCACTCACGAGGCGGAAGCAGCTTGTGCTGACAGTTACCGGGAGGCTCAGTCGCACTGTCAATTAAAATAAGCCTTCAAATGCTCGTGTTGGCAGAGGTGTTGATCAATCTTTGATTTGGAATCATTTCTGGCTTTTGATGATGTGACAGCTGTGCAAAACATGTTGTTTGATAGCGAAGACATACGTGCAAGTGAAGTTCTGTCTCAAAACTACACAAAGCCGATTTAGGTGCTCGTCTTTGTCCTTAACGTGAACTTGTTGAAGCAAATGAAGCACTGAATGCTGCTTTTCTCATTCAAAATCAGGATGCATTTTTGTCTGACGAGAGTCACTGACTGATACAATGAAAGCTAATTGCAAATATCGCTCGCAATATAGATTTCTAATGGTCCGTGGTGCAACAACGTCACACATTAATTTTGTACTCTCGTGTCAACTAATAGCACAAACTTATGTCTGTCCTCTGATTTATTTTACATTTTTGTCTTTGTGCAACGATACGCTCATTTGTTGACATTTGCGAGTCAACACATTGAGCGGCCATTACAAACCTGTTCCACTTCCAAAGCTCGCTTTTTAAATCTCTTGCCATGGCATCGTGGTTACCAGAAAGAAAACAACCGCCCTTTTTTTCCCCCACGTTAGAGCTGCCCCCTGGTCAATCTAGTAGGGGCTAAAAACATCATGTCATGTTAAAATGGTTCGAACTTCATTACAACAGGCTTGTATCTAACTATATTGTAATATGACCTTCCGCTTGTTAAGCCGATTTAAACTAGCCTATGCTGATGACTGCCTCCCATTCATTTAACCTACAAATGGCCGCGGACGACAATTATGCAGGCAGTAAAAGGAAATAGTGAGGGGTACATTTAAAAAAAAAAATGCTGAATAGGTTCAATTGATGTAGGCATGGTAGTAGAGAGAACTCGGGGAGGCTTATCATCCTGTGTGCTTTCGAATATGCTGCCTCATCACAAGCAGCCTACATTTGCTTTGCTTGACTGTGCCGACGTTAATCTAACTGAACGCTTGTTTTATTGGCTTTTACATAGACGGAGATTCTTGTCAAATAACATAACATGGTCTCTTAAGAGATGTGTTGCTCCAAAAAAACAAACCGTGTTTAATTAAAAATCCAATCACAGAGCTTTTTTCTTTTTTTTTCTCCCCTCTCCCTGAAACACATCTAGTAAAACCCCTCGTGGCGTATCAAACCGAGAAAGTGTGAGCCAACAGATCTAATAAACTCACGCGTGTTTGCTCGGAATATGTCAACACTCCATAACGACGACGTGCCGCAATTTCATTTATGCTCAAAACATTTCATTGAGACCCTCAAGAAGAGATATGAGCTTGCGCGGCACGTCGCGTCGCTATGGCTCCCTGCATGTACACCATCTCAGAGGACCTTTCGTTTGCGACACAAAAGTCTGTTCCTTCGCTGCGAGGTTAAAGTGTGGGTGACAGTTGAGGAAAATCACTGCTGAATGCATTAATTAGTTAGACCTAAAAGCATATTTATCAAAGGCTAAGCCACACGGGAATGATCCCGGGAAGGATCTAGTACAAACGAGACAGGTTAATAGAATAAAAGGCCTTGAATAGAATGTGTGCTTATACATAAAATATCCACCTGATCTCACGTATAAACGAATCATTAGGACGTCACGATTAAATGTGATGGCAAGCCGCTGACTGCTTAGTGCTTGCGGTGACCTTCATCCGGTCATCTTATGTTCACTCTGATTAAAATGTCAACGCCTCGGACTTAACTTCAAAAATTCCACATGAAATGAAACAATATTTGCTCAGAGTGAAAAGCGCCTGGCACACATTTCAACTTGTCTCGATCAAGTACCGATGTTGAACAATCGCTTTGACGTGAAAGTAGGGCTGAATTATTTTGAAAAATTATCTAATTGCAATATAGAGGAAAAATCCTTTACACAGCAATTGCAATTTAAAATGTAAATACTTTTTCAAGGTCCTCCCATGTATTTGGGAAACACAAGCAATATATTAATCTGTATCACAATAAACAATATCAGAATTATGATAAACAAATGTTTTGATCTTATAGGTCAGGTTGAGGCACAAATAAAGGCAAATTCAGCACAAATTAATGTCAAAGATATTTTATTTTTCAACTTCCATAAGAGTACTCATCTTAGTCAGCACATCGACTTCCTGTCTTTTCCATATTCACAACGTCACAAAACCATGCCAAACAAATGTGGCGTAAACATAAGTCTGCAAGTCACAATTGTGCTCTGCATCTCCGACTGAATCGCCGAACTTTCGTCAATCACAAGTGAATATTGAAGAGGGTGGTGTGGTCTATTGTCCCGCCGCGCGATGAACGATGGCCCTTCAGTTGGCGAGCGAAACAGACAACGCTGATTGAGGGAGCTTAGCTTTTTACGGTGAAGCCATGGAATTGTTAACGGGATGTGATAGCTCGCGTCCGCCGAGCTGAGCGGGGAAATAAAGCTGTTGGGATCGGGCTGTTTTCCCATCATTCACAGGGGTAATGATGTCTGTCTGGCCCAGAAGTAAGTAATGGTCCGCCTACAGGTTAGCGACCAGGACATAGCGTCGCCCACATAGTTGAACTCGGATCAGCGAGCAAGGGTAACTGCTATATCTTAATGCAATGAATAAGCTATTCGATAAAGATTAGAATGTATTGCAAATCCAGAGCTTCGTGAAGTTTATTTGAGGGAAAACGGGGTCCAAATTTCAAGCTCTGGAGTTCTGAGGTTGTTCATTATGCTCCAGTAATGACATAGCTGGGGACCAACATGGCTGCAAAGCGAAAAACTCTTAAAACATCCCCTGTGTCCTAATAAAATAGCTTTATTAGCGCACACGGGTATGGCTACGTACTATAAACGATATTCTTAGGATAACAACGGAGGTAAGAGCATGTTGGGGGGGACACAGTCAAATATCAAGCCGCACTCAATTATCTTTAGCGGGATAATTAATCAGTTCAGTATGCAGACGGAGTCTCAGAGGCATATTTGAGCTAATTGTTCTTGTTGACTTGATGGATTATTTGTTTGCTGATTTAATTATTTTCACATTTGGAAAACAAATGACTGTGCGCTCATAAAAAGCAGTGGAGGACATATATTTGTTTCTTAATTTCTTGTGACGGGAAGTGAAATTCACAAAGTGCGTGGATGTTGTGATACATTCTAATGCGGAATGTCTCTGGAGAAAAGAACACCAGCCATGTTTGCAATTTATGTCATCATGCGTTCTCTTTTTCCCGCCAACCCTAAACCGCAGCCCGCAGGAGGTCAATGAAACGCGTGTGCCTTGTAACAGCCGGCACACGCGACACTGAATCCATGGCTAATATTTCTCAGCTCTGAGGTCAGCCCTGGGTTACAGACGCTCTGGCCTGGTATGACTGGCATTCGGAAAACAATCATCCCAGTCCTCACGGCTACTGCCGCACAAATCAGAGGGCTGTTTCAATGGCGTTTGCTTCTATTTATCATGCTGTTTTAAATGTTTTGCTCATTTATTTCCTTTAAATATTTCATTTTCCTTAAAATATTCATTTAACTTGGCCTGTAAATTTTTTACCGCTCCTCCCCGCCCAGCTATCTTGTCTCCTTTTTAGGCCTCTACAATCATAAATAATTATTCATCTACCCAGAAAGAAGATCACATAAAACATGCACATGAATCCTTTTTTTGTCTTTTCTCATTAGTGATGTACTTCGAGTTGCCTAAATACTTCCCCGCTACCGCATTTATGGAAATTGGTTGGAGACTCTTCCTAATGACTACTTTGGTTACGCCGTCCACCTCAGATCCTGGCGTTCCTTTCCTCTTTTCAACATGAAACGAAGGGCGACGTAGCGCTGCAGCATTTGCATACGGCTCTGGAGTTCTTCCATTATTTTTTTCAAAAAGGGGAACCAGTCACATCCTGCAGTTGACTGTTTCGCTTTATTATTCAAACCAACTGGTACCCTTAAGTGGAATCACATGCAATAAAAAGCTCTCTCTTGCAAGCAATTGTATTTTTAACGTATAAGGACAGGAGCAATGTTAAATAAGGATGATTCTAGCTTGCAATCATTTATTATTTATTATTATTATTTCACTAGGCATAATACATTTGCTCAAATAATGGCTTCACTCTAAAAGACACAATGCCCCAATTAATAACTGCATGCATCATTCACTTGAATAAATAAATGCAGCACCTCAAATAGACATCTCCTTTTGTGACCCTCAAGAAATAAAATGGGTGGTGCGTTGGGTGGGTGAAATTACCTTTTCTCTGACATGACATCTGTAAAGCTGAAGTTTACGGTAGCCAAAGAGAAATTCCAGCAGTAGGCAGTCCAGAGCATTCTGGAGCAAATTCGGCCCAAAGAGATTCCTTACCCAAAAGATGGCTGGTACACTCTGTAGATAAATAAATCGGGAGGTGAGTATAGGGAATGTGCAAATACAACAACAATCATATTTGACTGTGACATTGCAAAGAAAAAATGACAGAAAATGTATTGGAATTATTATTGTTGATGCACTATTACCAATTATTGAGCAACCAGACCTTTTTCTGTCTTTTCCTGTATTGTAAAGATTCATTTGTACAAACAAAGAGGCCTGGTACTCTTTGCCGTCGAATAAACATGGGTGATGAAGGACTATAGCCATTATATTGACTGATTATGAGAAAATAAGATAATACCACGCTAAACATACCATCTTATCCGAGAATGTATGAGCAAATGATATATTGAGTGCTTCACGTTACACGGCTACAGCCTAGTGAGCAGATTTATCCTAGATAAAGAGGAAAGATTTGTCTTCATTTGTAAAGTAATTGTGCCACGACTCATTAGCAACCAGCACCACGGCGGATGAGAAGCATAAACTCTAAATTTGACTGGATTATCCGTTTGTGATGAGGCCTAATGATCCAACAGAGTAAATAGCAACGTGCTAATTAGAAATTACACCAGATGATCCCATGCACACGTAGAAGGAATTAACCTGAAATCTGCATTATGTGAGAGATATCTCTTTTTAACAGTAAGATCCGGTGGTATGATATTTTTCAAATAAATAAATGGGAATAATGTCATTGACAAAGGAAAAAAAGTTTGATTCTATGAAGTTATTAATCGTTCTTGTTAATTCAAATGAAATAGCAAGACTTGAGCCTTTAAGTGTATATTTGCCTCCACCTAGAGGAAGAATTTAGTCAGTGACTCAGAACAAAAATCTGACAAACCCACCTGGGGACATGTACCCATTGACGTATTAAATTACATATTAAAATACAAATGTGGCATTAAAATATATCAATCAGTGCGAGTTCAAACGCAATGTCTGTAAGTGTGATTAAATATTTTATCCAAAGTCACCAGGAGAAGCGTCTAACTAATCACAGTTTATTTACAGTACATTACATATTAATGTCTTAAGTATGAATTCACCGAAAAAATTATCACTGTAGTCGATTGCATACTGGGAGCAGTACACCTAGTGTTAATTGGTATTTAGTTTTAGTTAAGATTTGGATGTTTTTTAGGGTGACTAAATCATTCACTAATTTAGCAAATAATTGAGTGTAGTGATGTTTTGTTGACTGTGATAATGACAGTCGAGAGTATTGATACAAACCTGTAAAGCTAGTGGACAGACGGTTGCGACCCTGTCAGCAACGTTAGCAAACAGCGGGTAAAGTTAGCCAGCACGCGGCGAGTTAGTCAAATTCGTCGCGAAATATAAAATAAAAATAATAAGAATATATGGAGGCTTAACGGCGAGTGTAACTACCAGTTAGTGGTGTAAATAAATGGCCACTACAGCAAAATGCCGGTGAGTCACTGTGGGGAAAAAAATAAAAAGTGAACTCGCAACAACTAGTTCCGTAAATCGAGATGGTGAGATTGTAGCTGTTATTCGAGGCAACGACTGTTGGTGCCACTTTTACGATCATTTAGGTTTGGTAAAACCATCAGACAGTGGTTAGCTATAAACGTAACAATCGTAATTATGGACGTGGCGCCTCGGTAGACGCAGCTTTCTCGCGGCCGGCGACTGCGCGGTTGCCATTTATTTATCGCGGACAGTTTACAACGTCAGCGTCGACGTAGCATCCTTACATACGTCAGTTACGTATGCTTGGTGACTTGGACGGGAAGGAAGGAAGGAAGGAAACCGACAAGTGGGCACACTGACTGCGCACCGCAGCCCGAGAAAAGCTTCGGCTCCTTACATGATCTCTTTCGGTGAAACATTTGGAGTTTCGGGGAGCTATTTCTGCACCCGCCGTGACGTTCGACACGGTTAATTTAAGAAGATATGTAGCGAGTCGGTAAGTAGCTTGTTGTCACCGACAACGAAGCGAGCTGCTCCGCGTGCTAAAGCTAACACGCTAACATCTACACTTCGGAAGGAGTTGTGTCATATTTCGGGTTTTTGCTTGAACGATATTACACAAGAAACACTTCTTAGCTAACCGTAACACCGGGGGTGTTAGGCGGACGTGATGGCTTCAGATGTGATAGAAAGCGAGGCGACTCTGAAGGGTGTGAGTGACACCAACTTGAACAATAGTCGCCCAGATTTTGGCACACCCAGGCGGACTCACGAGGGTTCCGGGAACAGACGCACGTCCAGTCCTTCGTCTTCTGGGGTGTCGGGAGAAGTGGACGAGGAGGAGCTGGACGAGCTGCAACACAGCACGGCGTCCACGGTTGAAAATGGCGAGGAGGCATTTGAAAACAGTTTAACCAAATCAAGCAGCAGTCCAGATGAACGGACGACTCCGGACAATGAACAGAAGCCTGGTGTCCCGGTCAACCTTCCTCAGCCGTGCTCCCCAGCTGGACCCAGTGGAAGGTATGTTGTGCTGTGCTTACTTCATGAGGTCGTAGGTACACATGCACAATCTGGTAACGAGTACAAAGAGCTGTTTAAATGGTTTCTGGTTTTGCAACTGCACTGGTGCATTCTGCTCGATCAACCTATGAATGGAATGTAATACTAGTACTGAACATTTCGAGAGGAAAAAAAGTCCATGCGTTTTGTTTTTGATGTTTTCCTCATGATTGCGATTTCATATGTGATTATTATTAAGGACCTCTTCTCATATATTTTTAAACATGCACTAGCAACACATTAATCTTTATTGCAACAAACAGTATCGGGAATTTCAATGAACAGAAAAATGAATTGATGATGTTTGGTCCTAGTCGCCCTTGTACATCCCATCCTGCTGACCTGGGCCCCTTATCTCAAGCCAGCAGTCTCAAACGTGCGTTGTTAACTGGACAGTGATTTTAAATGGGATCAGCAAATTGATGCTGTTGTTCAGTCCAGCTTCTTTCATCTGAGCCAGCTGGCTAAAAGAAAAACCTCTCCTTTCTCAACAGCATTTTGAACAGAAATACGTGCCTTTGTCACATCTCATCCTAATGCACTTTATTTTGGAGTCAGCTAATCCTCCATCAAGTGTTTCCAGTTGGTCCTTAAATGCTGCTGCTCGCCTCTTGACTGGCATTCGTATGAGGGAGCACATAACACCTGCACTGGCGTCCCTTCACTGGCTCCATGTACATTGTTGAGTTCTTTTTAGGATTCAAGCTAGGCAAGCTCCCTCGCTGCTCATCTTTAAAACAACCCTTAAAACAAATTTTTATTCTTTGACTTTTGAGTCAGCATGACACTTGATGACTGTTTTGTGCTTTTTACTGTTTTCTTTATTAAATTATTGTTTTGTCATTTTTCTGTTGTAGGATGTATTTTTGCCCCATGTACAGCACTTTGTTCACACCAATGGTTGCTTCAAGGTGCTCTATAAATACAGTTGAGTACATGCCTGCACTGGCATGTGTTGTTGTGTTCTGGATTAAAATGTAGTTAGACAGGCCGTAAATGACAAATACCTTGGCCACAGTAATTGCCATTGTGCGCTGTGATTACTTTCTGGTAGTTTTTCTTTTACTCCCCAAACAGTTTAAATGGCAGCTGTACAGACAGACAGAATGAGACTCAACATTGATTTACACAGCGTTGTGGCGCTCATCCGTGTTTAGTGAAATTGACTTTCAGATCGCATTGCTGTCCATGTTGAATTTGATTCATGATTTTAACGACAACAGCTATTTCAAAGCCATGTACTGAGTCATCTGTGCTGAACCAAACGTCGGCAATGTTTCCTGATCACAACCATTCCACTCTTGATTCATTTCTCAACTCAACTTTCCGGTACAGATTCCTGTACACGTTTAACATCTAGGTTGTACGTTATGTGGGGGATTTAGGCACATACCTGTACATAAGCGCTACAAGCTAAGCCAAATGCTCTCATTATTGTCATATACCGAATGCCCAGCATGCTTGTGTGTCTGGGTTTGCAAGTAACAGTCATGGATGTGATTATTGCATCAAAGGCAGCACTGTACAGCGAGCATACAGATGATCAGCATTAGCGAAGGGAACCTTGTGGTTCAGAGAACTAATCCTTAAACACCAGCTTGTAAGCTTTTCATGAAGCCAGTGATCTGATTAGACGGCAAGTAGTAAATTGTAACAGTTGGAGCGACTTGAAGATTGCGCATGATTGGACAAGCGGCATTTGACCAAGAGTGGTGTAAAGATTAGCGAACGATAGCGTGTAATGTACCTTCCGTATTAGGACTGCTCAAATTGACTGGGTTTGTGTTTTCTGCACTAGAGATCCTGAAGAATTGCTGCCTCGTAATGGAGGCAGAATTTGTCCACCTGTGCCGTTTGCACCAAATCCAGCAGCTTGGGATACTGTCATGGCTGTTTCTGGCACATTATCAGATAGTTTAGATGCGGCAACACCTGGTCTGACATACAAAGTACAGGTCGGACAAGGAAAATTGCTGTCAGTAGGGTGGGGATTGCAAATGTAATGAACGCACATATACATTAATTGCTCGAGTGGTTGACTCCTCTTGAATCTCTCCTCTTTCATCTCAAACTGCTTTAAACAACAAAGCATATGAGGGAAAAGTGGCGAGGATTGCACGACTGTCCGTGTTTTATGTTATGCGTTGTGTTTATTATTTTACTTTATGTTAACTGTTTTGTTCAGCGCTTTGTTACAGCTGCAGCTGTTGTGAAAGCGCTATATAAATCAGGATGTATTGTATTGCAAATATATTTTGTCCTTGCTTGCTCTAGCGAAATTTGTTGCACGACCGACCACTTATATCTGCTTCTTTTCTTGTAAACACAAGATGCCTCTCACAATTTCAAGTTAACCATAAAATGCGGCTTTACGGCTCCCAATTTTGTTTTGCATTATGTCCCGACACATGCGTCTAAGGCCAAATCCCCGATAAGAAAATGTGTGAGGTGTTGTTTACACTATCAACAAAGCAATGACATTTTTTTTTTTTGCTCTACACTACACTAAAAACACACAAACATAGGCGCAGCCAGTATCTGTTGGCAATAACTGGCACAGCACCAGTTCCTTCGCAAAGAGAAACTCACAGAAATTTGTTTGTCATCTTTGAGCTTTGCAAATGTTTAAAAATACAGTCCTTGTTTTGTCCTATCTAAAATAGACCTGTTTTCGAGAACACGTAAAGGGATCTCACTGACAGTGTGCTAGTGTCCAGGTAGTCTTTCAGGTGTAACATTTCATGTTGTTGTTCTTCAAATGTTTTAACTTTGTTCGGACTTGAAGTGCCAGAGGAATTAAATGAGAGCTGCGTTGGCTCCAGGCAAATCCTCAAATGTTCATTCCCGTAATCCACTGCGGCCTGTACAAGTCGTGTCATAGTTAAATGTACGCGTTTGCAGTCCGATGACTCCTGGGACTCTTCTCGCTTCAAACATATTTGCCGCTGCATGGTGCCGTTGTGGCGAGCAAAGTTTGATTTGTTGTTTGGTTTCTTACCCAGCCTGGAGCGCCAGGAATCGGTTGCCACGACAGAGGCCCGATTAAGGATGGAGGGGGTCGAGCTTAAGGAAGAGTGGCAAGACGAGGACTTTCCACGGTAGTATTACACGCACTGTCATTGTCGCGGGGAACGTGAGGACGACGCGTTCCAGTTCAGCGCCACACAAGTTTTAAAAAAACTTATCTGATTACATTCTGCCCGTTAGGCCTCTACCTGAGGAGGAGGAGGAGCTCGAAGAGGAGTTGTTTGCTGGAGCCGCTGAAGAGGGCGATCCTGGTAATCAAGAACTTTGGTTTCTGGACAGTAAAGTAGATAAACAGCAATGAAGGAAGCTACACTTAGCCGCACCATCTGTTGAGAGCCGATACAAGAGGTCATCAGAAATGCTCGTTGACAAAGATAGTCATGCTTAATTTTTAACTGCCATTTGTTTGAACAATAACCCCTTGAACTGTGAGCTACGGTTTATTTATTTTGTAAAGGCAGGATTGTATTGGGCGACAAGAGAGCTCTCAGAGGTGCCGAATTGTGTCTCCATTGAGTGTGTATTAATAATCAGTTAAGGGTGTGGACAGTGACACAAAGAAAAAGTCTGATTCATTTTGGTGAACTTTGGTTGAACTTTAGATTTATATTTTTTTTCCCCTGTTCTCAAAAACGACTTCCTGAGTGTGGACGATTTCGATGTAAATGCACATTCATAATAAAAAATCGTATTGGATTCTCCATGCGCACCGCAGGCTATGAGGCGAACCACAGTAAAAAGGAGAAAAAGAAGCTGGCGGCCCCGGATATCAGCCTCACTCTCGACCGCAGTGAAGGTTCCATTCTTTCTGATGAGTTGGATGAAAGTACGGAGCTGGACTTGGACAACATGGACACGCCTTCGGACAACAGCAATGAGTTTGATTGGGAAGGTAACACAGCTTGACTATTTTGAATGTGTTGCTTAACTCATTCACTCCCAAAGACGTTTTTAAACGTCTTTTTAGACTTGGTCCAGAATTGGCTGGTACTGAATGAGTTAATCAAATCTGTCAATGTTTGAAAGTCTTTAACAAATATGCAGATTTTTACCCGCAGAGGTTCAATTTGTCAATCAATTATTGTGTACTTCATTAAGAATGCTTGTTTTTCCTGTTTCGTTGATAATACGCCATACGGACAAACGTTTTGGGACACAGTCATTCCGTATACAAGGAGTGACAATGCCAGAAAATATGGAGTTGGTATTGCTTCTAAAGGGATTAAGGTCAGGGCTCGCGTTCTTCCACATCGGAGTCATCGAGCCACCCTTGTTTTGGACACTGCTCACGGGCAAAGAAGAATTCTAGACCAAGCCTTGATTATTACGGAGGTGTGTCCCATTTTCTTTTGTCAATATAGTGTATCGTGACTTCATTTGGTTCCCCGGGTTTGGGTCAGTAGGGAAACTGCCCAAAGTGGAGTTAAAATGTGCTGTTGTTTTTGTCTTTCCACACTGCTGCCTTCCGCTTTTTCACGTGGAAGGATTGTTTCCATTGCCTGCCTGGAAACAGGCTGCAGGCCAACAACAGGTTTCTCGCTCGTGCTCGTGGTAAGGTTCCTTGGACACTGCAGGCCAACAACAGGTTTCTCGCTTGTGCTCGTGGTAAGGTTCCTTGGACAGTTCCTGGATGCCCCCAGTTTTTGGTCAATCAAACCTTGTTGTCCAGATTTTGTTCTGTTGCCACTTCTTCCAAAAAAAAAAAAAAAAAAAAAATCATGAGTTTTTTTTCATTCGTTCTTTTGTGCATGATGTTTCCGTCTTTCTTTAAATTTGAGCACATTTTGAGAAATCCATGTCATGCATGTGTCATTCCTGCAAACATGATACATTTCATCGTAAAATATGAAGCCTGAAAGCAAAATGTCGACATTTCAGTAATTCAGTCTATAAATGTGAGCGGTCAACAGCAGCACGGCTTTTCAAAAATAGTCATTTAAATCAGAGCTGCAACTGTTAAACTTTATCGCGGTGGAGCCCACGTAATGTTTGTGATGTCATATTTCTTCACGGGATCTTTGCATATTGACACACACTACTCTCCAAATGTTTTCAGGTCAATTGGAAATGTACTTCATTTTGAAGGCCAAACACTTTTTCCAGTGAGAATGGCATTAAATTCATCAGAAAAACAGTCTAGACATTGTTAATGTGGTAAAAACTAGTGCACATTAACTCATTCACTCCCAAAGACGTATTTAGATGTATTTTCAGACGCCACACATTTAATCCCAGCTCCTCATTTTATATTGACTGTACTTGAAAAGGGTCTGAACCCTTTGGGAGTGAATGAGTTGAAAAAAAATGTACATTTTGAAGTGACACCCGAACTCGCGCAAGTAAAACAATTGATAGTTGCTCTTAGACGGTCAGAGTATCTAAATGAAATGACATGTGGAGATTGTGAAGGTTTATCGGCACGTTGATGAAGTGCAAGTGGAGCAGAAAATATATACGAGGCTGATAATCTTGATATTTAATCCAAAAATAGTCGAAATCGCCACTGTTGGTCCTCAAGCGATGTCGATGTGATTCTCCATGCAATCATTCTTTGCTTTCTCCGCCACCTTCAGTTCTGTTACACTGTGACATGCAAAGATCATCCGCTCTCTACTGTCATAAAGAAAAAATGGTGGGATGTATTTTTTTTTTTTTATTTAGATTCCGCATGGCGATCCCTGTTGATCAATGAATGTTTTGGTGATTTATTCCAACCAGTGATACCAATACCACAATAAGCATCTGATGCCACCTACTTTCTTCTCAGATGATCTCCCCAAGCCCAAGACTACAGAGCTACTAGAAAAGGGCGTGGAGTCGGTCCATCCGTACTCCGCCTCGGAGGAGAGGGATGAGGGCCGCCGCTGGAGGGTCTTTCGCATCGGGGACCAGGAACACAAAGTGGACATGACGGCCATTGAACCTTACAAGCGGGTTATAAGCCATGGAGGTCAGTGTGTAGGTTCCACCCCGACAACTGCCCATGACGAGCTCAGTTGCTTGGGCCATTCACTCTTCAAAGTCGAAATGAGTGCTTCGTGCATTTTAGTATGCGCTCCAGTAACAGTGGACGAAGCAAAACAACAAAAACCTCAACCAAAGCCCAAAGTCAGCTGGAATAAGCTCCAGATCACCCGTTACCTCAACAAAAAAAAAGCCCGACACAAAATGGATGCTTGCATTGTATTGTAATGTCATTTTTCCCTTCAGGTTACTATGGAGACGGCTTGAATGCCATAATTGTGTTTGCCGTGTGCTTCATGCCTGAGAGCAGTCAACCAAATTACAGATACATCATGGACAATTTATTCATGTGAGTGTTTTTGTTTGGCTCCCAACTGAACGTTTTCGAACCTTTACTCATGGAACGAAACCCTCGCAGGTATGTCATTGGCACGCTGGAACTTTTGGTGGCAGAGAACTACATGATTGTGTACCTTAACGGGGCGACCTCGCGGAAAAAGATGCCGACCGTCGGCTGGCTCCGAAAATGTTATCAGCAGATTGATAGAAGGTAACTGTCACTGTAATTAGAATAAACAAGAAAAAAAAAGTCTTTGTCATTTTCTCTACATTCTCCATTTCTGTTTTGCAGGCTGAGGAAGAATTTAAAATCTTTGATCATCGTCCATCCCTCTTGGTTCATTCGCACCCTGCTGGCACTCACCAAACCTTTTATTAGGTAACATGAATGTTGAGAATAGAAGAGAGAGTGCACCTTATTGGTCAATTGTGATCATTTTAACACATTTCTTATTTTAATAGCTCCAAATTTAGTCAAAAAATCAAGTTCGTGTACAGCCTGACAGACCTGGCAGAGTTAGTCCCATTGGAGTACGTGTCCATTCCGGAGTGCATCAAACTGTGAGTACTCGGGTTCCTCAACTCTCACACACATTCACCCATTGCGTCCTCCGTGTTTCAAACAAGCAACACACTGTTTTCTTGTCTGACACACCGTGAAAATGCAAAACTTTTATCGCCGTAATGCCATCAAAATTGTCTTCATTTATATAACAAAATTGGTGAGTGGGAGTCATTGTGATTGAAAGGTTGCCTTTCTGCTCAATGTTATGCTTTAAGCCGAAGTGGATCAGGTGATTGTCAATACACAAGAGCCACCGATACAAGCGTCTTTGAGTATTTTGTTTTTTAAGAACTCTCCAAGTCAGACCGCATACTCCAGACTCTATATTAAAAAGTCAGAGCAGAACATGGATGGAGGTTTGTTTGAATAGCAACCAGATAAAGCCCGACCATTCAGTAGTACAGTTGAAACTCTCATTTTGAACTCAAACTCTTATAGGAAATTGATTGGCCCTTCAAAAAAATGTAGGACATTATTATTGATTTTTTTTTTTCCTTATAAACATATTTATACATTTGAATGTATGATTGTTTTAAGTGTTTGCTGGGGTTTTTTTTCTACCTAAAACTTCATTTCCCTTCCCCCTCTAAAGGTTTGACGAGGAAAAAAATAGGAAAAGCCGTAAAAGGTATCATGTATTTTTCACCTCGGACTTGTTTCCTTTCACAAAACTAACGATAAGTTTCCCCTGCACAGACACCCCAGCACACTGCCCGGCCCCTCTGTTGTTGTTTTGGATTGAAATGATTTGCATTTGTACCCAAAACCAATAACATTTGTAATTCAGCACTGTTTGTCCACTCAAACGTATTCTCGGGATCATTTCAAATGTGTATTTTATGTAGCTTGATACAAAACACAATCAAAGCATCTCCACGCTGATGTGGCTACCAAGAAGCCTCTCTTGTGTTTGTTTTCTTGGAAAAAGGTTTACAATGAGACTTTTTTGATATTTGGTAAGTTCAACCGTGTTGTTCTACTGGAAGTGGGTGGAGTCACCAGGAAGTAGCCGGACATGATCACCGTGGTTGCGCGATAACTGCGCGCTCACATGGTTGGGCCCCCTTCCCTCCGCCGGTCACTCACTGAGTGGAGCCCTCACAGCTTGTTTTTTGCATGACTCACCGCAAACCTAACTCTCACAAGCCTCATTCTTCCTTACTTGCACACGTTGAATTAATATGCACATTTTGACGCGGTCGCTGCTCATTTGCTTCATTTTTTTTTCTGTTTTTTAATTTGATTTTGTTTGGAAGGGATGATGCACTGCAGCCCGTCACATACACACTTTTCACCTTAGCTTGACCGATAATGTTGTGCACGGATCTTTTATGACTTGAAAAAATGTTTATTTGTATATGAAGGGGAAAAAATGAATATAATGTATAATTTAACAACAATCGAAAACAAGAAATAAGCAAAGACAATGAGCACCTAATAATTTTCCATGCCCAAAATGACAAAATGCTGCACCTGAAGTGCTGAGCTCCTGTTTTTGGTGAAAAGAATTTGGGTTGCACGATTGCATGTCATTAATTTCCAAGATTACGTGTCTCATTGTGGCGCAGTGGCTGCCCGCTTCTCTAAAATACTAAACATACAACACCACTGTAAATTACTATTTGTAGCAGCAAAAGCAGTAGTCCTCTTGACAGTGGAGCTACATTCATGTGGGTGCTGATCAACCCCCATTTTGTATGGGAAGAAATGTCACCATCACAAAATCTTAAGTGGACCAGGCACTGTTCACATTCTTAACTGTCATACGAGTGTTTCAAAAAGAAAAAGCATTTGAGGAGTTGCAAAGGCGCATTCAGTGTCAAGTCTTTAAAGCAGATAGTCTGGAGGGCCGGGGTAGGGGGGGTGGTTGATGATCAGTTGCACATGATTCAAATGTGATTGACTGACATGAGTTTCCCCTCCTCTGATTCAAATAATTCTTCGAACTTAGGATCTTAGAACTGTGAGGCAGATATGTTCACCGGTAGACGGATCTAAATAAACATACAAAGAGATAAAAAAAATAATAAGAACAATAAACACTGTCCGTTGGTATGCGCAGGATCGACCAGGAGGAGCACGGCAAAGTGGAGACGGCCACTCCCGCGCTTCCTGAGTGATCCTGCCAATTCGCCAGGGATGTGGGCGATGAAGAACGTTGGAATCGCTGCCATTCTTTGTGCGTGTTTGTGTTTTTGGGTGACATGACTGGAACAGTTTTGCATTAGGAAAGTGCCTTTTGATACGATGCTGCCTCTTACGTTGTGAAACATTTTGCTGGTTGCCTTACTTTGTGAAGCGGCTTTGTCCCTTGTTTCCCCTCCCCCACATGCTGTGCAAGAGGTTTTTTTTAATCCTTTTTTTCTTTTGGTGTAATTTAATGCCACAATATAATGTCTTCTTACTGTTGTATCTACTCTTTATTTAAGGCACTCTGTTACATTTGAATCGATTGCTGCATGTACTGCTTTATTACATTTAAATATATATTTATATTCAAAAAAGGTGACAAAAGGAGAGAAAGTAATATATTTTTATTGTTGCTCTGATTTTAAAAGTACATTTTCGGTCTCTTGACTACCTTCCCCTCTTAAAGGCATTTCATTAACCTGGGAAAAGCCCCCGAATTTTTATTTACCAACTACATCCTGCGACTTGTGTGGATCTGAACACAACGCTCTCCATGCCATTGATCAATACTTGTATCGTTATACAGTATGTACACACATTGTCAAATTTCTTGTTTATAGTCAAGATTGATGTGGCTTTTAAGTCCATAGAAGCGAAATACTGTACTGCACACAATACTTTTCAATTGGGCCGTTAGGTGGCACTATAATCCTTAAATAACTACAACAATTTTGACAGTCAATGAATGAAGTGCACTGTTATATCAAATACGATAATATTTGACCAAGGTCTTGACATAGAATATTGTGTAAATCCTTGCTACTGTTTACCGGAAGCACAAAAAGTACACTTTAAGTAAGAAGCTCATTTGACCCTGCCTTGATGTTTTCAGAAGGGTCCATGTGATGTTTTCTGAGAAAGCGAAGGGAGAACTATCCTGGGTGTATCGTACAATGTAATGCTTTATTTGAAAGATTTAAAAAAAAAATGAGCCACTGATTGTGTAATCTGATTAACGAGATGCACTGCAAGCATATTTAATCCATTAAACTGAATGGTCAGAGACAAAAAAACGAGAGCCTCCATGTGGTGATTATACATAGCTTTCAGAACAGCAAGTATGAGCGCCAAAGCTACCAGACAGGAAAATGCACAAAGAAAAGTCTGCGTCTGCATCAGCATCTCTGGTGAGTACAATGGATTTTGTTTCAATTTTTTTTAAATTGATAAATATTTATTGTGAATTGCTATATTGTAGAGGAGGGGTTTGGAGTTAAGAGGTGATGGATATTGAATGAAGTCAACGACTGTCACGGCTCACCTGTTTTCTGCGTGTTGTCATGTGACGTTCGCAAGCTAATGTAGCTTCCCCGCAAGGTGGGAAATCGGAAATATCCCACTTCAAACGCTTAAAAGCGTTCCAGGAGAACGTAAACAACATGGATGTCTTATGTTTTTGTTTTGGTTCATCACTGCGCATTTGACCTCCGGCAAACCTTCCTTTATAATTTCCTTTATTGACAAAAAAAAAAATGAAGGAATGTCTTTAGTATCTCAATACAGTCAGTGCAAGCCACGTGTTACGTGAAGTTAGGTTAAACAACTAAATGAATAATAAATAAAATAACATAAATATATGATTACTGTATAATATTGTAAGTCATGTTTTACAGTCCATGGTCCGTGTCTCCAAATGCGTTGCCATTGTCGACTGACGTAAGATTGAAGCCGGTTACTTGGACCTCCCAGTTCAAAGTGGCGTTGCAGTGTACCTTTCCGGTCGAAGGTTGGAAAACTCGACTTCCCACTTTCCTGGAACACAGCATAAGCCCTCTGGCACAATAATGTCATTTTCAGTCAACGTCAAATGGCAGTGCAAGTCAAATTGGCTGCCCGCTGAGACTGATTAAAAAAAAAAAAGTGTTTTTTTTTTTTTGCCTAATTCATATCACACAATTGCAATATTAATCGGAAAACCGTGTTTAGACTAGTAGCAGCCCATACAACATTTTCGACTTAACTTCTCCTTTAAGTCTTATTTGTACACAATAATATATTGCGAGAGAGCAAGAGAAATCGCGAACACAAAATATGTTACAGTGTAACGGTGTAACAATCTCTCTGTGTTCACACTTACCAAGTCACGTTGATTCCAAATCAACAAACGTAACGTCACGACTCATAATATACTGTACATCAATAATAATGCCCAAAAAAATGTACATTACAAAATGTACCAAGAGCCATTGCTTTCTGTAGGCGTAAAAAGCAGGCTACATGAGGATTTCACGTTCACTCATCTTTAACAAAATCTCGGCTCACTTTGAAAGGTTTCCCTTTTTCACTCGTCTTTCGATGTTACACTGTCAAACAATAACTTGGTGTCATCTAGTGGCCAACGATGTAATTTAACATAAAATAGGAGGCAGAACAAAATGATTACAGACTAACCGTCCATGAAATATCAGGACCGCAAACCCGGAACCAGCAATGGAGGGAGTTCAGTGTATATTTCAGAGGATGTCAAATTTTGTGAGGACACACTGCGCTATGCTGTATAACCTCTGTCTAAAGCTTTAAAATAGAGAATAGACTCCAAGCACCTGATAGCAATGTCATCCACCATTGGATCAAACTTATTAGCCAGGAGGTGGTGCTGTCTCAAGAGCCACGGAAGGTCTCCGGTTCCATACACACAAACTGCTCTTCTATTTGCCCCTCTGCACATCTCATACGGAGCCCCTTTCCTCACATCCCCTGATAAATAGCTCCATTTGACCGCGCGGGCGATGGCTTGCATGTCCGACGTGTCGAACTTGACGTTTGCAGGCACTGATCCGGGCACGGAGGGCATCCGCTGTAAAGTGGCCCACAAGTGCTCGTCCGGGCTGTAGGTGTCCTTCTCCCACTCCAGCAACACCTGAACCTCTCGGTCCCGCATCACGTGCTCCACGAAGGCCCTGCTGGCTACAAAGTAGGCATTCCCCATGAACATGGGGCTTCTAATGGGAGGTGGGCTTTTCCTCACGTCGGTCCTGACAACTGAGTCTGTGACGTTGTAGTGATATTGCCAACGTTGCGTCTTGTAATCATTGGTGGCTTCCGTTTCCATGCTGTTCTTCCCATTGAGGACTTTCAAAGCTTGCACCATCTCTCTGTTGGTCTTAATCGGAAAGTCTGTCCCGCATGTGTTCAGCAGGTACCTCCACCGGACATGAGACGCCAACAAACTCTCCATGCAGTTCAAATCAGCCTGCACTCGCGCCCATGAGGTATAAATCACATTTTCTAATTTCCCAGCTATGAATACATTCTCAAAGCAGGATACAATGGCTTTCACGGCCTCATGGAATTTCGCTGTAGATTTTCGGTCCACGTGCACGCAGTAGATGTTCTGAGGGGTGTAAATGGCACGCAACAGTCGCTCGAACATTTCGATCTGTTCGTGGATCACCATGGAGTATGCGATGGGAAAATCCCTCTCTTCTTCACTCAGAGGATCCATAAAAAAGCCTCTCTGTCTAATATAAGTGCGACAGTCTTGGGTCGCGTTAAGGTAGAAGTCCTCGGTGAGCACAACTTGCCTTGTCTTCGATGATAGAAGGGCTTGCAAGTCAGCTTCACGGCCTGCCAGGTCTCCCGTGATGATAGCAGAGCAGGCGGGCAGGTCAGCTGTAAATTGCTGCGGTATCATAGGATCAGAATCTGTTTTCCATAGGACAAGTAAAAAAAATAAAAACACAAAGAAGAGGGTCAGGATGCTCAGAAGGCTTCGGCCTTTGAAGAACTTTCCAGAAATCCTTTTCTTGTTGAAGAGCTTCATTGCAAAGTTCGCCTGCTGACCTCTCCAACTGAAACGTTGCAGGTGAGAGGCCACGGTGTGCATATTACTTGACAAGACGCCCAGCCAGGAGGCGTGTCATATTTCACGCAGTAAAAAAAAAAAATCACCATAAATGGCTTACATATTAGGTGATAAAGATCCAATTATTATAGGATAAGCATTGCCCTCCTCAAGGGAAAAGTATGAAGGAATTGTTGGTACAGACTGTTTATTAAAACAAACAAAAAAATAAACACTTTTTATGAGAGTGTGCAAGAAGGGTTAACGTACCAAACTATTGGTATTAGACATAATAAACATAACACGACATATTTATGGAATATTTTTTAACATTATTATTAGTCAGAAACAAATTACTCAAACATATTGGGATCGCTTTAAAGATAAAGGAAGGCAAATAAATTATTTCTGTGATCTATTGGGCCCAATCTGGTTTAAGATGTAAGAGGCACCGGAAAAACAAAAACAGCTGAAAAATTAAATGTGTTGAGTGAAATGCAGAATCAAAGTCTTTTGGAAGTGTTGACATCATGGAAATTAGTACCAGTACTCACAACATTTCCACATATCGGAAAAAACATCTTATGTCGTCCAACCATCCATCGAAGCGATATTTGGTTGCAAAAATCTGAGATAAAATCATTTCACAAATAGCTGCAACAGCACACAAATCTAAGGAAAAAAAATCTGACTTTTATTCATTCGTGTGTCAGTGTTTACTCCCATAACTTCACTCATAATTTCCATCACAGTTTCAAAATGCAGGCACTTTGTACTCGTATATACAAAATCAAACTGCCCCACAGGGAATCACTCATCAGCAGTGGGGCAAATGAAAACTATTATATTGGATTCTTGCTTTGCTTATAAATTGATTCTGTCAGGTGCAATCCCCAAAAAACTAGCGTGTACTAACCCTCTCTGTCTTGTGATGAATATAATTTTAAAAAATTAATGTTTCTTATAGATATCAGAAAATAAAAAAATGAATGCAATTCCCCTAATATCATCCATTCATTTATTCCCTAGAGCCCTCGTCCGCATTAGTGCCATGAGTGGGCGGGCGCCAAGCGCAGCTGATTTGGGATAGAGGCAGGTTGCCTTCAATTAAAAATGCCCAAGATTTGACATTGAGTAAATTTAGACATGATTATCATTATTTCGGTATGTATGCTTATTTTTTTTGGGGGGGGGGGGTTGCATCATGGGATTTTTTCCTAATGTAAAATAAAAGTTTGGAAAAACAGCACTAGACCACCTAATATGAACAATATAACTTAAAGAGCGACAGACAATGAATCCTTCTATCGTCTATTGTCCTTTACATTCCCTTTGCTTCAAACACATTCGAACAATAAAAAGTGTCATCGCCAACTACTGGCCTGGCATACATATTACAGTTTTTTTTTGGTGGGTTTTTTTTGGAGGGGTGGGGGGCATATTTGCAGGTTCATGTGAACTTTGTCCTAAATCGTCGTGGTACACTTTGGTGAGTATTGACTAGGACTGGTTAAGACAAGTACTCTCATCCGCTTGCTGATCGAGGTTGGCGTCATACTCGTGGATAAAACTGTAACGACGGTACACGGAGCCGCCTTGACTCGTGTACACCACGTCCACTTCATCACCGCTGTCCGGGTCGGGCACACCGTGAGGCATGTTGGCGCCGCCGCTCAATCTCTCGTAACTCTGTTTCCAGCAAAGCCTCCTCCTAGCTCGGGCCTTCACCAAGGCAAAGGCGAGCAGAGCCAGCGCAAGCGCGACCAGCAGGGCGACAGGCGCAGCAGCCGACGTGTGATGGAGGACGCCCGAAGACATGTTTGTGTCTGTGACCGGCGCGTCCCCTGACTTGGGTTCGGGGGCCTCCACGCACAGACCTACAAAAAGAAAAAAAATCGAGTGAGTCAATTAAAATATATTTTTAAACATATTTGAAACACACTTGTACATAAAAGAATAAATGCAAGCATTAAGTATCTCTGTTTGATCCATTACTTCCCCTGTTGGGTGTTTGTGTGTGAGTTTCTGGGCGTGAACAGCGGCTTGGTATGAAAAAAAAAAAAAAAAAAATCCCATTGAAAGAACAGATTTTAATTCCTCCACAGGTAATTTGAATAGAGTGAATATAGACACAGCTGCTTCTGCACTTTTAGTCGCATTATTTAACAAACAGTAACACAATAATAATAATACATTTTATTTGTGGGCGCCTTTCTAAGCACTCAAAGACACCTTACAACAAGCAGTTAAAAACACAAAAAATACAATGTTAAAAACAACATCAAATCAAATAAGATAAAACAAAATGGAGATAATGGATTTATGGTCAGCGTGAATACCGTAAACTTGTCTAAACAGATATGTTTTGAGGATGGATTTGAAATGTGTTAATGAGTCTATGTTACGAAGGTCAGCGGGGAGTGTGTTCCAAAGCTGGTGACGAGGTGGGCGGGGGGACAGTGAGGAGGAGAGAGTAGGAACAACGAAGAGAGCGGACAGATGTGGCAATGTGGATGAGGTCAGATAGGTATGGAGGGGCAAGGTTGTGGATAGCTTTGAAAGTAAATAGCAGGATTTTATATTGAATGCGGTGTATAATGGGGAGCCAGTGGAGATGTTGGAGGACAGGTGTAATATGGTTTATGGATGGTGTGAGTGTGATAATGCGAGCGGCTGAATTTTGGACCAGCTGAAGCTTATGGAGGGTTTTTTGAGGGAGACCGAAACAGGAGGGAGTTACAGTAATCAAGCATACACACAAGCACACATAAAAGCATACACACAAGCACATTTTTAGAAGACCTGCTAATGCCCTCGATTGTTGCTGTACGCCAGAGTGGCTAACGTTTAGCCAGTTAACAGCTATCCAACTCAACAAACCAGGCCCGCCTTTCAAAGGCACACGTACACATTCAACGTCACATATACTACAGTGTAGAACGTCAGCCTGGTTTATGACAAGAGGTGTTGTATACTGCACCTGAGCGGCTGTCGCAGATGCAACAGTCTGTGCGGTTCCCTCCCACCTGACAGCAGCGGGCACAGCGGCTCTCCACGGCGTGAAGGCCAAAATCTTGGTGACAAGTCAGGCAGTGGTCAGATCTCGGGCCGCTGCAATGCTTGCATGAGCTGTCACATGGCTCACAGGTGGCCTGCAGAGGTAGCCGTAAAAAAAAAGGGCCTTTTTTAATATTATGCTGAAATTGCAATTCAAACATTAATTGTACATTTATAGAATTTTACATTTGGATTTTGGGAGGGAAACACTGTGGATCCCCAAATAGTCACAGTTCAGCATTTGCAAATTCGCTCCCTCAATATTCACAGAAAAACTCGCCAGTTTGTGATTTGTGATCTGTAGCGTTTCAAAAAGATTTTTTTATTTTTTAACTTACCATCAACAGTATATATATTAATACCAACGGTTACTGTCGGCCATAAACGCCCCAAAACTACAAGCTAGTTGTCTGCTCAACCAAAACTAAACACGCGTACTTGTTCCGCTTTCCGCAATGAGTAAATATTCCACAAAAAAAAAAAAAGAAAGAAAAAAGAGGCTTTAAACTGCTTATTTCCACTCTCAGCTGATGATTACTGTCAAACTAAATGTAAAACAAAAAACAATGATGTTGTGTCTTTACAACAGCCAAATAGCCTCCAGTATCTTAACGCTGACTATGTATTGGAAAACATCAAAGGCGCACGGGCTCACAATTAGCATCCACCCGTTTCGAAGCAAAAGTGTTTTAGTCAACCAATTTTTGTGGTCCAATTAACCGAATTAGCTGAGTTTTTTCCCCAGCCCTTAAAAAAAAAAAAAAAAAGAGCCAATTTTTACTGTTTAAACAGATTACTGGCATTTCCATTCATTTCAATAGAGAAAGCTGAAGATACAAGTTTTCAGTTCCAAGCATGGTCTAGGAACAAATTCGCTCATATGTCAGGTTACCACTATAATAGGCAAACAAACACTGAATGCCATACGATAGTAGTACCATAAAACTGCTCGTGTCAATACAATACTGTATTTGCATTGCAGCAAACCTTTTCGGTGAAGTACCTCCCCTCCTCACAGCGTGGGTAGCAGACTTTGTCCTTTAGCGTGCTGCCTTTGTCACAGGTCACGCAGCTCTGAGGCGAGCCATCTGTCAAGCACATGCGACATTTGCTGAGAAAAATTGTGACCAATATTAACACGTAGGAAAGGAAATGGCGGCGAGAGGTCGACCGCTTTGGCTTGATGGTCACCTATGCAGGTGTGGCAACTGATGTGGCATCGCAAGCACACGTCATTGAGTTTGTAGAAGCGCTGCGGGCAGCGCTCCACGCACAGCTTGGTGCCTTGCAGCTCCAGGAGGGGAGGCAGACAGGCCCGGCAGGATTCTGGCCCGGGACCGGTGCACATCTCACAGGAGTGGTGGCATTTCTCACAGTGGGAGCCCGCTTGGTAGTACCTGCAGAAAGGCAGGAAGACATTGATTGGAACAAGAGCAGTGTGGGAGGAGATTGAAAAACTACCCTTCAGTTTTCTACAATGCTTGTCCTCATGCAGCTAGGATAGACAGCACCCCAATTAAAAAAAAAAAATATGCTCAATTGTTTTCCTAACCCTCTTGCTGGGTTGCAGTGGACTTGGAGCAGATCGGGTTACTTTTACCCAAGGTTGGGTTAGTTATTTTGACCCAGCGGATTAGGTTGAAGATTGGATTTGGGCAGGCTGAAAAGTTGAAGCTGGTCGCCATTTTGGATGTTTTTTGTGGTTGTTTCATGAAGTTTAAATGAATTTAATGTAACATTGTTCCAACAGATTGTGCAACAAACAACATAAATCATATATGAACAGTCCACTCGGGCTGTGTTTCAAAAGCTATGGAATAAAAATGTGTCTTTTGACGTGATTTAAATATACCTGCAGCGTAGGGACTTGCCTAACATTCAGAAACAGCTCGTTTTACAACTTTAGAGCTGCCACTTCAAGTTTCAACCTGGATTTCGGGACAATCAGGAGACGCTGATCAGAGGACCTGAGAGACCTTGAAGGAACACAGGGTTCCAACTGGTTGGAGGGGTAGCAAGGTGCCAAGCCATTCAGGCACTTAAAAGGAACAGCAAAATGTTGAAATCAATCCTACAAAGCACAGGAATTATGCGTACTAGTCAACAAACGAGCAGCAGCCTTCTGGACTGTTTCCAAAACGGAACACGATAAAAACGGTTTGACCTTGGAGAGCCTCCTCAGCTGAAAAAAAAAGCTCTTTCCTACCGCATCGTTTATTTTCATTTAAAATGGAGGGGTTGCGTCAGGAAGGGCATCTGGTGTAACAACTGCCATCACAACATATCACACGAGTGTCTCGTGGCTCTCCTGTCAGGGGAAAATTGCTTCTTCTTCTTCAAAAATCTTTTAATCCAACGTGCGAGGTCAAACCCCCATAACCCCGACAATGAGAATCTATAACCCAACATTGGCTCCGTGCCTTTTTGACCCATGTTTGCGATTTCACCCAATTTGCATCACTTTGAACCCGGCAGTTTTAAGAATGTAGGAGTATCAGGATGGCAAGTGTTCTTTTGTTGACTGATGCTCACAAAATTAAGTCCAATGTATGGTGAACAAATCATTTCTAGTAATGTGTCAGAGATGCTCAATTGGACAGTTGAACAGAGACTGGACCCAGGAACAGATTGTCTTTGACTGCCAGGCAGGAGGTACGGTTCTTTGAAGCCGCACTAACTCGCGCTCGCCTCTCAAAACCGAAAACCCGAACCCTCGCAACTCCTGCTGGCCTTTATTGACAGTATATGCAAATTACAAGTGACATATCAGAAAAACACTGGCCCCTTCATTTACATGTTTTTCTACTTTTTCTACTTCTTCCCTCCGAACTTTGCTGATGTACGTTGCAAATTTCTCCACTGTGAGACAATAAAGGTTTTCTGATCTTATCTTATGCCGCGCCTCTCAGTGGACACCTGGGGGGCCAAAACACTTCCCAGTACAAGCACTAACATCTTCCCATGAACTGATACATCTGTAACTTTGCTCAAGGACATCTTATGCTGGAGCACATTCTGTCCTCCCTATCCGCCCGAAGTTGAATCTTCCTGTCTTATCAGTTGACAAGCACCTCAAACTGACTCCTGAATCTCTATGCTCCATTGTGTACAAGCTGTAGCAACACACGCGTTCAAGGTCCATCAAGCATGTAACAAAATGTAACTTTTAAACATGATCGCATTGTCTTTGTCGATTCTCCATCATAAGTTTGAAGACAACGTAAACAGACCAGGAAAAGAGCTTATGACTCCGTACAAAGTCAACGATATGGTACCAATGAGCTGGCATTCGGCGTCATACCCTGTGGGACAATGGCGGACGCAGAGATGAAGGAGGCGCAGGTATTTCGGGGAACAAGTGAGGCAGTCTCTGGGCGATGACCCCGTGCAGGTGTCGCACATGTGATCACAGGGCAAACAGAAACCCAGCTGGGTTCCATCTGCCTCCAGCCCGCTTGTGTACGTACCGGCCGGACATTCGCTCACGCAGGTCCTGTCTGGAAGACAACACACACAGACACGCCTCTGTTTTTATGCCCCCTTCGAAGACAATCGATGACTTTGTCCTCTCATGGCATTCTGTTTCCCTTTCTATTTTTCTATCATGGCCACAAAAGAATCACATTCTATCGCGCCGGTAGATATCCTGGGCTATATGCTGCGAACAATGAGCTGCAGAAATGACAAATAGTTTGAGATGAAGAACTTCATTGGAAACTCACTGTGAAGGTATCGGGGGACAGCACACATCAGGCATTCGTCGCTGGCAAGCCCCTCGCAGGAGTAGCAGTGGCGGTGGCAGCCCATACATGTGAACTGGTCGTCATGCAGGAAGGTCCTCGGAGGACAGTCACTATCACCGGTCACGCCGCACAGCAAGCTGTTCGGATCCAGAACCAGGCCTCGTTCGCACTGGGTGCACTGGTCAGGGTTCGGACCGGAGCAGCTCACACACGTCTGGTGGCACTCTGCACATCATCAGTGTCATTTCTAGCAAACATGCTGCCTTGAAATGCAAAATGATGCTTGATTTTGCTTTTCATTATTAAGTAGTTATATATACTGTATTGGTTAACCGGCAGCTGAGGAGAAGTTATGATGTAATTTACATTTCAAAAACCAGAAGCCATTCATTTACGAATGTGATTGCACTTTAGATTTGAATGAGGCAAAATAACATGCTTTTTCTCTCAAATATATTGTTATATTCATTTGTTTCAGCTGCACTGTAAATATTTTCTGTATAAAAATTAATTTGGTGTTCAAAAAGTCGTTTTTCAAACTTCGAGTTTTGAAAAAGAGGGGGTCGTCTTATAATCAGGGCCGTCTTATAATCGGGCCAATACGGTAAGTAGGAATCATTTGTTCCTGTATTAGATCTAAATGGGGTAACAGAGGCCAGATGAATGAGCAGAGTGGGGTGTAATCTCAGAAGTATGATATATATTGTCAAACGGCGGATTCACCTATTGCCAGATTTTTGGGGGTGACACAAAAAATGTTTTTTCCTTTAAATTTCCCCAATCACCCGTGTGCTGGAGCCTTTCCCAGCTGATGTTGGGTGAGAGGTGGGGACATGGAGTACACCTTGAACTGGTTGCCAGCTAATCGCAGGACATCTACATCCATCCATCCATTTTCTGGACCGTTTTATCCTCACAAGGGTCACGGGGGGTGCTGGAGCCTATCCCAGCTGTCTTCGGGCAGTAGGCGGGGGACACCCTGAACCGGTTGCCAGCCACTCGCAGGGCACACAGGGACAAACAACCATCCGCGCTCACACTCACACCTCGGGACAATTTGGAGTGTTCAATCAGCCTGCCATGCATGCTTTTGGAATGTGGGAGGGAACCGGAGTACATCACCCGGAGAAAACACACACAGGCCCGGGGAGAACATGCAAACTCCACACAGGGAGGCCGGAGCCGGGATCGAACCAACGACCTCTGCACCGTGAGCTCGACGCGCTAACCACTGGGCCGCCGGGCCGCCCCTGGGACATCTATAGACAGACAAAAACTTCAATAGATGTCACCTTGGCACTCTGTTGCTGCAGCCTCATAGTAGGTGCCAGTCGGGCACTCTTTTGAGCATGCGCCCTTATAGAGTTTAGGACTGAATAAGGAGCAGGTCTCGCAGTCATCCGCCAAAGGCCCAGAACAGCTGCTACAGGTCGGATGGCACAGACCACAGCGGCCCTCCTCCATGTCCTCATAGTAGCCCGTGGGACAATTAGCCTTACAGGCACCATTCAGCATCAGGTACAAGAAAGTGCATTCTGGAAGGAGACGGAAGAAGGTGGGTTGCTTTGTGCTGAACTGAAATACTTCTACATCCACTGTATCACTTCCAACTCACTGAAGCAGGTCCTGTCGTCCGAGCAGATATCGCAGTGAGGGGGGCAACGCCTGCAGGCGCCGTCGTCGGCAGGGTAAGCCCCCAGTGAACAGTTGAGCGTGCACGCACCGCCCTCCAAGTAGCGGCCTTCAGCGCAGGAGAGACATTTTGTACTGGAGCCTTCACACGTGAGGCAGGTATTGTCGCAGGCGCTGCATGATCCCTCTGCCGTCTCCCAGTAGCCTCTGGAAGCAAAGTCAAGGGATATTTATTTGACTAGAATCCATCATAGAATTAATAACTGTGTGAGTGGTGAGAAGCATTATTTTGTGAATTTTTGACGCATTTCTAATGGCGCATTTCTGAACCAATTCCAATTTGAAAATATTCACTCCTTGAAAGAGATCATCTGAACCATTTTTAAACTTCGCCCCCTACCCTCTTTTTTTGACAAGAACCGCAACTATTCCAGTTTAGGAGAAATTTAACGCTTCAAATTCATGATTTCTCAACCAAATCAAATACTGTTGATATGTTTGTACTGTATCGCCACATTTCTCAACCAATACATCCATTCCAACTTCAATTAAAAAATCAGATCATTCAGGACAGAAGGGAACTATTTTTAATTTTAAAAAATCCACACTTTTTCCATAATCCAATCTTTTTCGCGGAACAAAACCATTGCAATTAATGGAAAATTTACATTAATTCAAACCACTTCTCAAACAAGTCACATTTTTACCTCCACATTTGTTAACCACCTTCAACTATTCCAACATGAAATCGGTCAGCTCATTCAGGACATCTTGGGAATTATTTCTGACATACCCAGAATTCACAGTTTTCACCTACCGGTAATTCCGCATTTTCAGCTTTCTTTCCGCAATAGTTGAAGACATTTTTTTCTTTTCTTCTCAACAGGATAATTTCAAACATTCACATTTATCAAATGTTCTCATTTTCTATGAGAAAATGTCCCAATGCATAGAGATTTTTTTACAAATTTACCTCTATCTGATAATTCAGCAAGACTCACATTCTACATTTGTAATTCATTGTACAGCTTTTCATTTCGGCGCCAGCTCTCCACCATCCATGTGCAATTTGTACTGAAATTCCAATTCCTACAGAAAGTGCAATTTCTTTTCTTTGACTTCAATACGTTGTGATGTATTCAAGAGTGCTATAATCCTCACTTGATTTCTGTCTTTGGCATTATGACTCAACATCTTGCATTTCTCAGCTTTCACACACAATTTATAAAGGAATTGCCATTTCTGGCAATGATAAAAAGTGCAACAATAGCAGCTTACTCCGGGCAGTTTGACCAGCACCTCCCCTGGTGAAGATAGAGCTTAAAGCTGCCTTTGGAACAGTCGATACAGTTATCGCTGGAGCCCACGCAGGCCTCGCAGTTTGGTGAGCAATTTTCACACAGCTGTGTGGCCGTGTTAGCATAGGAGCCGGGGGGACACCGCATCACGCAGGAACTTTCCTGGTCCAGGAAATAGCCTGTGAGATGATGATGATGCAGTGAGCGGTTTCAGGTGTGAATTTGACTGCCCGGCAGAAGGTGTTTGTACCTTTAAAACACGAGGAGCAATCCTGCGCCTGTGGGCCAAAGCAGGTCTTGCAGGATACATCACATGTGTGACATTTTCCAGAATCAGCTAGAAATAAAACGCACACGCGCACACACACACACACGGAGAGTGTCAAATCAGATTCAAAAAGGCTAAAACATGAGTGCTTGACTCAAGAATGAAATGATTGCTTGCATACATTTTGATTGGCAAAAAAGATGCAAACACAAACGTGAATAAAATGTTCCGCTCATATAAGATCTGAGGAAAAAAATAGATAAAATAATAAATCCCACGAATCACACCGTTAAACTTTGTTTAACCATTTCAAAGAAGTATACGCTTAACAATTGCTTATTGTTCTGCTTGGTAGGTGTTGAAGACTGCGCTGCATCATACTGAGAGGTGTTCCGCATCATCTGTAAACTATAAATACGCACTCGCTAAGACTGTTCATAATAATAGCACGGTTGAAAACAACTTGACTGGTGCTTCAAATGAGTCCAAGTGCCCTGTGCTGGATGAGCAAAGCTTTCTGGAAACGCTCTTCTAAAGCGTCTCTTGAGTGAGCATGAACTGTTTGACTCGAACCCACAGCTCCCACGAGAGGATTCAAACTTGTGTCATCTGTAAGCACCCACTCTGCTCAAGTGTCCTTAAGCAAGACACCAAACCATCAGCGATTGAAGCAGTCAAACATCAGGTCAGCATCATCTCGGTCACTTGGTACTTTGCTCAGATACAACAGTAGTTATCTCCCGGAGCGAAATTAGCCACATTCAAGGTTGGAAATTACTGGTAGCCTTACCGTCAAAGTAGTGCCCCAATGGGCAGTTAGTCAGTGGGCACTGCCCGTGAAGAGGAGAGTTGCCCGCCAGACAGAGGTCACAGTCTGTTGAGCGAGGCCCGTGGCATGTCTGGCAGGAGCTGTGGCAAGGCTCACAGCGCCACCCGGTGGTCTCCCTGAAGGATTGTTGTGGGCATTGTTTCACACATTTGCCTCCTGTCATGGGCAGAGAAGTAAAAAGATTCCACTTGACAAGTGATCTACACAACAATCTACCCCGAGGAATATATATGAAATACAAGTCTACGCACCGCTGTTAAAATGCCAGTTTTTGTGATGAGAACAAGGTGAACGATTTCAAAACGTTGTTCGCCTGTAACCTAATTGTGGCCTGTAATCTGTACAACGCCATTGAAAAAGTTGTCCAAAAAGTGATGTTTCTAACTACTATACTAAATCCATTCTTCAATCGCGTTTGACCTCATTAGAGTCACAGCGGAGCTGGCGCCGACGCGAGCTGACTTTGAACGAGAGGCATTTTTTTCATGTTATTGAAATCATAAAACAATTACTCATTGATTTCAAACTTGGTATTTATTCAATTAGTAAAACACATTTACTCAAAACTACCATCATAGCCTCATGCCCATTTCCCTGCACACTGAACACTTTCTTCTTGAACACGCTATTCTTTTTGTCAAGTACAAAATGACCGTGTCACTACGATGAGAAATTCAAGCCGCTTTCATTTTCATTCTGCTGCAGCCGCACCTTTGCTGCACTGCATCTTTGCACACATTCAAACCTTGAAGAAGCATCTCCCTTATCTCTTCATCATATTTATTTGATCTTATTTTGTTGTTCCGTTTTGATTTTCACAAGTCTTGGGATGCATGCGTGGAGTTTACACTTTCCGATCACGGACATCCTCGTTCGTTTATATCAAACATGCCCAAACCTTTTTGACCGAAGATCTACTTTTCGATCAACCAACCTCCCGCGATCGACTCATTAACGCGCACACGCACGCCATGATGAGGAACAGCCTGACGCGGAGGCATGCGAGGCACTTTGGCAGCCTGTTAACTATCGTAGCTCACCCGTACCGTTTAAAAATAATAATAATAATAATAATGATAAAAGATAAAAGCGCAACAGCTCCGATCACAAGCTGCAATTGCAGACTGCTGAGCGCTAACAACTTCCGGTGACGTAGGTCACGCGCCAGCGTAGGTTAAAGATTTACCTGCTTTTTTAACATTTTATTTTTTAATACTTTTTGTGAAAATGAGACTCATAGGATGATTAGGGTGCAGTGTACATTAACACAAAAAAATATTTTACTAACATGCGCAAAGACACTCAAATGGTTGGTTGTTTTTTGTCTCCTCTACACCCCTCTACCGGTCGATCGCGATCGACGTAATGGTCACCTCTTATATGATAAGAAGAATAGAACAAGAAAGATACGATCGAGCACCGGTATGACTCGTTTGGCACATTAACCCTTTCAAGGGACAGCGGTTACTCCAGTGGACAGCTTAGCATGTTATCAGGTTGCTAATTAGTGAGCAAAATGGTGGAAATATAAAAGCGCGGTACCATTAAGGAAGTAATCTGGCTGGCAGGCAAGGCACTGTGCCTCACCCCTGCAGTCTGCGCACGGCATGGGGCAGGACAGGCACACACCCCTGCCTTGGTCCTCATATGTGCGCTGGGGGCAGTGCTTGCGACACTGGTGTCTGAAACTGTGAAAGGAACAGTTAATAACCAACCCATGTATAATGCCAATCGTAATATTTACCCTTATCAAATAATCATCTAAAACCCCACCTTGCTGTGTGCATGTGAAACTGGCCGGTAATTATTGACAAAACCTCCACTTGTTTTTAAGCCAATATGTTGAGCTATTGTGACATTTTCAATGGGCCTTTCAAAGTGTCACAATTACAAGAAGAAAAATGTCGAGGCAGGCAGGTCCCACCCCCTTTGTAGCAGGATGAAATGACACGAGGGATGATAAAACATCCACCACAACTGCAGTCGTATTGCTTTCATACAACAACAGACAAGGATACACGATGCCGACCGATTTTTTTTCAGACGTTGTCGCTTTCCTCTTAACACAGAAAATTAATTGGCATTTATTTGCAGCTCGGAGGCACGGGGGAATCATTAACCTGTCTTCCGTGTCCCCCCGAGGCCGATCTGAGCTATTTAATTTCGCCAACCGTCCTGAAATGTAGTGCAAAGTAAAGATGTGCACCAAAGATGTCGCACAGCAAAATTGCAACAAGCAACGATCCACTAATCCTCTTGTGCCACCTTCCCTAATGAGAGTCCGACCCAGTGACAAGCCAGGGTGCGATCTCTTTGGCGTTGCCTCGGCGCTGAGATGCGTTGGCTGTTTGAGGGGGAACAGCTGGAGGCGCCACATAGTATAAATCAAGTGTTGAGAAACCGCGGGATGTTTGAGGATCCCTCTGAGCCAATATTAGACTCTCCATTCCACAAGGGCACGGCAGCATTACCCAAGCAACACCCCCCCCCCCCTTTTCCTTAATGTGTGTCTAAGTTAGGTAAAATGGGCTGCAGATGCACCACAAAGTTAACCTTTAGGCCATGAAACAAACCTGCTGAGTGTTATCTAAGTAAATTCGTATTTCCTTGGGAGGACGCCAAAACGTCCATCACGTTTACAAACTCAGGACTTTCCCATCAGAGCCTCACACCACAAAAGGAGAAATATTTGGTGACGTTTTCAAATTAATTTTGTATGTAGATCACTTTAAAAACACAACCAAAAAAATGACATCATCAAACTGCTGAGGATATGTATTCCAAATTTGGAATTTAACCTATCCAACCTAGCCAAGTATATCTTTTGTGAACTGCATATTAGAGATGCAATGATTAATCGACATCGAAATGATTATCAAATGAATGGACAACTATTTCCGGAATGTATTAAATGTCAACAGTAAATATTCTCAGATTTCCTTCATCCTCCATGAACTCAGAACTGTGATGGTAGACTTTAACCTCCTGCGATTGCTGAGCGGTAACGTGAAGGTGGACATCAACCCGCAGGCAGCCTTGCACTCTTTGCATCCACCTACTCAAATTTGTTTGACGCAAACGCCGCCTCCGAGCACCACTCTGGCTCAGGTAACAGTGTCTCTTTTTGAATGTGCGGTAATCTGACACACAAAATGCCAGAAAAGGGGCAGAAGTAAACAATGAGAGGTCTGTTTAAGATCCCTAAACTGTGACCCACAATGTGTGAGTCAGCAGAGGAAGAGAGACGATTGCAGTTTTAGTTGCATTGATTAAAACTTCACAAATATATAAAATTCATTAAAAAATTTTTTAATATGTCTACAACTCCAATGACAAAGGGTGACAGCAAAAATTCGCAAACCTTCTTATTCAAACGTCTTCTTTTACACTTTTAATCAAATGTCAACTCATCCGATGTTTACACACTTTCAAGGTGAGCGCGAGAAGAAAATGTCACTCGTCGGCAGATAAAATGAACGGAAGATTAAAAACTTACAGAAAGTAACCTTGAGCGCAACTGCTGCAAATCTCAGGGTCTTCTGTTAAAGAAAGAAAAAAAAGGATAAGAACAACCAATTTAAAGTGAGTCATTTTACAAACTGGGTTTTAATAGCCTGAACGGACCATTCAATTGATACATCAACAGTAAAAGTGACTTTTACCTGTGGAGCATGTTTTGCAGCCCATCTGACAGTCAATACACTCGCCTGTATCGAGATCCTGCACTTGTCCTGCAACGCGGAGTCATACAAATCTGACATTTTGCGACATTTTCTGTAATTACATTTCACCTATCTTTGCATTCTGTCCTCCATTTTGGATCACATTGAACAAACCAAATGCAAGTCTGGGAGAGGTCACTAACATGCTTTTATCTGGTTCTCAAATGTAGCCACAACAAAAGATTTGGTGTCCTGTTTACCTATATCACAGTGTGCCGTTTGGCAGAGCCCACCGTGGAGTTTGTAGCGTTCGCGACATTTGGCACATATATTGCCATCTGTGCAGAGTTCACAATTGGCTATGCAGGGCAGGCAGGCATAGCGACCCCTGTCAGGATACAGTCCGCGGGGGCAGTGCATCCGACAGCGACCTTGGTGGAGGAAACGTTCCTGTCCATTTTCATCTGAAGGAAAAAGAACAAAGAAAACCGAACGCATTTTGTTTTCTTTGAGATACTATTTTGCCTTAGGGAGCCATTTCATGCAAATCCCTCCATTATCCATTTTCCATACTGCTTATCCTTATTTGGGTCACAGGTTAGCTAAAGCATATTTTAGCTGATTTTTTGGGGGGGCTAGAGGCATCCCAGAATTCGTCGTCGCCAGTCAAATATTGCGCACGCACAGACAAAACAGCATTTGCACTCACATTCACATCCAATGGATGATTTTAAATGGACATTTTTCACGACACAAATGTTTTTTGTCATTTGGGAAGAAGTGGAAGAACCCGCTGAAAAATAATGGAAGTATGCCTGCACAAAGAAATCAACACAGAAGAACCCTGAACTTAGATTCAAACAGATCGACGTGCCATCTTTGTGCCATTTCATGAAATCCCTTTCCGCAAATCTTTGAAAATAGTATTTCCATGCTTTGGTTGGACTTTTGGAGGACTTCTGTGGGGGATGCAGTAGCTAGAGAAAAATAAAGAGACCTTTAAAAAAAACTATTACAAGATAACTTCAGGTATAGTTGGTTGTGATTGGATTAATTTTGAATATGTGGATGAATTTTGACCCAAAATGGGATGATCGATTCAAGCCCCGCCTTCATATAAATTCAGGTCTATTTTATTGTATTATTATTATTATTATTTATTTATTTTTATTTCTTTAATTGCTGTCACTAAGCGACCTGTAAGTTTCTCTATTCAAGGCAATGCAGGATATACTGCTCAAATAAGTAAAAGAAAATATTTACCTTGAATTTTTAAAAACACAAATCTACAAACAAAGAGCAGAACAATGCAATTATCAGCATACCTTTGCAAGCTTCCCGTGATGGGTTCAGAGTGAAAATGAGGACTTTGTTTGTTGCTTCTCATTTTACAGCGGCATGGCTTCTAGCAAATATCTTCAGCACCAATTTGCAAGCCGAATACTTTGTTAGTCGAAACTTATATTTGACAGTGATCATAATTTAGGCTCCACCTGTGTAAAAACAATAGATGTACACTACTCGGTGCAACCAGAGAGTCACTGACGAGGATAGGAAAATGCTACCATTTTTTGAGAGTCACCCACCGAGAACCTCTAATACATAAACTTTTTCAAGTGCCGCGTGAAACTAAAATGAATAGTCAAAATATATAAAGTGTCCAGGCCCTGGTTGCTCATATTCTGTGGGCCTAGCTGTGACCCTTGAGGCGTCCCTAGAAGCAGCACAGTATTAACTGTAAGAGTCGAGTGGGGACTGGAGGGGAGCCACAAGCTGCACCTGCTTTTTGAAACTCCTCCACCTCCCAGCATGCACGCACACACACATCACAGCACCATGACAATACACTGCAGAGAGTGACTTTTGATGCTTTTTGAAGTACAACATCAAGGCCGCCGTCCATAGTGCTATGTAATAAAAGACTATGTACTGCAAGTGCACTAACTTACAGATGGAGGCGGCCAGAACACACACAAATGAGCCCATCCCACAAGTGTGTGTGGCAGGGAGGTAAAACCCGGTGAACCGCACAAGTAATTCAAGCCAAAGGGGATATTTTCTCCTTTCCCTCGGATTAACAAAGAGCCCATTTTAACACGATCACATTACTCCGAAGAAGTAGGAGGGAAATGATCACACCTACATTTTTTTAAACAATATCAACCGTCCCTCTGTAAGTAGAAATGTTAGAAATCCCACCCGTGACTGTTTTAACAGGGGTAAATGTTAAACTGCAAACGACTTTGGTGTGTTTTAAATGGTCATCCATTAAAACGATGGACAGAGGCAATCCATTACATTCAAACTACAAAAACTGATTGAACTCACTAAGAAGAATTGTTAAATTATCTTTTTTTCAATTCATGAATAAAGACGAGACAAATCACAACATCATACATTCGTTAACGAGTTCAAGAAAAATTAGGAAATGTAGTACCATAGTTAAAACTGCGTCATTTATATGTTCCAAGCAGGACTTCCTTTCACTCACCCACTCCACAGGTAGTGCACTCAAACAGCTCATGGCCCCAGCACTCGGAACAGGTGGGATGGCAGAGGACACATTGGCTCTTGAGCACAAACTGTCCTCTCGGGCAGGACAGAGCTCTGCACCCGACGAGCGCAAGGAAGAGGAGCTGGATCGCGCCGAACAAGAGGGACCTCATTACTGTTGCTGCGGCGACTGCAAAGTGAAGACGAGAAGGCAGCAGTGCCGCCGACTGACTTGCACGGACGCAGTGTCCGTGCATGCAGCAAGTGAAGCGCCCAGACTCAAACACCAGCCCACAAATACTGTAACCTGCTCGACCAGTTCATTGGGAAGTGGACAAATGGCCAATGTGCAGGATTGGATAGATAGATAGATAGATAGATAGATAGATAGACAGACAGACAGACAGACAGACAGACAGACAGACAGACAGACAGACAGATAGATAGATAGATAGATAGACTACTATCCATCCATTTGCGTGCATTTAAATTGTGTGCGTGTTGGAATCATCTGACCTAGATTTAATCAAAAGTAAAATCTAGGTCGCACCCGGTTTACTGAGGTTTACGGATGTAAATTAGAGGGATTCTGTGGTTTTCCCCGCCGTGGCTGTTTATTTATTCAACTGCCAAAACCGATTGCAACGCGAGTAAAACGATTGTTAAAAGACCGTATAAAACCTGAATAAAAACAAACAACTACTTAGGGGTGATTTTGAGCAGAAAAAGAACAAAACGTGGTTTATGGGGGACTACATAGTTTGGCGGCAGGAAAACTTGCCACCTTTACGAGCAAACTATTAAAAACAGTAGCGTTTTTGTAAATGTATTGCAAGCTCTTGACTTTATTTGGGAGCACAGCAACAATTACTGGACACCCATTGCACTGGTGCGGTCGTCCAAAGTTGAGGTTTGTTTTTACTCAGGCACTACAGCGGCCTCTCGCGGGCTTTTGGGTCCTCACTCGTGTTAGGCGCGCACTCGCCCACCCGACGCGTGCGTACGTGCGTTACTGCGTGCGTGCTCCCGAGCTCCCAGCCGGTAGCTTACGTCACGCGGCAGCCGGAGGGGGCGTGGCTTATGGCCACTGCAGCGGAGGAATATGACACTGGGATGAGCGAGCGCGAGAGGAAAAGACACCGAGAGGCGGGAGGGAGACGACCGGCCAGGAATTAACGGTTCGCCAAGAGGTCTGCGCTGCAAACGTTACGATGGAGAGCAATGACTGACGGCAGAACGGTAAGAGACACTCGGGTTTAATTTTTCGGGGGCCGGGTTCCCCCCTCACAGCGCGACAGGCCCCGCTTCTACGACTGCTTCAGTGCCGATTGAGCACAATGGGTTAGCACTGCGGACAGGTGCACCTACGTGCTTGGATGCGTCCAACTTTAGCGAAGCTTTTATTTGGAAGCTCGAGGCTCAAAACACCCGAGGCCAGACATCACGACGGGGGGGTGGTGATGCAACGTAAAGCGGCGGCGAAGAGTTAAACAGTGTCAACATGAATGTGAGGCTATGTGCTTAGTCACAAGTCGCTTTTGTGGTCTTGTGGAGCAAGTGTGACAGCCGGCTGTATTTTGTGATGATGGCCCATTTTTTAACCGATAGACAATTAGCTCACTGAACGTGTGTAGCCTACCTATAGAATATCAATCACACTTTTTTTGGAGGTGGGCACGCTGGGGTAGATCTTTTAACGTGGACACGGATGATCATCATAATCATACATGGTTTAATTAAGACGAGTCAAATGCAACATTGTATAGTAGTGGGATGTACATTTTTCTTCCTCAAAGGCCTGATTTATGGTGTCTTCCATCAATGAATGTCTCCAGGTAGGACAAAGCCACAATTTTTTTTTTAACTTTACATTTATGTCTGTCATTCATCCCTTTGTGTGGGACAAACAGTGAAATGAACAAATCTCTGTATTATTTACTCCTCTGTTTACAACCTGCTTTCTGGACAAAGCTAAAACAGAGCCACAAAGCCAAGACAAGTGTGTGGGTGCCAGGCTAAGCCGTGCCATTCCTTCTCCTACAGATAGTGACGAAAGGGCACTTGGCACCAGATCAGTTCCCACTGTGAATTCTGTTCCTGTCAGTGGCATTTAGTTGCACAAAATCAGAACAGAGATGATGGTTGGTGTTGAACTCCGCTGGACTTTCATGTCACTCATGGCAGCACTCGGACAATGGCCAATGACATTCCTTTGCAAACATGTCTGCCAACTGCCCACTACCTCCATTACCTTAGCAAAGAATTCCCCCCATTATGATCTGTAATTCTTAAAAGAAAAAAAAAAGAACAAGGAAGCTTTGGTTCTCATAATAATAATAAGCACCTGACAGCTTTGGCTTTCTGCCACATCTAAAATCTGCAAAGTTTAGTTGTTCAGAGGAGATGAAATGAGTCAAGAAACTCATGTAATCCCCATCCAATCACTGCCCGTCTTTAAAGTGGACCCCGTTCTTTAGACATCTCTACAGGTGGTAAGGCCATGTCAAGTGTCTTCTTTCATGCAGTGTGGTCATCTCGAGGCCACCGAGAGGCTCTCCTCACAATGTTAGGCTGCATGTTTATAAGGCAGATGTACAAACATTGCTTTTGTGCTCCCAGGATCACCCAACAGAACAACACAACAGCGACGTGGCGGAAACCGAGTGAACTGTCGTTAAGTGTGCTGTGTTCGGCAATCAGTTTTCATGAGTGGCGGACGGTCGGGCATTGAGCGAAAGGGGCGATCGATCATGGCCTCTCGTAACTATTTCCTCTATTTTTGTGGCCCGCTATTTCTTCCTTGACAATTATGCTATGTATTTGTGGTTCAATTAAAAAATAATACAGTGCTGTATGCTTTACGGGGAACCTCAGAACCCAGCGCAAGGTTGCAGTTTTGCCGTTGCAGTGCATCAGTCGTGTGGTATTGAATCGGTAGTGTGCCGAAGAGAATAATTTTTTGAGATGGTGGACTTAAGTCGCATTGGGTCGTGTCGCTCAGTGTCCAGCGGGTGCATTCATACTCTCGGTATTTAATCCCTTTTGAAGCAAGTTTGTTTCCCTTATTTGTTCGATTTATTAGTGAAGCGTGAGCAAAATAGCCCACACTAGTTGGTCGTTTTGGGTGCAAGAACTAGAGTTCTGAAGAAAAAGCCTGATCAATTAGATTTTATTTTTTTCTGCCTTATCTCCATAAAATATCATAAAATCAAAATCCTCTTTTATATTCAATACAGAGTAGCATGAAATCCAGGATCAAGTTCTTTTTTTGAAAAACGCTTTTCATTATCATTCACTCACACCGAGTACTCTTTGAATTATAAAAGTCTGAAATGATCTGAAAATCCAGGGACCACTTCTGGAAAGCCAAAATTGTCTGACGATAATGTGGATTTATACGGAGATCATCCCATTTTAACAAGATAAGGCTCTGCTTTACTGAAGCTTCTTTGCTGTCACCGCCTTCGTGGCTTTGACATTTTGAGGACTTCATACAGGCTTTAGTGTGATATTTATCATGAAATAGTGCCCTGGCAGCCTACAGAGCCTCATTGAAGGTGCATTGCTGCAGTGTATAGAGGTTGATCTCTATTATTATGTAAAGCTGTTAATGGTTTATGGAGTTTAAATGAACACAACATTGTCACTTGCAATGTTCGATATGAATTTTTATGTCAGCAAAAGCTGGTTTTATTGTTGATAGCTTTTCAGTTTTTTCATTCTAAGCTGCCTTATTTTTCCAGGTTCCAAAGATTTAAACAGAGGACTCTCCAAAGCCAAATCTCTCTGGGTTCGTGTAAATTGTATTTTGCGCAACATACCTGGGAAAAATTTGACCAACGTCACGCAGAATGTCAGAATATGACAGTAGACATCTATTTGCTTCTGTGATGTCTGTCCCAAGAGCATAAAAAAACGAATGAAGCCAAAAGGATGTGTGGTTGATTCTACTGGCATTAGTCCTGGAAGCAGGCTAATTGCCGGAGACGTGCGCCTTTGTAGCATGTTCCCCACGAGGCCATTCGGGCACACCTCTCACGTCTTCCCACAATCCAGCAACGAGGGAACATTTTTCCAAATCAAACAGAACACTGTTGCACAGGAAACCCTCGGTGGCTCAATTCAGACTCATGAAAACCCACAGTAGGTCTTTCACTCTCAAAAGGAGGTCAGACCTCCTTTTCTCGGCGAAAAAAGCCTTTCTGGAAATTCTCCATTTTGTCTGTCAGTTTCTTTCTTCTGAAGGAGACGCGATAAAGGACATGCAGGCTGAAATCAGTTGCTCAGCTGTTGCTCATTCTAGATTTTAAGTAGCGTAAACAAAGGCACCGCTCTCTGCGGCTGTCTCATCGAGTGCTTATCAAATGCATGAATGACATATTGATGAGTCAAGGCAGTAGCTATGCACTTGTTCCATCCAGTAAGACTGCACCCTTCTCGGTCAACAGTTAAAACAAAGGAGAGGAAATTGGAAATGACTTGAAGTCAACAGGGAGAGAGTAGCTGAAAGCAGTAGTTTTCAACTGTTGTCACCCTCAGACCTGCATTTTCCTATTGTCGTTAAGTTGCGACCTACTTGTATAGGCATTAAGAACAATGAAGACAATGTATTATTCAAAAGTAGTCATTGGAAATATATTTTTAAACATAAGGAAACATGCTTGCATAATCCAAGTGCCTTTCAGAGCACCTCATGAAGAAACTAAGGATGAACATGACAACTGCATGTACTGTACAAAAATGAATACAATAGAATTACAGAAGAATATCACAATTGCACACAATTTCACTTATCGATGGCCCCGATCTCGTCTTTTTAGGAGGCTTTCTTCTCCACAAAATCCTAATTTTAAAAATACATTGAAAGAGCTTAATCTTGGGAATGAAAAAAGAGCATAGTTTTCAACTTGGATTTAAAAGCATTTACAATTTATTTTAAATCTTTCTTCATTCTTGTTATTAACTTTGATAATAAAGGACAGCAGCGAATAGGGGGACCATATTATATCCAAGCGGGAAACGTTTTTTTTTTTTTTGTTTTGTTTTGTTTTAATAGGGATGCTTCGATTGATCTGTGGCCAATAATTATCAGTCAATATTCGTGAAAAAAAAACGTGTGATGTGATATGTGATCTGATCAACACCTCGAAAAGCCGATCGATCAACCCACTTATTTGGATGTACGGATATGTTACAAGTCACTCATGACGTCGAGGAATTAACATGGATGTCACATAATTTCACACACCGTTCAAGGTTACGGTCTGTTCAAAAATTTCACAAATGTTAGCTTTTAAATATGAAGCACATTCAGCTACGGTATGACAAAGATTAACCAGTTTATAAATTTATTCATGAAAAGTATTGCGCCACGCAATGCACTCTGGGAACAGAGCTGCTCGATATTATGACGTTGCCTTTGCAGTGTTGCTACATTCTGTTCATCGGCGTCACAAAAACTCAAGGGGAAAAAAATCAAGGATGTATGCTCTGTATTGATAGCACCAGTTTTGGCGTTGACAAAAAAAAAATCTGCTTTTTGAAAACCGTTTGAGAAATGAACAAGCTATGCCCTGTTTTCAATGCTGGTTTTGCCTCGTTTAGTAACCAGCCTCCCACTGGCAGAGGGCTAGCATTGGCATTAGCGCTTCGCTTCGTTGCGCTCATCTCAAACCTTCGAATGCCGCAGAGTTTCATAATGGGTGGCAGTTGCTGTCTGGACTTGATGACATTCAAGTTCGATCGCTGAAGTAATCTCAAGAGTCGGCGTTATATTTATATATTTATTCACGCATTTACGGTGGAGTACAGCACCATGACGTCACATCAGAGTTCTTGTTCTTCAAGGTTACGTGGGTGCCACCCAGTGTTCAGATAGAGAAACTACAATCGAAAACCTCAATGTGATTTGAAGCGCCCTTATTTTCCTTCAGCAACTTTTTATTCTACTTATACTTCGTGAAATTAATGATTCAATTATTAATGTCATACTCCAGCAGGATTGGCAATAGGAATGCATTTTGTTTCACCCCAAATGAAATTTCATTCCATTTCATTCTAATTGGAATACAAGCCTTGATGTAAACATGAGTAGTGGTTATCATTGTGTTTGATCAGTATAAGATATTTGCGAACAGCTACTTTTATTTGGGAAATTAAGCTCAAAGAAGCCAGGTGTTATTCTTCACTCTCTCCACTTTGCTGCAGTCGCCCGCTGCTGTCCTCAGTCAGTCTCATAAAATTGGTGTCCACACACAAGACTAAACCAAGATGAAGAATCTTTGTGTCGACGGAGCAATTTAGGTTTCAGAACTATATTTGGTGATTTAGCGAAAACTCTTCAGGATTCTGTCGTCAATATTTGCAAGGAAAACGACCTTAGAAATAGAATAAACCCAAATACCAGATGGCCTGGTGATCTGACGTTGAATCTAAAAATACACAATGCAGATCGGTCTTGCTTTGACTGAACATTTCACTCTTGGCCCCAGTAGTGCGCGTGTGACACTTGGTCGGAATGAGCCCAGTCCAGATTTCAGTTGTGATAGCACAGCTGTAGGGGCTGGCATTTAAGGGGGTTATGTTCTTGTTCTATGACCCTCAGCAACCACAGCTTTGTATTTGGTTGAATGCTGCACACGCAGCTGAGCTGAACATTTGACTTGACCAGACAGTCTCTTGTATCAAATCTCAGCTCATGCGTTTACATGCGGTGTAGCTAAAGAGTGATTTTGTCTTCGCCTGGTCAGTAGTGTGCATCCTTTTGCAGAGCATCATCGATTGAAACATACCTCAGATGAATATTCGTGTTCGAATAACAAGTCCCAGCTCTCCGCACACTCTTGCTGCGCTGGCAGTGTGCAGCGTGGCAATGAGATGTAAAGTGACATTATTGCTTCCTGCAGCATTTCTCACCCAGCATGGAAGTCTAGACTTTTAAAGGCCCAGCAGTTGTAAAGCAGGGCAACAGTGTCACATCTGTGTAATGATATTTGCAAATGGATCAAAATGACTGCTTCCTCCCGGCTGCTGCGCTTTCCAGAGGATCCCCCTGGCCGGGAGCCGATAAGCAGCTGTCTGTGACTCCCGCGCAGTCATTTCCCCTAACGGCAAAGGCTCGGTGTTGAGAGGGTATCGGATTTTTAGGCTGTATCCCTCACGCAAAGAATAGAGTTTATCCATTTATCAAATCTACCTTTGGGGAAATAATTATTTATTTTTAGGTGCATTTTGACCATTATCAAATTCCTCAGACAATCTTTGATTGATTTTATTGTTTTCGCATGACTTCGCTTTTATGTATTTGTTTTGTTACTGATAATAAATTACTATGCTAGCATGACATCCAGACCACAATTTGCCTTTGTTGTTTTTGTACCGTCTGCAGGAAATTACTCTCTTTAGGCTTCCTGTTGGCTTAAATGGCCTGGACACTTTGGCGATAAAGGCGATAAATCTGCTACTTTGACATGCACTTTGCAACCCTCAAATGTGTTTTTAGGCGAGTGAACTTGAATCCTTTCTACGTCGTAGGTGCGGAATAAGTAGTGCATGTCAAGTGCTTCAAGATGCGATTAATCAACAATCAATTCCACACAATCCAAAGAATTCCCTAACCCTCAATTAATCGATTTTTGTGCCCAGCCGTGAGTAACCGTGTGCTATGACTTCATAGTGTTTTAATGTTCCACCTGTCTGTTAGCCCCGAAGGCAACAAGGGAAATCTAGGCAAGTGTTCGGAGCAGAGCATAATGGTGAGATAAGAACAAGTGCCACTTTCCCGAAGACATACAGTATATAGAAGTTTAGCTAGGAGATGGCAACTACATTTGTCACATTATTCATTCGCTTATTTTATTTATTCTTATACAGTAAAAAGAGCATGCTAAAGTGAAGAGTTTTGTAAAGGACATATACTGTTGAACAGAGGTGTCAACGTCAAGGCTCGGGGGCCAGATCTGGAACGCCACATCATTTTATGTGGCCCGCGAAAGAGAATATTGCGTGTCAACTGGCATTATCCTTGCGAAAATCTGTACTGAAATGTGAAATTGTCAGGTGGAATAAACAACGTTGAGATTTTGCAATAATTTTGTTCCCCTACTTACGACAAACAACTAGTTTTAAGTCACGTCACAAGGAAGCAGTGACAGCTGCGACGAAGGCTGAAGTGACAGCCGAAACTGTGAGCCAGGTAAGCGTTGAAGAGAAACTTCACCAAAAAAAACATTGTCTGGAAAAAAATAAAGAAACTTTAAACCTAATTTAACAAACAAATAGTCCACTTGAGTGATTTCAAAACGAGTCATCCATCAATTGGTTGTTTACAAGTTATGCGAAGAGATAATTTATCCGGTTCTACTGTCGTAACGGCCCGCTGAGGGGAAAACGTAACTCCAAAGTGGCCCGTGACAAAAATCAGTTTGACACCCATGCTGTAGAAGATACAGAAGGCAAATAAATGCGATCAAGATAAAATATCACACACGAAGCTTATAAAAGCCAACGTATGTTTTGTTTAATTTGAGTGAAGAGGATTGGAACATGTACTGCAACAATGGCTAGAAGGTATTACTGCAAACCTCCATGAACGCTGTATACGACATATCTTCCTATAATGGAAGCGAAGGCGTTCAAGTGTGAGTACACTTTACCTCCCACCTGCTGCATGTCTGTGTTGCACGTGGGTGACTATGAACTCATCCTGCTACTGTATCATGGACATGTATCAGCGATACATGTACAATTATAGAAAAACAGCAGGCGGTTCATCGCCATGTAAAATGTCAGAAAAAACAGAACCCCGTTTGTTTTCCTCTTGGTGATTATTGCTGATTTTCTCTCGGTATTGTACAGGAGAGGATGCATGTTGTTCCTCGAAGGGATGAGCAAGTCTTGCATCGGGATGCCGTATCATTTTCACTCGAATGGTGTTTTTTTTTGCAAGTCTTGCATCGGGATGCCGTATCATTTTCACTGGAATGGCGTTTGGTTTTTTTTAATTTTTATCTGCAATGCAAGTGAGCCTAAGTGAAAATAGCACAACTTGAGGCTCACAGATCAGGAGCTGACATGTTCGCAATAGAGCAATTTTGTGACTACGCCGTGATGAATAATACATGAGTTAATGCTCTTACCTAAGTGTCGGGCTCCTCAGCTCAAAGTAAGAGCATGACGCTAGTTGGCTGCTAGGTCAGATATTTGCCGCAATGTTCCAAAAGTGCTCATGTTACTAGCATGAGAGGAAGACGAGGGAGGCAGTTGGGGTGAACGTTTAAATTACGCCAATATTTTTCACATAGATTACATTTGTGTTTGTACCATTTTTATATTATATATTTTTTTTGCTGTGGTATCATTTCAGTATTGGAATCAAATTACTTTTTTATAGGAAAAGTATCAACACCAGAATTTTCATGCTTTGCGTTTTTTTGTTTGTTTGTTTAATGGATTCTGAAGGGCTTGAATAATGGATTGAAGTTAACATTTTACTTGTGATTTACACCAAAAATAAAATGCGATACAAAAGAATTTAGTGCAATATTTATTTATATATATATATTTTTTAAAACAATCATGCCATCCAGCTAGCTAACATACGTTGTTACGTAACCTGATGTTGGCAGGAACAAGTTCTGATTAATGACTTGTTTTTCAATACATGAAGTCATTTATTGATGTAAGAGTTGAAGGATGAAGTGGTTGGAGTACCTTCAAACTAAAGAACATATTCATGCTCCAAAATCAACCGCAGTCACATGTGTAACCTTTGTTCCCACAAATAAAGCATGAAGGATATTTTAGTCTTAAATGGGAAAACTTTTTCGATGCTTGCCAGCACTCTTGCTGAGAGGTTGGTGTGAGGTGTTGCTTACTATGCCCTACTGGGTACAAAATGTGTACTTTCAAGTTAAAAAAAAAAACCCAAACATGTATATATTCTCCCTGCAGAGTTCATACAAAGGCTGCTTTCGTATTTGTCTTGGGGTGGAGTGAATATCTTAAATGAAATGAAATCCCCACTACATATTGTTGCATTTATGGAACACTTGTGACATTTCTCAAGATCTCCCCCCCCCCCCTTTTTTGAACCTGTCAATCTCTCCCAACTCATCATATGACGTCTGTTCGCACCCTTCCAGTAACCTTTCCTGCTTTATGCAGCGTCAGCAAACTCGAACATTGTTGTGTATAAGCAAAGATTGTAAAGATAGTTTTGCATTTTCTTAACCGGGTTCGCGTTCATTTCACACGTGCGTCCGCATTTTATTGCGAGACTCTTTCCCTGTGCACGTCGCACATTTAGGTGCTACTTGATGCTTTGTGAGCAGAATTAGGCAGTTTCTCGTCATCGTGTGATTTTTACAAGGGAGTGGGACTCCCTGTTCTCTAATATGACTCAAATGACAGTACAGTAAGTAGAAGCAATCCGATGATGTGACTCAGATCATTGTAATGCTCCTACTCAGTTCAAACAGTCGAGGTGTGATTCCATTCGGTGTCTCAGTTCATCAGAAACTAAGAGTATATTTTTCAGTTTCAGTGGGTGACTTCCTGTATTATTGTGTATATTTCAGGGCATTCTGCATCCCCGCTGTCTTCCTTTCCTTGGCGCGTGAAGCCATGGACTAGAGCTCTGTCTGGTCCCGACAGTCCCACGGTCATGTGATGGCGTCGCATCAAACCTCGGAAAAGATACAGAAAGTAAGTTTGAAAACAAAAACAAACAAAAAAACTGTTTGTGGTTTTGAAGAAAAGCAGCACTGCCAGCCAAACGTTGTTGAAGTGAAGAATATTTTGTGTTTTTGTTATTGATACATTTCATGACCGACCAAAACTAATGAATGGATTGACTACATCCCTAAGTTGCCTCGCCATCTAGTAGTTAAAAACACGTGTCTCTTTGGTCGTCCAAATTTTGACATGCTTGATGCCACATTAGTCTGTAAGATGGAAAAGTAGTTACAGTTCATGTAATATTCACTGGGTGCTGCATTAGGTACTGCCCAACCTACCGGTAATGATATTTAATATTTATTAGGAGCATTACAATTCCGTCTCCACGCCAGTTCTACATGTTGTTTTCTTTTTCTTTTTTTTCCCCCCTATATTACCGTGACTACAGCTTTCTACCTGAGCTGATACCCTGAAAAGTGAGCACCAAAGCCCTTCTTTTTCTTGTCGTGCAGCTTTAATCTTGCTAGCTCTGGTTCCAGTGGAACGTCGACCAATTGTAAACCAACCTATGTTTTCTTTTCTTCAAGTTGAATTCATGGTCGGGTGTGTGAATTGATCATCAAGGAACTATTGCAATGAACGTCTTCTGTTGTTCATTTTTGTAATCCTCTGTGTGTGACAAGCAAAAGTTTAAAAATGATTTAACTAGGATGGGGGACTCCCGCCGGCATAATGCCATGTCAGAAAGAAAGCACGTAGTCGGCTTTTTCTGAGTCACTGTTACCTCCCATGTGGGTGGAGGGGAGAAATAGTGGGGGATGATGGGGACATGACTGTACCTAAAGGAAAAGTTGAGGTCTTACCCCTCAACACTACAGTACACCTAAAAAATCTATATGCCCTGCCTGCATAGCATCATTCGGATTCTGCTAATATTAGACTTTTCTTGCCACAAGAGGATTACTCAATCTAAAAAGATCCAATACAACGTTTATATTTCTCCATATTTCCACTCGTATCCCAAAAAAGGTGAATGTTGAATTTTCCTAGTGTACCCAGCGCTTGTAAATTCTATTTCTATTTTAATAATTGGGCTCATAATACCATATTTTTTAATCCAAGAATTCAATGGGAAGACACGGCTCGGGTGTGTCATGTGTGACCATGACGGTCTGGTATGAAGTACCTGAAATCGATAATTCGTCAAAGTGTCAGTATCTTAAAGGGGAAGTCAACCCGTAAAATGTCTTCACAATTTTAGAATTGTATGCGCCCCCTCCAGCCCAAGCACGGCATTCTGATTATTATTGTGTTTGGGGAATATGAATTAAGCAGCAAAATCCATCCTTTTTTCATCCATCTCGGGTTCAGCCATTTTGCCGCTTTGTGCCGACTGAAAATGACATCACAGTAGCCAGGGATCAGGTAACGACCAATCACGGTTCATCTTGCCAATGTCACATGACCAAACTCGTAAAACAACTCCTACTCAGATGAGAGGCGAAGCGTCTTCTAAGTCAGACGATCAGAAAAGTCCAGTTGCAATCAAGTCAATGCCCTGAGAATGAAATGACCTGGATGAATGAGAATATTCGCAAGCACACTCCAATCACTCACTCACTACTACAACACCGTGCAAATGGCTGACGGTAACTAGGTCAGCTAAACTATTACATCCTAATTGCAAGTTTGACTCATTAATAATGCATTGTGATGAAGAGCACAACATAAGTCAAGCCGCTCATGAGAGCCAACGGTAGCTGAGAGGACATTTTAAAGCCAAGATGCTTCTGTTGTGGTGGGTTCCAAATGTCATGTTGTGCTCTTTAATGCAGACAGCCCGCGAGTAAGAGCAGAGCGGCTGCTGATGCGGGCGGGGCCTCTCCGCTGGGCTTCAGCTCATCTTGGGTGAAAGCCACGGGCCTTAGCAGGCTCTGTTCTGCACAGAGTTTCTCTGTTGTTGCGGTCGACCTGTGGGTTGTTTGTTTCTTTGCTGCTGTTGCTCGGGGCTGCTCTCTGACCCCCCCACGCTGCTTCTTCCCGAGGAATGAAAGTTATGCATGAACTCATTCATTCCACAGAACGAGGGAGGACATGCATCTCATTAGTGTTGTTTGTGACCTGGACTATTGACCATGAGAAATTAGTGGCTGTTTTTTCGTCGACGTAAACAGTAGCACTGATGTGGTTTAAGATACTCAATTACAACCATCGGCCCACAGAGGCAGGAAGAGAGTTAGCATTGTTGCGATTGCAGGCAGTGGGCCAAAGGCTTTGGAAACAGGCAGGTGTGTCCTGGATACGACCTCTGGCTGCAGCTCTGTTGATATTACATCAGTGCGGCTGGGTGTTCTGTTATGACTGTGAGTAAGATGAGGAGGAGCGCCGCTTGCACTCATTTGACCCCAGCTCAAGCTGGGGGGACGCAAAAAGTTTTCTCTCAAGTGCTCGCTTTTATCCGGCTTTTCTCCGTTTTTGTCTTCGCCAGATGAGAACGTGAAGGCTAACGTCCCGATTCGGCTTTTCTCTGCTGTTTTTTCTTCGCCAGATGAGAACGTGAAGGCTGGCGTCCACCAAGGCCTCCGCTGCACCGTGGGCAGCGCGCACCCATGATCACATGACTCTGGACATGGACGCGGTCCTGTCAGACTTTGTTCGGTCCACGGGGGCAGAACCGGGTCTGGCAAGAGACCTGCTGGAAGGTAAGCGACTACTGTTACTCACCGCACTAAAAAGGGAAGGATGATGTGTTTGATCATCCTCTCCTTGATGTGGGCTGGGTTCCGCGATTAAGAGTGGAGAGGAGAGGGGTGGAAAGGGAGGAGAAAGGAAACAAAAGGAGGGGAGGGGAAGACGGGAGCTCACGACCGGGGAGCCAGCGCGCTGATTTAGAAGTGGCTGTGACGTTTTTACGGGAGCGTTCCCAAGAGACAGCTTTGTGTCCATTCACTGGGTTGCATTGAGGAGCGCTGTGCTACTGGCATGTAAGCTTAACTCACTTAGCCACATGGAACAAAACAAAACACCAGAGTGCAAAAGTTCACGAGTCAACAGAATTATGGTCTATGGTTAGCAAGATTGGAGCCGATGTCTTGTGTAAATACAAATTAAGATCAGACGTAATGTATTGTGCAACATTTGTTTCTCTATGGATGTGGTGAATGTAGCGAGTTTCTCGCACTCTGTTGTTTCGACCGATGTGCACGTTTCACACAGCAATGTTCAAACATGAAATGATTCAATACTGTTTATTTATTTACTTACTTTCTTTTCAGTCAAAACTGATACTCCGACCCCGCCGCCTTTAGCCCACGAGTATACAGACCCGCAGAGACACGCACGTTATGCAGTTCGTCAAGTCTCAAAGTCTCAACTATGACCACCGTCGACAAATATTAACACCATATGTGACTAAATGATGACCAGTAAACGGTGTAGTCCACCTTTCACCCGGATTCAGCTGGAAAAGTTGCAGACTCCTGTAATGCTGAAGAGGATGAGCACGGTAGAAAACTAGATGGATCGTTGTAATTCCTTTTTGTATTTGCTTTGAAACCCTAGTTAAGTTCAAGCTAATACAGTATATTGGTAATGGATGCGGGTAACTCGCGTTCCTCACTTATCGACGCTTCCTTTTGCAGACGACGGCCATTTCAAATGAACGAGAGAGCTGTTTTTCCATTGAGAGCTTGCGTGGAAGCATTTAGAGACCACCCATTACCCGCCATACTGCCGGCCGGGCATTTTGTTGCCATCGTGGGTTTTGATCACCTCTGAAATCTGCTTTGCATTGATTTGGCTTGAGAGACAGGTAGCCGTGGTGCCAAGTTTCATGTTCAGTTAGTGGAGAAGCATCATGTCTGGATGTCTGGAGGAAATAGCACCGCTTCCTCTTAAGAGTCCATTAACTGGCTCACAAACATACTCCGGTTACAAAACCGGTGGACACTCGCTCCCCGGAATGTCTTCAATCGCAAGTATTCTACCAACTGATTATTCTGTCATTATCAGAAGCATCATTATCCTTTATTCTGCCCTATTACTTTCTTTTTTCAGCTCTGGTTCTAAAACAAAATCTATTTAGCTGCACTCTGCTTAAAAGAATGTGTTGGACCAGACTGGGCGTTAAAAGCTTTCTCTCTGAAAGCAGCTGCCTGCTTCCTCTGAGAAAAGACTCTGAGCGTGATAAGGGAGAGGCCAAACAAAGCCAAGGACCTGACAGTTGAACAATGATCTTACAGTTTAGTCTTTAATCTGAGGCCAAGATATAGTCTGGTCATAATTGCATTACATTGTTATCTGAAGAAATATAGATTTTTGACTTTCATACACGTTCAATAAACAGTTTTCCACACACACTTCCCATCACAACGAGTCTTAACGAGTGTGTGTGTCGGCTCATGTTCCTCCTCCGCATCAGGATATTGCTGTCACTCCCTTAATGGATCTGGCTCACTTCGCCATCAACACTGTTCTGACCCCGCCCAACGTCAACCTTTCCCTGTTGCTCACCGTTTCTCAGTTTTTGCTTCATATGGGCTACTTTTTAACATTGGCATTGTGTTTTATGAAAACAAAATAAGACACAGAACAAAGGACCCGTCTGATTTTTCTCTGTGATGTTGTGCTTGTTCACAGTTCAGTAATTGAAATGGAGCACAGCTCATCACATTCAGTTTTCTGTAGCATGTCCAATATGAAATAGCGTTGTCTACAGTACAAGGAAAAGTTCCATGGGAACATCCATCCATCCATTTTCCGATCCGCTTATCCTCACCAGGGTCACGGGGGGTGCTGGAGCCTATCCCAGCCGTCTCCGGGGAGTAGGCGGGGGACACCCTGAACCGGTTGCCAGCCAATCGCAGGGCACACAGAGACGAACAACCATCCGCACTCACACCCACACCTAGGGACAATTTTGAGTGTTCAATTAGTCTGCCATGCATGTTTTTGGAATGTGGGAGGAAGCCAGAGTACCCGGAGAAAACCCACGCAGGCCCGGGGAGAACATGCAAACTCCACACAGGGAGCTCCGGAGCCGGGATCGAACCGACGACGTCTGCACCGTGAGGTCGACCCGCTAACAACTCGACCCCCGGGCCGCCCTCCATGGGAACATTCAACACAATATTTTAAAAAAAAAAAACGGCTATTTAAAATAATTTCTTTACACCTGTTAGTGTGTTTGTTCATTGTCTGGATATCTTTCTTGATTTGCGCCTGGCAGGTAAAAACTGGGACCTGAGTGCTGCTCTGAATGATTATGAGGAGCTCAGGCAGGTCCACACTGCCAACCTGCCGCAGGTCTTCAACGAGGGCCGCTACTACAAACAGCCAGAGGCACGTGACACACCAACCCATGTCAGCAAGATCGACAGGTCGTGTGCGCAGAAGCAGGAGGACAATGGACAAGGTAGACTCTTATTTTGACAACTTTTTACGTTTTCACAAGCATTTCAAAAATGCGCAGGTTGGCATGCGCTTTGGAGCGCATGAATTTGGAGTCTCGAATACTTTGGGCTGTGTTACCGTGAAAGTTTACAGCTCATGCCGGCACAGTGGTACTCAGAATGAACTGAACATACGGTGTAGCATTGCATATGATTGCTCGAGAGAACAACACTGGCAGAAAATATCTCGGAACCCATTTTTTTTCCTCCCTCATCCATTCCATCCCCCCCCCCCCCCACCCCCAGAGAAACGTCTGTCCCGCGGAATCTCACATGCCAGCTCCGCCATTGTCTCCCTGGCGCGGCTGCAAGTGGCCAACGAGTGTACCAACGAGCAGTTCCCTCTTGAGATGCCTATCTACACATTCCAGCTGCCAGACCTCAGCGTGTACAGCGAAGACTTCAGGAGTTTCATCGAGAGAGACCTGATCGAGCAGTCCACCATGATGGCTTTGGAACAAGCTGGTCAGTGTCATTATCGTTCATGCTTATTGGATCTCTTGATTAAAAGTGAGACACTGGCTGAAGACTCAGGTTTTTTCCCCCCAAACTTGCAGGATCCCAAGGATTCATTATCCAGCTGAAGCTTTGAATTTTGAAGCTTCTCACCTCCCTGCAGACAACAATGATCGCAACTCGATCCTCAAGTTTTTTTTTTTTTTTTAAACACTGCACGAAGTAGTTACCACTAAATACATTTATTTGCACAGATAAAGACAAAGACTCCATTATAACCTTGTCATTTATTTATTTATTCATTTTTTATAAACCAATCATCCGTACAGAATACGTAGCTAAAAAGGGGATAAATGCGAACCAACTTGTTTTTCATGTTACGTTCTCTAGATCGCCACTATGGATAGCAGCCCACATTCATCTAATTGTTGTAGGCAAAAGCAATCAATACCTACTTAAATCAGTTGAAAACATTTTTTTGATCTCAAACAATTATTGAGCTCTGCAAATTATGAAATGCAAAAAGAACGGTCAGTGTCTTTGAAAGGTTCACAAGGCTCATGAGATGAATCTATGCACTTGTTAAATAAAATGATGCAGTTATTTCAGATGTGAGGATTGTGTGCCCCAACACACACACACACACGCACACGCACACACACCCTGAGGGACACTGGCTGGTGTGATGTGAGAGGAAGAGGATTTTCATCTTGGTTTTGGGCAGATTATTTTGCATATTTTTCATGCTATAACCTGTCCCCGCTGGAAGAATATTGGAATCAATTTTTTTTTTTTTTTAACCGTATCAAAGATTATGTTCCAGCTGTCTGATGGGTCACAGGATATAAAAGTTATCTACTGTATAAATGTCCTGTTCTGAGACTAATCATCATTTTACACCCTCGTTTTTTTACCACAAACTAATTTTTCACACAAAAATGTGCATTCAACCCATCAAAGCAAACAGTGCAAGCATAGTGTTTGTACGCTTTATTTGCATACAATTACATCTTGATTGCTGCCTGATTGTTTTCTGAATGGCTTTAGTGTGATTGATTCATACTTGACAAATATCGTGTTGTTTATGCTTCCTATATTTTTGCACAGGTCGTCTGAACTGGTGGTCCACCATGTGCACCAGCTGTAAGAAGCTCCTTCCTCTGGCCACCACTGGGGACGGGAACTGCCTCCTCCATGCTGCTTCTTTAGGTAAGCGTCCCACTTTTAAGTGACTCGAATGCTCTGTCAGGAGCGCATATTTAAGCTGCCAGCGAAGAGAGTGACACATCACATTTGTCTGCACCATCAGGGTTTGCCTCCTAGGTCTTTTTCATCCTGTTAGTGTCAGAGCACATTTTGGAGAACATGCTAGGAAACACAGTTGGGTCAAATATCAGAGCTCATGTCATTTGCATCATGTAAATGTTGGTGCAGCAGCAAGGCGCAATTGTACTTAACATTGTGGTTCCCACTGTGGTACAGTAATATCCGGCAAAGTCACAAATGCACCCATATGCAAACTTTGTATGTCGGTGAGGAGTTGTATTGAGCCTCAGTCGGGAGTGAAAGAAGTTAGGAGTGTCTAGGCCATATTTATTTTTCAGGGTATTGACGAGTTTGAAATTGTATTACTAATTTGTTTGTTGTATGAATATTAATTGAAAAGCGGGGTGATAATGTTAATATTAATTTTCAGTCATAAAAGTGCACTGTACTCAAGTCGATGTATTATGTTAATCATCACATAATATTGTTTTGAAGCGCAGCTGTGCAGAACTGTCATGTAACATTGACTACATGCACCAATAATGTCTGTGTGTCTCCTGAAGGGATGTGGGGTTTCCATGACAGAGACCTGATGCTCAGGAAGTCCCTGTACACCATGATGAAGAGCGGAGCGGAGAGAGACGCCCTGAAAAGGAGGTGGAGGTGGCAGCAAACCCAACAAAACAAGGAGGTTGGAAGAGTCTCTCCCCCCCATCACACGTTGCATCCCGAGACACTTCAATACGCTCATCTGAGAAAGCAAATTCATTACATACCCAAATTAACTCTTGGAGCTCACGTATTGCCTTTTTAAGTGAGTCTAAATCGCCAGGCAGCGCGCGGTCCGTTTCTGGGACTCACTCGCCTTGACGACGCTTGGAACTATATGCCAGTCACTTTGTCATGTTTTTTTTGTTTGTTTAGTTTTTTTTTTTTTTGCCCCATTGGTAGCAACGGGTTCAGCAAACCACAAACAGTGACACTGAATGATAAAAGGGATCATGTGGGCGAGCATATGCTCAACAGAGTTGTGTTGCTTGTGCAGTCTGGCCTGGTGTACACCGAGGAGGAGTGGGAGCGGGAATGGAACGAGCTGCTCAAGTTGGCCTCCAGTGAGCCTCGCACTCACCTCAGCAAAAACGGCAACACGAGCGGAGGGTAAGCCGTCTCGAATGCACGTCTCCCACACATATGCTCACAATGCAACTTGCGTAACATACATTTGAAAGGAAAAGATCTGTATTTGTATCATTTGTGAGCTGTACCAAAAATCTAACTCTGAATTTCATGGTGCATTATGTTCCTAAATTATACAGTAATATAAGCATATACAGTGCACATACACATGCCGTAACGGCCCGCAACATGAACAAAACAGAACAATAAAATAGATACAAGAGTTTGTGGGTTTGTGAAAAGGAAATGACTGCCTACCTTTGTAGAGACCTGATGCAGATGCATGGGATGCGTTTTTGCAGCGTGTTAAGTGCAGGAACGTCACCATCGTAGGTCGCGTGTACCGTTGTAAAATGCTTCTCCTGGCGCGCCGCATTCCCATTCTTTGCCAGTGCCATTGGTGAATGTCAGATGAAACAAATTTTGAATGAGAATAATAATTTAAAAAAAAAAAAAAAAAAAAAGATCGATCCACACAGCTCTGATTTCAAATGTAACACAATAATCATGACAATTGATAATATGTATCAAATTTCTCTCACAAATTTGACCAGGGTATGAATCATTTGGAGCTTAACTTTGTGTCGTACATCCATCCATCCATCCATCCATTTTCTGATCCGCTTTGTCCTCACAAGAGTTGCGGGAGGGTGCCGGAGTCTGCCAACTGTGCAGTAGGCGGGGGGACACCCTGAACCGGTTGCCAGCCAATCGCAGGGCACACATAGACAAACAACCATCTGCGCTCACAATCACAACTAGGGACAATTTGGAGTGTTCAATCAGCTTGCCATGCAAGTTATTGGAATGTGGGAGGAACCGGAGTACCCGGAGAAAACCCACGCAGGCCCGGGGAGAACGTGCAAACTCCACACAGGAAGGCCGGAGCTGGAATTGAACTCACCGGGCCTCTGCACTGTGAGGTCGACGCGCTAACCACTGGTCCACCGGGCCGCTTATATGAAATTTCTCACAGCTGTAGCATGCTTGGAAAGCCTCACCGTTAAATAGTGAAAAAGTGTGTGTGTGTGTTGGGGGGGGGGGGAGTACAAGCTCACGCATTACTCTGCCATCTAGTGGCGTATTTTTGCTATTTTCCATCTTAGCTGCACCGGCCTCCTCCCTCCCACTCAACTGCGGCTTCCCTTTTGCATCAACGCAGATGCAAGCCCATTTATTGAAGCAGATCGGAAACAAACTAGTTTCCTCCTCCTACGCACAGAAAAAAAACATATGCGTCTTTTCTCATTTCATTTCTCGCAAAACAGGTGTGCTGTGTTGACTAAAAAGGAAACAGACGTGTTCAGCACCGGGATACTATTTAGCGCAATTGTATTCTTAGCTGGTTTTCAGTCACTGACAACTTCCCCTTTTTAAAATGCCTCATTTACTCCATGAGTAGGGTGGTGTTAACTTGTCATTGAGCTTGGCTTGTAACACGGTAATCAGGTTTGGAATGCTTCATGGTCCTGGTGTGAGATGAGCCCCTAAATGGGTTGAGTGGGATTCACATATTAAGAGCCTCTTCATTAGAGTTAATTTGGCTGCGTAGGCTGTTAGTGTGCTCGGCAACTTAATTGTTGCACATTTCCTCGTTCCCTGGTGATGGCGAGCCAGAGCGCTCTGAATCTGCGCCTCCTTTTGCTCTCTTTCATTCCAACACATGTAGCGCCTGAACAGATGGGCCAATAGTTGTCTTGCCTGTCAACAGCCGCCAGATGAAATAGATCTAAGGGATGAAATCATGTGATTAGGTTCTACACAATCCTATTTTCACCCACTAGTCTGCTTGTATCTGACACGACCAACTCAGGAAATCCTCACCAAATCCCACGGGTATTTCCAACCGCAGGGTGGATAACTCTGAGGACCCGGTCTATGAGAGTCTGGAGGAGTTCCATGTGTTTGTGCTGGCCCACGTGCTGCGCAGGCCGATTGTTGTGGTGGCCGACACGATGCTCAGAGACTCGGGAGGAGAAGGTAAAGGCTGCCCCTCGCCTCGATCACCTCAACAATTAGCAAGCGTTCGTCACTTCACTTTCTGACTCACTTTCAGCATTTGCGCCAATCCCGTTCGGAGGTCTCTATTTGCCCCTGGAGGTTCCTCCAAGTCGATGTCACTGCTCCCCACTGGTGTTGGCTTATGATCAGGCGCACTTCTCTGCACTGGTGTCCATGGAGCAGAGGGACCAGCAGCGAGAGCAAGGTAAGCGGTCATTGCACGTTCTTGGGAAAGACTGCTTTCTTCAATCCAAGGCAGCACCTTCTATGGAATTAAGGAAATCTTCTGACTTCATGGGGAGATTGCAAGTGGTCTGCCTGTCCTGCTGGAAGTGAATAATGTATGAAAGAGCAGTGGAGCTATGTGTGATCCATTATTAAAAGATGCCAGTTGGAAGCAGGAACTTGGGAGCGGCCAGAACGTGGACAGCGGGGTCCTGTGATTTATTTAGCACTAATACTATGGAAGGGTCTGATAAATCAATCTGGCAGTTTTTGATTTCTTAAAACTTTGCTGGTCATGTCCAGTACATCAGCAGATAAGCAAATGACATTTTGTCGAGCCAGGAGAAATGCGTGCATTTCACTATGCGGAAGCAGCTAGCAAAAGACTCACTTAAATTGTGTCCAATCAGTTTGTTGCCTTGAAGGGTTACTGACAAAATCCAACCTGAGTTCTCTATAGTTGTTCAAATGTTGTCTTCCTGACAAGCGGAATGTAAAAATTCCCGTTTGGATCGGAATCGAACGCTGCACCTCTGCACTGTGAGGTGGACATACGAACCAGTCTTCCACCGTGCCACCTGAAATGTTTCTTTCCATCATTAAAAAAAAAAAAATTATAAACAAATTTACAGTACCATATTTTTCAGACCAGACCCCCATCCCTATCTTTATAAGATATCCTTTATTTGTCCCACACTGGGGAAATTTACATCCATACACCATATGTTAGCAGTTTCATTTGGGCGCGATGTCGATTTTCCCCATTTGGTCACAGGACTCCTTGTTTTACCTATTGAGATGTCAGCGCTCCCACTCAGGATGCATCGTTTATTCTTGAGGTCACAATAATCCTTGCAATGGGTTCCTATAATTGACAAACAAGAGTGGGTCTCCTTGACAACCAGCCTCAGTAGTCACGGCACTCTTGTGTATCTGACTCGGTGGGTGGAACTCACTCGTCATTTTAGTGGGCAGCCGGCCAGATCCTTCTCTCTGTCTCTTTCGTGCTAACAACTTCTCCTTCGTCTCAATGCTGAGTAAGGTCCTACTCTCAGCATATAAACAGCAACCTAGTTATTAAATCAGACTATGACCGCTGCAGACTAGCAGGCAGACATGATTATAAAGCTGCTAACCCTTGCTTAGCCCTTGACTGCCAGCAGCCCTTCAAATGCAGCCAACTCCTCACAGTCATTATATTACCCCTCCTCAGCACCCCTACTTTTATTTACCGTATGTGGTAATTCCATACGTCGTCCACTAGATGGCGCGTAAGTCCACAGAAGCCTCCGTCACGCCATCGCTTTGCAACACGTCCGCACTTTCTCCCTCTGGTACACAGAGTTCTGTGCGGGGGGAACATTTCAACTGCAGTGTCTCTCCAGGATGTTATGAAAGCACTTTTTAGTCGATTCATGCGAGGAATCACATTACAGAGCAATGCCACGGTGTGTTTTGCTAGACGGAAGAAAAGCGTTGAGATGCTTTTACGTGATGGAAATAGAAATAGTCAAATGTTGCTAGATTGGCTCATGTTTCTGACCGGATGCCAGCCATTCAAGAAGTCATCCGAGGAAAAGGTCAAAATGAAAAACCCCCGCTGCCAATTAGGGCCGTTCTAAGCATACTCTTAACCACATCACCACATATGGGCAGGGTCCTCAGGCCTGCCCGGGGGCCCCCAACAAACCGAGACTCTCCCGACAGACGGACCTCTGTGTGGACGTCTCAGGTGGAGACTCGCTCTCATTTTCCCCACTCGCATCGGAGGGGCCAGTGGTGGTCGTGTGTGTGTTCAGGTGCCACAGACTGCTTGAGAATACTGGCTCTTTCTTCAGCCCTCTCTGTGAAGGATTAAAGCAGGGTCCCACCCGGTAACTTGATTCTAAATTGCGCAGACATATCCTGCAGTTGGTCCTTTTGAGGTTGCTTGCATGGCTGCTCAACGGTGAAGTGCGAGAAGCAAACCAGGCAGGGCCCACCAAAAGTTGCGGGTTGTTTTCGAGGGGATCTTTTTTTTCGTACTTTCTTATCCTCGGGTTTTGTTCTGAATGAGGTTATCGCACACCCCCGTTTATTGAAGACCGACCTCTTCAAGCGCCACTTGCTGTGACTTTTCATCAGCCCGCTTGTGCTCCTGTGGTCAAACTGGCCCACTGGAAAACTCTATTTCCAGCCCTGCTCCTAAACCCATTACAGGTTTTCTTTGGCAGCCTTGCAGAAGTCCCTCCAGCGCCTATTTAAATGAAGTGAAAGGCCATCTTTTACACAAAAAGACCACCTACATAACAAGCAGCCAACTCTGGCTAGCTTTCACCACTCCATTTATTAAACACCTAAGTGTTCTACTCACCAGGCTGTCTGCTTAATTGAATCAACATGGCAATCAGAATTAAAATGTTACTTGTTGTGGTTTCATTTCCTGCTACACATGAGGTACGGCTGGAATTAAACCGCTGGAGTTCCGCTGTTAAAAATCCACAGCGAGAAGCTGAGGCCTTCTGAAAATGCACAACCGCTGTTCACTCTGCTGGTGAACTGGGCCCTTTAAATTTGCAGCTGTGCAATGACCAAAGTCGGGAATTAAACTTTTCCAGAGAGCACAAATTGTTCTTGAACAAAGGAAACATTGGCTCAGTGTTGCAAAGCTGCAGTCGGTGACTTTGTCCTCTTTGGGAAATAAAAGAGGCCCGACAATCCACTGCTTGCGGTGCTGGAGCTGCCCCCAAAAATGCAGTTTAGCCTTTCCAACAGCTGTTTGCTTGCAGAAAACACCCACGTTTCCTCTCTTGCTGGCTACTTGGAGCAAAGATGCAAAGTGAGCAAGGTGATGAAGGTTGTTACGTGCACCGCTCAGATCCAGCGAGGGCTATGATGTCATCCGAGCATACGCTGTGGGAAACAGTCACTCAAGGACTGCAAAACAAGGCTGCCGGCGGGGAGAGTAAATACATTACAGCACACTTTAGTCTCCCGGAGCTTCACTGGCAATCTCTGAATCTGGACATTGTCCAAGTGGCAGCAATAGCTTACGCAGTCCTTCGGAAAGGCGAGAAATTAGGACAGCTGTGCTTGTGCTGCGGCAGCCAGAACTCCACCTGACGACAGACCTCCTCTGCCTGCTGCATGACCCCCCACGCAAGAGAACCGCTGCGAGCGGCCTCGTTCGCACATGCCTGCAGATTTGTTAGTGTACGCTGTTTATTTCTCTGAACAATGGCCCTCGTCACACTGTACCACAGGCATTAGTCGTGCCTATTTGAGCTCACTGGTGTGGCTTGCATTGTGCAAAGCCAAGCTAGACAACTGCGGTTTCTAATAGGCAACCTGTGATATTACCGCCAATCTGTTCATTGTGTGTTAGACGTTTTAGACTGACCTGCAGTAGGGGGGCTCAGGCTAAAGCAATAAAGTATTGCATCTTATGTTGACTGCGATTGGCTGGCAAACGGTTCAGGGTGTCCCCCGCCTACTGCCCAAAGACGGCTGGGATAGGCTCCAGCACCCCCCGCGACACATGTGAGGATAAAGCGGAATAGAAAATGAATGGACGGATGGATCTTATGTTGAAGTGAATTGAAGATGTTCATTTTGACAGATTTGCTTTTCCGCCATCTTGTGGCATCTTGGTGCCAAGAAACTACGCAATGTCAAAGTTTCATTGAGCCAAAATACCGTAATGCTTTTCCGCCATCTTGCGGCATCTATAGACAATTCTAAATCTTTTTGCGGGGGTGTCAGTGATTTGTGGTTTTCGCTCTTTGCAGTAGGGCTCAGTGCCTGCCCCCCTTTAATTTTTTGCATTGTTTTTAAGAATTGTACCCCTGTATTGTATTAGATCATAGTAAAAGTTGGTGTAAAGAAAGAAACTGGTTCTATAAAGTGTCATGACTATCGTATTCAATTGTTCAAAGGTGTCTTTATAGGGGTGTGACCAAGTCAACAGCTGAAGTCAGCTTGGCCGGTTAGTTCAGTGTAAGGCGTCAGGGTGCGCGTATTCTCATTTTGTTTTTCTGTGTTTGACTTTTTGTCCCGTTCAACAAACGGATTAAAATGCATCGGCGACTGTGGTTCTCCTTGCCCATCTCCAAAAGGGCATTACAGAATCATAAATGTTCATTTTTATTTTTTTCCATACGTAGCAATGTTGTGTTAGTCTTATTGGGCCACACGCAAGTCAAAGCACTTGTGTATACTGTAAAAATCCATTTAAACAATTGCTATAAAACTGCAAATCTCTGCGATATAGCGGGGGATTTCAGCAATAGAGAAGTACCTATGTTCCATGAAAAAAAAAAAGTGTTACAGCAGGGTCGAGGTAGGTGAAGCGCTTTTAAGCGAGGAAATAACTGTACACAGCTTGAACGGACGCGTTAGCGTTGTGGCCACCGATGTCAGATCACATTTAGTGATCATCTTGAATGTGCTAACGCCTCTCCGGAGGCTCTGACCCTCCACCAGGCCGGCGAGGCGTCATCACAGAACGTTTCCCACCAATGTTGTGACGCTTGTCACATACTGTACAGAAACGCACTTAAAAAGAGTACCAGAGTGAGCAGTTGAAGTCATCTTTCTTCAGGGATGAAGGAAGTGTGGTTGCACTGTCGTTATGAAGCCTGAAGCGGGGGAGCAGCCTCGTGCTCGTCGAGTGTGTCCAATTTGAGGAGCCTGCCACTCTCTGCTGTCATGGGGATAGCTGCCCCGCCCCCCTCCGCATACCCCCCTCACTCTCAGTAGCCCAAGGAGATGATCACGTGGGCAAGTAGGAGTCTCGCTAGCGGCCACGGCGCGCCCACGTTGTTCACGTGCAGTGGTTAGATGCAGGAAGCAAGGGTTGGGTGTGTGTTTTCTGTTCTGCGTCCAGCGATTAGTGCTGAGGTCCACTTCCTGTCTGCGAGGATGTGATGGTATCAGCGGAGGATGAATGAAAGAATCTGGTCTCCTATCACACGCCGCTGTGTCTGAAATGCGCTCAATTATGAAAGCGAATCAAATGGTACAACCCCCGCCGTCTTAAAAGCGCTCGCTTCCCCAAAGTCGCCGCATGAGAAGTGTGTTTCCTCACCCACGGGTTCTTTTTTTTTTTTTTTTTCATATTGAATCATGCGGCATTATGCTATTCAGTGTTTTACAACAACCCCCCCGCATTCTTTTTATCTTGATTATTCACGAATTCACCCGTATGCATTTTTTTCTGTGGAACTTCAGCTGTTCGTTGAAAAGTCAACAATTGTTTTTGTGCTCTTTCTGAAATGCTTTACGATGACCCCAGTCTAGTCGGAAAGTAATCGACTGCACTTAAGTAATGTTTGATCTACCCCACCTGGTGCCCAAAAGCGCTGAACAAAGCCTCGCCATTCACACGCATTCACCCATTCACACGCACATTCACACACCAATGCTGCCAGGAGCGAACAAAGTGTCAATGTCTTGCTCAAGGATGCTTCGACATGTGTTGAAGATTGAACCACCCTACCGCTGAGCCACAATTCCAAAGTATTGGCAGTAAGGAACTTTGCTGAAGTCCATTTTGACCGAGAGACAAGCTCCGTGTGTCGGGCAGGATTTTTGGAGGGGATGTGAATTGCTTGCTTTTTTTTTTTTTCTTTGCAACAGCAATTGCGCCTCATGAGCTCTTCCGATTTAATGAATTCAATAAAATACAATGCAGTTCTGCACCATTGCAAATTCTTTTTTTTTTTTCCAGGTTTTGCAACACATTTAAATGTTCTATGTTTGCATACCGTTCAACTTGTGAGGGCTCACTGCAGTTTAAGTGATAAATCAAATCTCCTTTCAACTCTGATTCTCATCTCTTTTCAGCTGTAATCCCTCTGACAGACTCGGAGCACAAGTTGCTGGCGCTGCATTTTGCCGTGGACCCTGGCAGGGACTGGGAGTGGGGCAGGGACGACAACGATAACACCAAGCTGGCCAAGTAAGTCCCGTGCAGCATCTCCCCTGGGCTTTTGATGTTTGTCGTCGGACTGCTCGTGAACGGCTTTCAAAGTGGATTCGAAAGCAACGAGAAAGTCAAATCCATGCTAAGTTTGTGTTTGTCTGTGAGGGGTTTAAGTTTCATTATGGGCTCCGGCTCGGGTCACTTCAAAGCATGAGCGCACAGAGAGCAAATTGTGAGTGCCGTCAGTCATCCAGAGGCTTTCCCAGGGACGGGCCTCGCTGAAGCGGCAACACCCGCTCTGATTTAGGAAGGAGTTTATGGAAGGGTTTCTGTTTCACATTCCAGGCAGTCAGGAGGTTACGTTTATCCTCCAAAATGCGGCAATATGGGAACCATGCAAGATACCAAAAAAAAAAAAGCAGGTCACCCTCTCATTAGTTTGGATGCCTAAACAATTTCCACCCAACGGTGAAGTTTAGGCATTGAAGTCTAGACCGCGCTTTTTGTCACACACTGACACTGCATCCCGCAATCGGATCATTAGATGTGTCACACTGTCACCACAACATCTGGTGCGACAAATAAAATATTTTATAATTACTTTCAACACAGCCGGGCGTGAGAAACGCGTGTCATTTTTCAGTTTTTTTTCCCCCCTCCAGATTTATGGCATCCTCTTGAGCACTGGCGCTGTCGCAGCTTTGTTACTAGATCTGAAAGCGAGAGCATTTTCGGGTCAACTATGTGTCCCCGCCCATTCTTCGTCAGTGCTGTTCATGCCGAAGTGTGACAACGACTACAAATGCCTCACCCTCATACATCTTCTGCTGCAGCCTCATCTTGTCACTGGAGGCCAAACTGAACCTGTTGCACAACTACATGAATGTAACATGGATCCGAATTCCATCCGAAACAAGGGTATGTTCTTTTTGGACAGCAAAGTCTCTAGAGCAGTGTTTTCCCAACCTTAATTGGACCGTGTCATACATATTACATTCGAAAAATCTCAGGACACAACACCAAACAAAAAATGTCACAGAAAGTGATGATGACCACATCTCAGTTGACTCCAAAAATGTGCTTACTGTGTGAAATGTGGGCTTGTTTGGTTGAACGCCAAGCAATTGTTAACTGGCAGCATGTGGATAGACGGGTTAGTTTTACATTCTGCACGTTAATGGGGTTGCAATTAATTGTTGTGCCTGTCACTATAAGTCAGTGGCAGAGATAAACAAAGATGTAGCATTCGAGTGGATACGCACGGTACTGTATCTCGATGCGTGTGGTGCGATTACGATTCAAGGAATGGCTCTCTTGTTTTAAAGAGGAGCAGTTCGCTTTGATTCGGTGGGATTGGGATTTGATTTGATCTGCTACGGCTCACTTTGAGAACGTACGATACATTTTCAGATAAAATACGTAAACATATATATTAGGAATGGTTAACTTGTCATTATAATTTCAGATACATGTGGTTTGATATAATTCATATAAAACATTTTAAAGTGGAACAATTCGGTTCAGTGCACTTTTAAATTAAAGCCCATTTTCCAATTCAAAACGTTTTTTGTTTTTTTTTTGGTTTTTTTTTGTTTTTTTGCAGCCCTATAAATAACTTTCAAAGCCGTTTTAAGTGAAAAGAATCTTCTTCAGCACACCCGGAGAGCTTTCGTGGCACAGTGGTTGGGACTGACTGCACGAGAGAAACTTCACCTGTTGATGTTGCACAGTTCTATGGATTATTCATTCTTAAGAAAATGTCACCGAGTGCTTCAACCACGTTCATTTTTTTTTTCTCCGTCACCTTTGTGCAATACAGGCTCCCCTGGCTCAGCCCGAGTCTCCGACCGCTTCTGCAGGTGAGGACGTGCAGTCTCTGGCTGAGTCCATTGACTCTGACCGCGAGTCTGTTGGCAGCAACTCCAACGTCAACACGGGCAAGAGCGGCAAGGACAAGGATAAAGAGAAGCAGCAGCATCGCAAAGACAAAGACAAGAGCCGGGCCGATTCTGTAGCCAACAAGCTAGGTAGCTTCAGCAAAACGCTGGGAATCAAGCTGAAGAAGAACATGGGGGGCCTCGGCGGTCTGGTGCACGGCAAAATGAACAAATCGAACTCTGGCTCAGGTCGAAATGGGGAGAACGGAGGGGAAAAGACAAAAAAGAAAGACTCCAAAACACCCAAAGGGAATAAAGATGAATCGGGTCACTCGGCCAGCTCCACTTCCTCCGAAAAGGCCACGAGCCCCTCGCCTACAGATAGAGACAAACCATCCAGCGCCTCCCCCACCGACAGAACGGACAGCGCGGGGAGGGTCTCGGGTGACAAGAGCCTGGACAACTGGAAATACAGCACTGACGTCAAGCTCAGCCTCAACATCCTTCGGGCCGCCATGCAGGGCGAGCGCAAGTTCATCTTCGCGGGCCTCCTCCTCACCAGCCACCGACACCAGTTCCACGAGGAGATGATCAGCTACTACCTGACCAACGCCCAAGAGCGCTTCAGCCAAGAGCAGGAGCAGAAGAGGAAGGAAGCCGAAAAGAAGCCCCCGGCCGCCGGCGACGCGGCCGGCAAGAAGCCGGAAAATGAGAGCGTCTTCCAGAGGGAGAGGTCGGACAGCTCGCCCCCGGAGAGCTGCTCTCCTGTCCCGCCGCACCGCGCCTACACCCCGCAGCCCCCCGCGGCGCTCAAGGCGCAAGGCCGGAGCAGTCCCGTCCCCGCAGCCCCTCACGTCTCTTTCCCGCTCCCTCCGCTCACCCCACCCGCCACCTCCCACCCCGTCCCGGGGCCTTACTCCTCCCCCAATTTTGGTGCTAAGAGACTTGGGCCCGTTCCCGTGTCCGCCCACTACAGCCATACCCCTCCCATCCAGAGGCACAGCGTGATTCACCTCCAAGATGTCAACATGCAGTCCCCCGTCTTACGAGATCCCTACAAGCCCGCGCCCACGGTGGGCACCCTCAAGACGTGCGCCACCTACCCCCAGCAGAACCGCACGTTGTCGTCGCAGAGCTACAGCCCGGCGCCCCTTTCGGGCGTGCGCGCCGCCAACACCCTGGAAACGCTGGCGTACAACATGCCCGGGGAACACAAGTCCCACACGTACACCAACGGATTCAACGCGCGAGACATTCAAGACTGCCTGGAGTTCGCCGACGACGACAACAAGCCGTCCCACGCCTGGCTCAACCAAGACAAAACCAAAGGGCGCGGCTCTGGAAGCCCTTTGTACTGCTTTCAGCAGCGGCGCTGCAAGAGGGACAACTGCTCCTTCTACGGCAGGCCCGAAACGGACCACTATTGCTCCTACTGCTACAGGGAGGAGCTTAAGCGCAGGGAGAGGGAGAGCAAAGCGCAGAGGCTCGCATAGCCATCGCCGCCAAGGGAACGACGCTACCTGCACTTTGCATCCACAACAACGCGATGGAGAATGCTCTTGTATTCCCGTCCCCTTCCCTTGTTAGTCAAGACGAGGGAAGCAGAACTCGAAACGGTGAGCAGCTTTGGCCAGATATTATTGTGCTATTTTTTTTTTTTTTTTTATGTAGTCTTTTACTTGTTTTAGAGTAAAAGTCATCTCTGGGTCTTTGCGAATTCGCAAAGACAAAGTTCCTTATTTTTCATTGTAGAAAAAAAAATTCAATCTCATATTGGCGGGGAGCATTTCAGCGAAGCCGTTTTGAACGCGATGCCTCTTCTCGCTCGCTCCTATTTTCTCCGGAAGATTTCGTTGTTGTTTTGCAATCAAATGAACGTAAAGGGGAGATTGGTATTCGCCTCGGAAGCAATAAATTTGGTGATCTCCTGCTACACTCTCCCCCAATTTTGTCTATGCACCAATAATATATAGATACTGTAGGTTAACTGTGTCTTGTAAATTGTCAGAGATCGTCACGTGGTGCTCCCGCGAGCAAATTTCAACGACAGGAATTCAAACGTACACGCAATATAGCTTAACGTTGGATTAGCTTTGTCGAGTGTACCTTTTATCCCGCGAAGGATTCACCGCACGATGGGTCAAAAGTGGCTTTTTTTTTAATTTTTTTTTTTTTTTAATGAAAGGAATTTCCTGTGCCAAACACTGAACAATGGCACGCTCCTCAAATATGCAGTGTTCACGGTGTGTCCCTCTGAGCTGCCTGACTAATACTCCTAATTGGTAAGTGTCTTAGATGAGAAGAATCGTGGGTAGTACGAGCAAGAGCCGATGCGTATTTGTCTAAAGTGTGATTACGTGTCCGCCCCTGTAGGCCCGCCCACCCGTCTGTCTCACACGCAATCATGGCGCGCGGTCATGCTTTTTATCACGCCGTGGTTTTACCGGTCCCGCGTGACAGTGTGCGTCCTTCGTCCACATGTAGAGGCCGTTTCAAGAAGCACCTGCTGCTATAAGAGCACCTCAAGCCTTTGTGATCATCAGTGCTTTAACCAATCAGTGGGTTTGGGGGAGGAGGAAAAAAAAAAAACAAACAAACAAAACAAAAACAGGAACAACCCGGGCCTCCAAGTGCTTTCTGCTCATTGAACATGACGACTGTAAAGAAGCCGTGTTTGTGTTGCCGTTTGTTCTGGTGATGCTGTTTGCCGAATAATGTACCATGCTGTCTTTAACAAAAGTGTGTCCTGGCCAAGGATGTCCACTGCTGTTCGCTTCTGTCTCTCCTGTCCACTCTGCAGTGTCGCTCCTCCTCCTCCTCCTCCTCTTGGTTTCTACGTGACCCCCCCTTCATGGACTGCCACCATGTTAGGACTGTAAGATATGATTTTGTATTCCTTTAAGACTTTTACACTACTTTAAATTATTGATTTGCACATTAGGTACAGATGTATATATGAACAAAATAATAGTTTATTGTTACAAACATCATGTGTCTGTGTCTTTATTTTCCCGGACTCTCTCACTTCCGCTAATAACCCAGGCTAAACTTGGCTCCTCCCCAACACTAAAAGTTTGTCATTCAGCGAGATTTATCACTTCAAACATACTTGCTTAAAACCAATTAGCTAGGAGAGGCTCCATCTTGACCATGAAAAAAAATCTCCAAAAACTCCATAATTTTAAGTTTTGTTTTTTTTTTTTTAATCCCGCATGGTACATTTATTAAATACAGTTTAGTTGTGTTTCACTTAAGTATAAATTTGTATTTCATTTTTTATGTGCAATGTATTTTGAATCATTATTTCATCATATGTTTCGTCTCACTCCAGAAATAGGCCTCTCATACTGCTCTTAAACGCACAATATTTTCATACTTGTGAGGTATTCATTGAATTGAAATAACGGAAACCACAAATGTGACCAACCCATTAGCCAGTTTCTTATAAAACCTTATAAAAACGAGCTCTTTTGTAAATGGATGCATTTTAATCTTAGTAGAATGAGAGCATTATGCTTGTGTGACTTGAATGTTAAAATTGCCTGTGCAGTTATTCGAGATTTGGGATCGCTCAGGGAACATTTGTCGAAAAATGTCAACAAATCAGCCAGTGTCCCGTTTGTGTTTTGACCTTTTTGGGTGATGTGCATCTAAGCGTAATATATTGGTGAAAATTTTTCTAAAGAGTGTATACACACTGTTTTACTCATGTATAAAAAAAAAAAAATCATCGCAGCAGGGATGAGTTGGAGTGAGAATGAAGAGAAGGTTACTCTGTGGGCTGCAGCCTACTGTGTGCGTGTGCGTGTGTGTGTGTGTGTCCCTGCTGTCCCGCCATGCCAAATTGGAGGCCACCCACCCTAAGCGCAGTGCACGGGGGGACGAGCCTAGGTTTTGGTGGCTGGCACCGGCTGAGAGGGAAGCTTAGCTCTCAAAGAAGGTCACGGAGGGCAACCCCGATGAGAGGCGGCCATGTTTGACTGTGTGAGGTCGTTGCCATCAAAGGGGGGAAAAGGGTCGGGGGCATACGTCATGCAACTAGTTTGAAGAGGTGGTGCTGTACAGGCGGGGAAAAGAGGAGGACAATATACTCCTACTTGTTGTTAAAAATGAGTTAGATAAGCCGCACTCAAAAATTAAAAAAATATATTAATTAAACCCTCCAAAATTAAAAAAAAAAAAAAAAATTACAAAATCACCTTCTCCGACATTATTGAAAAAATTTAAAAAATGCATGAACATCACCAATCATTCAGGTGGCCGGCACTTTTGCTACACACTTAACTTACCAGGCCTACACCTGCTCATTTTTGACTCATTTTAGAAGCTGGCTGTGTTGTCCAAGTCCTGGTGCACAACGACGCAATAGTTATTTTGTCCTACATTGTTTGTCCGCTTTTTACCTGCCGTGTATGTGAGGTAGTAAGCACATTTTCAAAGCCGTTTCGCTCCGGCATAGCTGTACAGATTTTCTCCTATGTACGCAAACTGTATTGACTTTATGTAATCGTGTCACGCGAATAGCTCAACTCACAATCGGTATGACCGCAGTATATGTCGTGTCCTCGTTTAGCAAACGTTTAGTGCACTTTGCCGACAATAGAGCTATTTCTGTGCTCGTTTGAACAACATGCTTGCCTGCTGGTCGCATCTGTGACTGGCTGAATATGCGTTGCCGGATGTTCGTGTAGCTTATGCTAAGTGATGAAAGCTATTTTAAATGTAAGAGATATTCTACACATACTCTAGCTAGCTTTTTCGGGTGTAAATAAGATGATTTTCAGACTTTTTAACGTCAAAAGTTTTTCCCCCTCACAAGACATGTGAAAAGGCGAACAACAAATTAGCATTCGTGCTCACAAACACGACGGCACCGCAGAGTGAACAAGGTTTTGTTTGCTGTCATGTCTTTATTTCGAGGTTCCGATCGATGAAGTCATTGATAGATCGCGCAATTATGACATGACAGTCACTCAGAGATTTGGCATAAAAATGCAAAATAGCGCTCAATTTTGATCCACTCAGATCAGATCGGTGTCGAGTTTGCATAGCTGCAGTCCATAAACAGGAACTGAGCCACCCCAGAGAAGATTTACACCCACATGGCCGTCCCATTACAGGACTGCACACACACACACACACACACACACACACACACACACACACACACACACACACTCTGTATATATAGTATCTACACGTGCCCACATTTCACCTTGACTGCACTTGCTAATAGAAGCTGACACTGCAAGCAGCAAAGGTGTGAGTGAAAAGATCCATCAGTCGAAGTCCCTCCCCCACATCCACATTCTGTCTGCACTCACATTCTGTCAGCGCAGAATACACACCCACATTACGCAGCAGAAAGTGTGTCATTGTCAGTGAGGGTCCACACGTGACTGGCAGTGACCCTCCGAGAATGCCCCCACACATACACAGACATATGCATCTCTCTTTCTCTCCCTCTTTTTCTCGGCCTCACACTCTTTATAATAGTGTGTGTTTTTTAAATATGGTTTGCTCGCTCTTGGATATCTGCAGATGCATGACCCCCCCCCCCCAAAAAAAATCGCAGGGTTCAGCATTTTGATGCGGTGTATTAAAAACTAATAATGCTTGATTTTGCTTATTGCTTTTGATTTTTTTTTTTGTACTTTCTTCCCTCCAAATTTTGCTGCTGTTCATTGCTAATTTCTTCATTGTGACACAATAACGTTTTTCTTATCTTATTTTAATTGACACTGTCAGAAAGTATTCTCTGATTTGGTTATTTTGGTGGCGATCGTTTGAACGACATTGCCTCATACCGTTTGTCGTTTCTAATATTTTGCTGTGGGACCAAAGTCAAATACATATCCACAATGTTTTTTTCTTAAGGTGGTTAATTATGATGATTACTATCTATAGTTTATTGTAAATGACAAAAATGCATTACATTATGTAAATCATTTTACATATTTTACATACACGTTTTTCCCCCTTACTTATACTTATGACCTGACCCATCTGTTAGTTTTAAAAACCAAATGTGGCCCTGCACAAGACCCAGACAGCTTTTTTCAAACTAAATATAAAGACATAAACACACATACCTTCGATACACAAAAAAACAGCCGCAACGCTGGTATAGAATTGCAGCACCAACCTTATGGCAGTGCACAGTGGAAGTACTGGTTGTAAACATAGACATGAGCCTGTGGTACAGTATTGCCACAGTAGATGAAATTCAATTAGAATCTAAATTGTATCGAGATGTGAATGCAAGTGTGAGTGGTTGGTTGTCTGGCGTTCGGGGTGTACCCTGCCTGCCGTCCAAAGTGAGCTGGTAAAGAAAAGCAATCGAAAACGCAGGTGCCTATGAAAGCTACGGGAAGCATGCAGAAGGTGGTCGAAAAATGAAAAGCAATCCTTTGGCGAAGATGGCGACGCCGTGGTGCCAAGTGTGGCAGCTTGTGTGCTTGCTTGTGTGCCTCCAACCCGCCTGGAGACATGCAGGGTGTAGACCAGAATCATCAAGCAGAATTTTAAAATGTTTGCGCTTCCTTCCTGTCTCGCGCTGCATTGCTGAGTCCACACGATTTTTTTTTTTTCAGTGGTGGGGCCAGTCAGGCCTTTTCTTCAATTGGCTTACACACGACCAGAAATGCTCGCCTTCATTTTCGAACAAAAATCCAATATTTGTGTCATGAAATTGAATTAATCTATTCCCAACAAGGTTCTGAAAATCCAATATTTGTGTCATGAAATTGAATTAATCAAGGTTCTCTTAATATTGTAGTGTTTCTCTCGTCCAATCAGATTTCAGCCTCTTTGCAATTAGACTGTTTCCGATTTCTACTTCATGCTCACAGGGCCAGCTAGCTGGCCCACGATCACGACGGCATTTCTCTGCCTTCTGATCGGTTGGTCAGAGCCAAACCTGTTAGCGCCAACTTCAACTACCAACCAACCAACCACACAGACTTTGCAGAGATGCACACCGGTTGCAAGCCTGACAATATGTAACAAATCTGGCTCGCGACACAAAAAGGAAGGAAGAGTCCTCAGCAACGTGGCGCCCCGCCCATTGTTGATACCCCGTAGTTACAGTAAATATTTGCATGGGTGAAATAAGGGAACAAGGTGTACTTCCTGTTGCAACAATAACACTGGTCTGTGTGAGAAACAAGCTCGTCAGAGGCTGATAGGTCTCCGCCTGTCTCCGCTGTATTCCAAAAAGCCTGCTTGAACCGATGACATCTAATCCTCAATGAGACGTGGGAGGGCCCATTTATGTGTACAGCACATTTCATAGCAGTGGCACCCCCTGAAGTAGTGGACAGAGTACTTGGTAAAAAAATTCTGAAACCCCGAAACAAAGCAAAACAAAAGCCAGAGAACACAAAAGAAGAAGCTTTAGCTCGTTATGAAACGGACAGCGGCATTTCGAGCAAAGAGGAAACTGTCTGACAGCTGACCTGCAAAGTAACGTTTTACAATCGTCCAGCCTACATGAGGAAGTACACGATTGTGTCCCACAACAGAGTTGATATGTTATGTAAGAGAGGGAAAACGGCAACGACGTGGATGCTCTCGGGTTCCGTCGGCGTAGCAAATGTGATGTCGTGCAATGGAAATGACACATGGTCAGATATGCATGTACTCATGTTTGTGCTCTTTTTCTGGGCGTACACACTGCCTTCGGTGTGCAAACAACTTGCGGCGCGTACCCAAACAAAAGCAAAATGGGTCACTTGAGCTTGTTGTGTAAATCTGGACTAAGAGCACTGGAGTTCTACTGGTATGTAGGGACAGAGTAAGCTTAGACTTGCGTGAGGCGCAGGCTCGGTTGGAGTTTGGTATTTTCATATTATCGTGTTGTTAAATTGCGGTTCACATTAAGGTTAGGGGAGGAGGAGGAAGGTTTTAAGTTAAGGGGTGTGAAACTCATTTTTGGCGCCGGCCACATTTTAGTTACCGTTCCACTTGGAGGGCCGTTATGACTGAAACCAAAAAAAAGAACTCCAGGATAACTATTGATTCAACTATTGGTACCAAGAAAATGCTTAGAATGTATCTCTAATTTATTACATATGAGAATGAAAAAATTTAGTCGACATTTTAAAAAGGAACATGGAATTTGACTTGTTTGAGCTGTTTTCACGGGCCACATAAAACAATGTGGCGGGCCAGATCTGGCCCCCGGGCCTTGAGTTTGACACTTTGGGTTAGAGCAAGGGGAGTGTCGTGGGGGGGGAAACAAAACCAGTCGAAACAAGTTAGAGCTGCATATTTTATGAATTTATTTCCAAATGTAAACTTCACTATTCCATGCATACGAGTTATGACAACATACATTGTTCAACAATCTTGTTATTTTTCATATTTGCATAGGACATGGTCACAATATATCGTCTAACATGTAAAAAATAATGCCATAGAAAGGTACAGCAGAGCAGCTAAGACCAGCACATTACATTACATGTGGTTGAAATCCCAGGTACTGTACAACTGTAATACTTGTTGAGTGTAGTGATTTTGGTTTGCTGAGAGGAAGAAAAAAAAAAACAAGACACCTGAAGGTTAACTGTGAGGTCATAGGAGAATGTACTGGCCATAGCTGAGTCGAGAATTATTTACACATTACATTAGAGTGAAGCCGGCCCGGAGAGGGATGAGAGGGGGCGCGGCGCCTTAGAGTCACTACAACAGGCAACTGATGGTGATGGACAGAGGAGAAACGCACACGAGGTATCAAGAGAAGCGACATTGCACTGAGGACAAACAGGGGAGAGGCAAAAGCACACACTTTTTTGCCGCCTCCTAACCCGCACTAGACTCCTCTTCATAAGGGGCCGCAACATCCAACCAAAGACGATCACGCGACCCGTTGCAGCGTACGTAACTCTTTACATGCTTACGTCAAGATTTGAGAATACCCCCCACCCCCCCAACCCCAAAAAAAGGTCCATTATCAAGCCCAGCCTCGGCCGAACCAAATGACTGCAACATTCATGTTTCCCTTCATAGCCTTTGGTAACAACTTCTTCACACCCAAGAATCGCGCCATCCCACAAATGAGTCCGTCACTAACTAGTCTTAAAGGTATCCCAAAAGAATGGGGGGGTGGGGGGTGTTAGCAGGAAGACACACCATGTATGTCCTTGACTCTTGAATGTTGTTCATTTTAATTGGCTCCACAAAGGGCCCCTAAGGGGAAGTATGAGGAGCGATTACACTTGGGAAACAAGAGGAAAGTACCTTGTGCACCACTCACAATGGGTAAAAACTCCGAACTGGGATACATTTTCACCCTCAAAAAAAAAAAAAACAACTACAACGATCGGGTCCATGTAAGCAGCAACACAGCGCAATTTTCAAACCTTTGGAATGGTCGGGGTTCATCGATAGCATTAAAATGATTCAAATGACCAAAAGCCATTGCATGGTGGAAGCCCGCATACTTGAGGCTCAACACCTGCACATTTACCTTTCGGTAACTTTTCTCAATGTTCTTTTATTTTGTTGTTGATGTTGTCGTTGGAAGGAGGGGCTTAAGGGCACCCTTACTTTTCAGTTATGCGTGAATGCAATTTATATAAAAATGTATATGTGTGTGTGTGTGTGTGTGTGTGTGTGTGTGTGTGTGTGTGTGTGTGTTGTGTTCGTGTGTGTATATGCGTATATTTTTTCAATGCATTTATTATGGCCATCAATTATATGAAGATTTTTGTTATTCGCGAGCCCGCCTGGTCCCCATCCCCTACAAATAGAGGGGCTCCACCGTACATCGCTTGTGTAACGTACAGAAACCAAAAGATCACATTAAATAACAAGAATTAAAAGAAAAAAAAAATAGGCGAAGCCATACAACCAAATGGTTTAAAAGCAGAAAATATTTTGCCTGGTATATCAAATATGCACATTTGCTGCTTCATTAAATCCTGTACATGACACAAAAGCATTTTTTTTAAAAAGCTGTACAATATCTGATAGTAGCTATTTACCCTTGAACATGTATATTTTGGCACACAGTTGTATCCACCAACCCTGTACTTTGACATCAGTCCAGAAAATTCCACGTGGTAGCTTTAAATCAATTCAATTGAATGCATTTTTTTTACAATAGGCAGTCAACTATTAAGCAGTACAATGCAATTAGGAACCTTACAGGTTCAAGTCCTTTCTTAAAGATTAGAATTGTAATCATTTTTCAATTCTGACATCATCCTGCATGTTTAAACCAGCACAGACGGCGAGTGTGTGTGTGGCTCATTTTGCAACTTGGAATCAAAAGCAAGTGAAGGACCCTGACATGTGATTTTTTTTTTTTTAACATATACAAAACACAACTCGTCATTTATTTACAGAATAAAAAGCTTCAAGCAGAAACAAATAATCCACCGTTTTTGTTTTTGTTTTTTTTGGATTTTTTTGTGCTATTTGTCTAGCAGAAGCTACACCGTGCGTCTGGAGCGATATGAACAAGAAGCAAAAAGAAAAAGTTTTGAAGAGGTATGATCCTGAAAACGATACATACTTTTGATAAACCACCATAAGATATCATTAATATAAATTAGGACTAAATAAGAACTGCTACACGTGTCGACCCCCCAAAAAAACAAACAAATGAAAAGCTGTTTGGAGATGGTTTGACATTGAACATGTTTGTCTATAATTTTCTATATGAATCTCCTGAGAGACAACTATCATCTCCGCTTCCTCAGGTCCGTTTTTAGTGTGGTACACACCATGGCACCAAACAGCACAGTGGCTACTTGTCACCCTTTAAATAGACTGACTGACAGATTTCAAGTTTCAGCGCTCCTCTGATGCTAAGTAGAGGGCACACCTTGGTTGGAAATGTCCTAATGGTCAATTTTTTTTTTTTGACCCACAATTCAAAGCAATGTCTGAGTTTCATTGTTTAACTTTAATTGCTATTTTTATTTATGATTACAAGTTATTTTCTGTGACCACCGTGTTTTTCTTTCATGAACAGCGTTGTTATTTTGTGGGTAACACCCAAGGTCTTTAATTTTAAAGAAAACAACATTTAAGAAGAAAAACAAGTCATTCCGTGTGAAATAAATATACATAGAGGTCAGGAAGTTTCATTTACTAACTGCCGTCCACCAGTCCAACATTCCCTGTTCGTGGACCGTGGAGGACTTTGGGAGCCTACGTGGAAGCAAGCGCCCATCATCCTGACATCAACGGCTCTCTGGTGAGTGGATGGCTGCTCTTTTGGAACAAAAACTTAACAATTCAACCATCAATGACCCAAAGACGATGGAAACTTGAACAAACAAAAGCCGTCTCTCCGAAAAAAAAGGTGTATTATTGTCTTTTAAGAAAAAAAAAAAGTTAAAATGTACAAAATGGTGTTCAATGGCCTTTTGTGTTGAATTGTTCAAGTAGTTTTGGTAGAACATGGATGGAAGGATGGATGGGGACATTTCCTCTTTCACATGTCGTCAGATGTGCGTGCGTGTGTGTGTGTGTGTGTGTGTGTGTGTGTGTTTGTGTATGTCTTCAAGGGGTTGTTTCATTTCAGCCACAGGGAGCCCAAATTGCCACTCAGGCAGGATGTTGTGAAGACATGAGGCAGGTGGGCCTTGAGTATGGCAAAGGGGGGTGTTCAGTGGACACTGACCAGCAGTGAGAACAAATAATGCCCTTACCCCCATACTGTATGCATCCCATAGAACCTGAGGTCATTGTGCAGTTCATGGATTAAGAAAGCATGCAAACCTGCACAAAAAGCCGCTCAACAGCATTGAAGAGGATTGAAAACGCCCCCCCCCCCGACACCCCCGCAGTGGTTTCTCTTACCAAAAGTGAAGGGACTGGCTGGATTGGATCTAAGGGATGTTTTGTTTTGTCTTGTCGGGGATGTGACAGAGCTGCTTCTTTGAAAAGAATGATGGCTCCCAGGGCGGGGGCGAGCTGGGAGACAAGGCTCGCCATTCATGGACGTACACCTGCCGGGAGTTGTTAACATGCGCGTGGCGCCGGGGGAGAGGGGTGAAGCAAGTACACGATCACTCGCCATGGCAACGGTCTGGATGGATGCGATGGGATCAAAGCAATGCGGACGGCTGCATTTCCAAGCACGAGGATGCAGACTGTACTAGTTTGGATAAGCGGTGCCCGTTTGCAGAAAAGGTTTTGTTTAGTTTTTTTGCGTGACTTATCGGGGCATGTGCGTGGAGTGGCACAAACACCAAGATATGTTCTTTTTGCTCCAAGGCGTTCAAAAGCAGCTGTTTAACGGTTTAAGATTTGTCCCGTTGCATGATCGAGATGGAAGGGGGACTCCAAGTACCTGAAATCTTCGTGGGCCACGGGAAATGATCCTATTTCACTTCATCGGTCGGCAAATTTTGATTTATTTGCGACAAAAAAATTGGTCGTCTGTCTATCGCAACGATGTATAGTGACAGGCAAAACAATTCAATGCTCTTCCACTAGATGGCAGAAGGTACAATCAACCTGTATATCCACCTCATTACAGCAGAATATACGATTTCAGACAAAAAATGTGCATACGATGAGAAAATGATTTTAACTATCCAGAACCATCGTAGATAAACTTGTGTTTGGTTTATTTTTTAATCAAGACATCTGGAAAATAATTCCGAGTAGTTGTGAACCCACATGAGATTTCTGATGGCAAAAAAATGCCTCAGCAAATCTGAACTTGGTATCTGCATTCAGATTGGCCATGGGCGTGATGATCAAATGATGTCATTTTTGCCATTCACGTGCATGGGGGCAATCGAATTAAAGATATCTGCGACTGTACCTTGCGTTTAGTATCTGAGGTGAGTTAAAGATATCTTGATGTGGGATTATGATCAGTCAGACCCAATTTGTAGATATCAGACAGATATCTTGAAGCGGGGAGAGAATCAACTTGTAGATATCTACAATTCTGATCGCTATCTGATGCAGATTCCAAATGATTGGTAAGATATCAGAAGTGTAGATATCAGTAATGGCACAAGTGACATAATTTCTCCTAGGCACACGATAACGTTGCATCTATCTGAAATGCTAATTCTAGAAAAGAAAAATGTAGTTGAGGATATCCAAAAATGTTCTTTGGCAAAATTAAACAAACTAACTGCAACACATCCGGTCTTTTTGTGCCGTTTGTCTTTGGTGTAACTCATCGCTACTCAGAAAAAAATCAGTCAGGGAATCTCGGGGGGGAAGTTTCAGGATGATTTTTATGTCCATCTGTTCAGTGTTTCAGCGCTTCCAAAGCCTGCCACACAAGCGATCGGCCAAATCCGAGTGAACCCTCCCTAAGTGTATATTGTTTTACAACAATACTGAAATATATTTATAATTTGATATATACCTTTGGATGAAGTTTCAAGTCTGTCGCCAAAATGAGTGAGCGAAGTTGGGTCATTTGCATAAGCAGGAAACGAGGGTGTCTCCTCCTCTGCTCAAGTTGTGATAAACTTCTCTCATTTTATCAGGAGGCGCCTTTTCCCGTCTGAACGTCGCAGATAGCTCCACATACACTTTGCACTGTGTTTAACCCCCACAAGTTCCATTAAAGCTGACAGCTTGACGTCTTAACGGGACAGGTAGAGCCAGACGGGCGACATGCTAGCCTTCATGACGCTTCTTGCGGCGTATTTTGTAGGCCTCAAATCATCCCTGCGCCTCACTTCTTCAATTCTCCTCTCTTGTACTTTTTTTTTCTCCCCGGTATGCTTGTGCGAGTCATCCCTTTGTGTCCATTTTTATTTAAACAGCTGCTTTGAAACGTATTTTTATAACCCAATTCTTTGTGTTTACCGCAATAAATATCCACCGAGAGAATAGATGCTGCAAATACAGGGGGTAGTGTCTTTAAAAGCCGACATTTTTCTGCAACGCTGTTCTTTATAAACGGCTCTGACAGTCCAATTTCCTGGAGGTGGTCTCAGAGCCGTAACGGCTATTGTCGCCGTCAAGACAAATAACGTATTTTAAACCAGACGTCTCGTCTTCAATGATCTGATTGCGCGATGCAGTCGACACATCGAAACGCACACGGTTGCAGCAATAGTCTTCCGCTTGGTTCCATGGAAAAAGGCAAAGACGGATAAATGCCGGAGGGGGCTTCCGTTACAGCTTTGATGCATCGTTTTGTCGCAAAAGAGGCTTATAATTACGTTGTTTATTTTAGGAAGAGTGAAGCCGACGTAAAAGAAAAGAGTGCAATATTGTATTGATATACATACGTATATACCTGTACACTTACAGACGCATACGCAAACACCTGTGTATAATTATACATCTATATAGACATATTGTGTGTATGTGTGTGGACTGACTGTTTCTCTCCATTTGTTCAAGCTAACAAGGCCATCCCTGAGCAGGGCGAAAAATCCAACCAGCGGTTGAACTTCGGAGTAAAGTGATGAGTATATTGTGCATTTTGTGTGAAGTCCTGTGGTGTTAAGAGAAACTGTCTTCAATCCTGAGGTGTTTGTTGTTGTTGTTTTTTTTAGCGTGTGTACACTAAAAAAATAAAAAAAGATGCTGGGTTGTTTTCCGCAGCCACTCGCTGGGTAAGTGTGGATTTCAAATCGATAGGGTTACTTTTACTGAAGAATGGGTTCATCATTTGGACCCACAGATTGGGTTGAAGATTGAATTTGGGCGGGCTGAAGAGCTGTAGGTGGTCGCCACTTTTGAGTTGTGTACAAAAGTTGACTAAAAATGAATGTGAAAATATTACAGGTGGCTGCATGGCTCAATGGGTAACACCAACCTACTGTTAGGAGTTGGGGACCCTGACAGGAGAAAATGTTCATAAAATTTGTATGATTTCTCGATAGCTTTAACTTATCAGTATGGGTAGTTTTTAAATCGTTGATGGATCAATATCTTGACCCAACACGCTGCATCGAATCCCCAACCCAATGTGCTGGGTATTCATAACCCAGCATTGGCTGGTTCCCTTTTGGACCCAGTGCTGTGTCAGCTGTTTCACCCAATTTGGATTATTTTTGACCCAACAGTGCATGTGTTTGTGTGTGTGTGTGTGTGTGTGTGTGTGTGTGTGTGTGTGTGTGTGTGTGTGCGTGTGTGTGTGTGTGTGTGTGTGTGTGTGTGTGTGTGTGTGCCCCTTCTCATCACCCGTTTAAAACAACAAAATGGAAAAGAACAATGAAAGACAAACATTACGTTAAGACTCCTGTTGTCTTTCTTCTAAGTCATGTTGAGTTGTTGCACGCAGACAATTAGAAGAAAAGTCGAGACATATATGGTCGAGAATGTAAATATTGCCATCTGGGAAAGGCATTACCTTCTGCTAGGATCACACATGTCATTGCACTACAATAAGCAGTTCTGTACAGTAGGGTACACCATAGCAAGCGCAGGATTAGCAAAGAAGGGCATCGCCGCTGACAAGTGTGCAACAACACGAGTGTTATCATGAAAAGAACACGCGCCTCGGCCGCGCTGGTGGTGGAAAGTGCGAAGTTCAGTTTAAGGCGAGCTGGCGGGGCTGAGGGCGGGGCTGAGGGTCGGGCTGAGGGTGGGGCTGAGGGTGGGGCTTGAGGCGTCCGAGCGGCTGTAATCGCTGAGGGAGCCGGGACGCGTGGCGTGGCCAGCCACCCCACCGCCGACCCCGCCCACACCGCTGCTGTGGGGCCTCTTGAGCATGCCGGGCTGGAAATCCGAGTGGCGCCTGGCGTGCTTCATTAGGTGGTCGCTTCGCATAAAGCGCTTGTCGCAAAGCGGGCAGCCGAACTTCTTTTCTCCTGTGTGAGTACGGTAGTGCCGGGCCAACTCGTCGGAGCGGGCGAACTTCTTACTGCAGTCGGGCCATGTACAAGGGAACGGACGCTCTCCTGGACAAAACAAAAATAAGACATTAATAGTGGGGTGATGAACTAGCAGAATTAAATCGAATGCGACAGAATTAAACCGTTTGTGCATTATGATTTCATGCTTTAATTCAATTCATTTCGGTTGCTCCTTCCTGTCTGCCCGCTTACAATCCACAGTAACATATTCATACAGACAAACGAAGAAGAGCCGCTCTCGACCATGTTTGTCCGTATTCACTCATTATTCTCAAGTGACTTCATCAGCTGCGATACTTTATTTTTTCCCCACAGGGGATAAAGATCAAATTTTCCTGTGAGTATTGTGATATTGTCAGTCTACCTATGTTGCTCCACCGTTTGTGTTGAAATATCTGTTGCTTCAAGGGTTCTAAAACCGCTATGGAGATGCTAATTAATAGCGTGTCAATGGCGTTTTCCATCCTATGCTAGCATTAAGCTAGCAGAAGGTAAGGTTGTGTGGTTGTTTTAAATACATGACGTGTGATTCTCTTTGTTTTACGTTTAGTTAGACAGTAAATTTCAACTGGGAGTGGCAAAAATCAAAATAAAATTAAGAACTGTTTACTATTTGCCGAAGTGCTGCTTATTATGAAGTGAGTTGAGTTCACAACAACCATGTCACAACAACAACAACAAAAATCAGAATCTTGAAAAACTTTTGTTGGGGCATTCACATCTCAGTAACTCAGGTGTGCCTGCCTGTATCAAGTGCAATAATAAACAACCTTATTACATTTTAGAGCTTCCATTTTCTTACAAACAAAAGTCTGAATGAGCATTCTGCACTTTTGCCATAATTTACATTGTAACCGCCCCGCACAGAGTTTTTCCACACATGACTTGGAAGCTCCGCTGGACAAAGATCCAGCGCCACTTTCAAGCATGGACCGGCCACCAGACTACACTGTGTGAAACACCCTCATGCAGGCACACCTGCGTTCCCCACAGGAGCGAGGCCCCTTCCATCAACTCTGAGCCAAAAGGTAAGCAGAGCCGCGATGAATTTTGCCGGATGCACAAAATAGCGTTCACAAGCTCAGCGACGTTGATGAGGTGTCGTCGTGACACATACAGCAGTGTAGTGTATGAACAGCCGCCTCCACCAAAAAAACTTACTGGATTCTTGCTTTTTTTCCCCCCCTCCACTGGTCTCTCCTTTTGCAAATGCCCTTTAGAAGCCATAAAAAATGAGCGTATACGAGTGACCCCCACTAAACAGCAAATCTGTTTGAAGACAAATCATTTGTGTACTTTCAAGATGATCCAATGATTTACTAATTGACTTTTCATCAAGACACCTCCACTCACTACAGACAAGCTTAATTCAAAATCAAACATGTCATAATAAATAAATAAGATGGAAAAAGAAGCCGTGATTCAAATTTGGTCATGAAAATCCAATATCCTTTCATCAAAGAGGAATTGGAATCAATTCTGCAATCAAGAGCCGTGGGACTGCGGCCATGTGGTAGACGGATGACGTCATTCCAATTTGACCTCGCGATTGTCTGCGAGGATTTCAACATGTGATATGCTCATGTTTGTCCTTATAACAAGTTGGTTCTCCTTATATAAACCACAGTGACGCAGAGCGTGATGCTTTCACATTGCGGTACATCTCATGAGCATGACCGAAACCTCACAACTGGAAGCGTCAAAGGTATGCTCATTTCTTTTGTTTTGTTTTGTTTCTTTTTCTTTTTTTTTTTGCAACACCAATTCTGAAATGTGGAGCTGATTCTCAATGTTAGAATGTTTATAATATTTTCTGTACCAGTGCTTGGCTGCCAGCGCCAGGAAGGCCTTCTCTGCCGGCTAAAGCACGATCAGAAGCACTGACCTACATTTACAACCGGAATTCTGAATTTTATTCCATGAAATTGGATTAATTTACTCTCAACAGTCTATTCTCTTCGTTTCGCCGCGTTTCTCTTGGCTGCACTGCTTCCCGTCTGTGCATGCAGACTTGAGATTTTTTATTTATTTTTCTGTCCAATCAGATTTGAGCGTCTATGTGTTGCCGTGTCAATCTAATCTGCCCTGGGCCTAAAAAATAAATAGTGCTAGCCAACATAACTTAAAAGTCCCTGCAAAGTGAAAATACATGTATTTTTTTTTTCATGGGTTTACAATGAGTTTTGGATTTCTGAATTTACTTTATAGTATAAAAACTATTTTTACCAGAATCAGAATTACCGGTAAACGATCTAATCTGCCCTGGGCCTAAAAAATAAATAGTGCGAGCCAACATAACTTAAAAGTCCCTCCAAAGTGAAAATACATGTATTTTTTTTCATGGGTTTAGAATGAATTTTGGATTTCTGAATTTACTTTGTCGTATAAAAACTATTTTTTTCCAGAATCTGAATTACCGATAAACTACCCAGCCCATAGTAACAGTAAGCATTCTGTTATCGGATTGGTTTGTCTGTCGCAGACATGAATAGATTTAATAAGCAGGTCTCTGGTTATTATGGCATATTTTATTCAAAAGTTTGACATTTTATTTGACAAATATTGGTTTTATCATGATCACAGATTACAAACACATTTCTTCTAATGGGATTTTCTGTTGCTTGGGAGGAGTTAAAATGTGACTATCAGGCACCCTCGAGGAAAATCCGAAACCTAAAAAGCTGCGGAGTGCCTTTAAAACAGCCGTTAACCCTGACGCCGTTGAATTCTCCAGATGCATTCACAATGGTCGCCCCACCCATTCTCCAGCGTGTAACTATCTGTGAGTCGGCGCATGGGAAAATTACACCCTCCCCCCCGCCTTCATCGGGCAATAAAAGTGGGCTTTGACACAAATCTACTCAAAGCCAGATGGTACCATATATCTTGTGGTTTCCTTCCATTCTATACAATGTGGAAACATTGTGTATGGAGCCTGAATGCAGCCTCGCCGTGTTTTTTTTGGGGCTTGGCAAAAACGGGTCATATGTTCCTCGCAGTATGACAGAGCACAGTATTTTGATAGATTTTTTTTTTTTTTAAACATGACTTTTACTCCCCAGCTATGTGTTGTGATCATAAAGTAAACACGCTCGCATGTTTAAAGGTGCCGTAACAAATGATTTCATGAGAGCGGGCCTGCCAAATGCTTTCTTTGTTCTGCGGTTTCCCCCAAGGCCACAATGGAAAGAGTTGCTACTCGGATTCAAAACGCTCCTCGTACGCTACCTGATGCCAACGTGTCTCAAGAAACAAGAAGTTGGTACGCGAGTAGCCTCGTAGGCCGTCGCCCAGCCGCCCCCACGATACTGCAACAAAACGTGCAGACAGACAGAGCAAGTCTAGACAGCCCGCTCTGTGTTCCTGCTCCTTGACGCCTCACCTCAGCTGTAGGCAAACCCACTTGGGTCCTTCCCACTTGGGCTCCCGCACGCTCAAATGGATCTATGTTAATTTATGACTGGATTTCCATTCAAATGTTTAGCACAGCCAATGCAAATTGCCGGAGTGTCGCTTCTGGATAGAATTCAAAGCTGTAAATAACCCGAGCCTGCAGAAACATACTAGCTGAGTGTTACTTTTATGGCCCTAATCTCATTGATGAGCCTCATGATGGTCTGATTTCATACCTTATTAGCAAGAGGAACAGCCGGCACGGCCACCTGGCGCTGCCCAAAAAAAAAGGGGGGAATTTGCACGGCTAAAAAAGTGGCGCTAAGCTCTGCAGGCTGCTTTAGGCTCAGTAACCAGTGTAACAGATCCAACAGCAATGAATATTTAATCAGACACCAGAGAGCCTGTCTGAGATGTCCCCAAGTCCTATACAGCGATGATGCAGCCATGATGGAAGCATCAGGTATCCAACGGCAACCTGCTGCGACGCTTCAAATTATTTAGATCTCCGTCACGACTGGGGATTGATGGACACGTTGACCCTTTTTCACCTTCACACTAAGTAGCTTCGGGATAAATTTAACGCCAGACTTAACTTCCAAATCATAATGTGGGATTTTCACGAGAGGAACTTATTCCTGGAAGTCCCCTCGGGAGATTCATCGCTACTTTGATCCTAAGTGGAAATAAGGCAATGGTCGGGTGCAAACACAGCCATTATTCAGCATCGTGTCTGCAAGGAATGTGACGAGACGAATTCACTCGTTCCGATCCTCTCGGGCCATGTATGCACAGACGCAAGGATTTTTAGGGTGGTTTTGGATAGCACCTGTTTAAAAGAGGCCAAGCTAAACCAAGTCCAAGTGTTCCAAAAAGGGAAACGAAAGCAGTTCTCAATTCTGACTTTGTTTGGCATCTTCACACACCCTTTTTCCTCAATTAGCGGCCTCCTTCCATAATAAATTGCTCTACCCCAATGAATCGCCAACTTTTCTTGAGGAAGAAATTGTTTTTTTAAATAAATAAAATAAAAAGCCATGATTTAATAACTTCATAAGAATCCAAAAATAACAGCACTCAGCACCTCCTTCCACTAAATTCCTTGGCCCTAAAACAAGCACACACAAAAATGCTAACTAATCAGTCGCTGTGAAAAAAAAGCAACAACAAATAAAGCTTTTTTTTTTTTTACTGTTTTGACTCTTCATCCAGATTTATGTTGAAACAGACTATTTGGAAAAGCTCAGGTCAGTGCAATTTTCCCAAAAATCCCTTTTTGATAAACAAAGTATACCCGATAGCAGTACATTAGTAAAATAATCTGTGAAAAAAAATGGCTCTGTCTGGCCGAATCCTGTATCTCTAATTTGATTTTTAAGAAACCACCACACCTGAGGAAAAACAGTCAATCAGAAACAAAAGGTGAGACCGACGAGGTATTCATCCTCTGCCACGCAGTTGAGTCGTTTTACCCCAATTGCTAACGTAGCAGCCATGGCTGACACCGGTTTTACTTCTTATGCATGTTAGTGAGGGGCGGTGAAGCGACATTCAAATCTTGCTAGCGGTTTTAAAAGTGCAAACCCCGCCCCCATCCCCCCACATATAATCCTACATTTTCCTTCTTACCAGTACTCTCATTTTTGTCTATTGTCGTTGTTGTTTCGTGTGCTCAACAACAGTCCAAAGTAAGTTGCCCATCGGAAACCAGCCTAAAATTATTCCAACTAGTGTTCCAGGTAAAAGTAAAAATGTACAAAATATGGAGCTGCACGCCTTTCACAGGACAACCTAATTATGTTGCCTTTTTTTTTTTTTGCAAATGCTTTTGATTGGGTAATTGCTGAGTTGGGTGTTAGCCATGACGTCACCTGTTGCTTGAATACATTTTCATGTGGGCTAATTCCATTAGCATAAACAATCATCTTTAGGTCTGTAATACATACAGTACATCCAAATGGATTCGGCTAACTTCCCTTATCAGGGACACACACACACACACACACACACACACACACACACACACACACACACACACACACGGATTGTTGTCCCATCCTTGCGTGCTTGCCACATCCAGGGTGTGGTTGCTCTTTCTCAGAATGTGTCAGTTCGAAAGGGCGGGGTGGTAAAGGGAGTGGGGGGGGGGGGGCAGCACTGACAGAATTGCCTAACAAACACAGTGACCCATTTAGCCGTAAAGGGAGTTACATCATGTGACGACAACTGTACTTCTACCAAGAACTGGCATTTGGGTTGGAGGGGTGAGGGGAGGGGGATGGCAGTAGTTCTCCGTGCAATGTGATTATGTCACAGGTACTGTAGTTATACAAGCGTTCACTCTGAGGCCAGTGGGTCAGTAAATAAACAGCTTAGCTCTGACCCTCCCCCACTTTCCTTATATTCACGCTTAAGACTTGGGGATCATCGGTTTCTGCAGAAAGGGTTAAACCGGAGTCGTGAAAGCCGGCCCGGTCCCAGCGAAGGCGAGATCTAATCACTTCTTTGACGTGAGCAACAGTGCGACAACTCGGCGCGGTCACCTGCTCTAACAAAACGCTCCGGCATATCAAATGGAAGCAGATAACATTCCTGGCGTGTCCTCGAGCATGAAAGCAACACGTGACTCCACCGTAGGAGAGCAAAAACGTCCTGTAGGGTGAGAAAGGTGTGGGGGCGGGGGTGTATAACTTGAAAATATCTGCAAATTTCAGACAAAGACACAAGGTGCAGAGTAAACCCGCGCGGACTTTAACATGCAAACATCGGAAAGATGAGGAAACTGCATTGGTTAGTTCAATGCCCGTTAAAGAGTAGTCGTCACTTCGCCTCAACTCTTTAGTGGTCAACCAGCATGGCAACAAATGAGAGACCAGTTCCAGTGGTCGCCGCTTGGCACACTTCTGACATATGGTTGCGTGTTTACAGCAGACTATAAGCTCGAGCCAACCCGGAGCCTGCCTCTCTGCCAGCAGAAAAACACCTATGGGACCATTAGTCTGGAAAGTAAAATGACTAGCTCAGGCTGGTATAAACCCACGCCTTCGTGCGTTAACAGAGATGACGATGAAGCTTAAGGTGCAACGGATAAATATTGGGCTAGTAATGTCATTGTTACTGGTTTTGTATGATGGGACTTTTATAGCTTGCGACTGAATGGACAGTTTCCACAAAGAAGTCTCACGAAGCTTTTTTTTTTTTTCAGTATTTCTAGTGTAAACTCTTTCAAACTATCTGACCTGTACCGTGGCGCTTTTAAGCAGCCTCTCATTGCGGTGACGGTCAGTCGTGCGTTAACTGCCCAGGGTGGCGCTAGACATTGCTGTCCAGTAATGCACCACCAGAGAACTGAATCTTCTGTGTTGCACTGGAAGGTAAAAGTAGAATAGGAGGAAAAGATTCCATGCAAGCGTTTGCGCCAGGATGCGTTAATCTCCTTGGTTGAGTTTCGCGGAAAGTTCTGTGCTGTCTCGCTGCCAGGATATCACAGCTACAGTATTTACAAGGTAGGCACAACATCATCGACACACCCCTGCAGTGGAAACAGACTGAGGAATGGCACAGAACAGTGGTGCCCAACCTCTGGGCTGCGGCCCTATACTGGTCCGCGGGTCATTTGGTGCCGGGCCGCATAGAAAGACGAAATAACTTACATTACTTCCGTTTTATTCATTTCGCAATCTGAAAACTGTTTTATTTTGAAACATTACCGGATTCTGTTATATCCGTCTACAGAGGTGAAGGCGGGGCTTCTCGGTCACGTGATAGGTTACCGTGAAAATGAAAGCCAGGAGCTAGCAAAATGAGTAAAAAACAAACATCTTTGGGAAGGGGAAAGGCCCACCCAGGAGACAGAAGAGGAGCCTACGACTTCCAAGTAAAAGAAGGCTACATTTAATAGACAGTATCAAGAGTCCTACTGAAAATACGGATTTATCTCAATGGGATATTCCGACCCACCAAGCCAACTCTGCATAATGTGCGGCGATGGTGAGTCGTATTTTTCATGCACTTTGTATTTGCGCTGTATCTTATTTTGAAGGCACGTTTAAACGATAGCATAGCAACCCGAGAGCGTTGCGGCCAGATCGGACGTTCCTCGTGTCATGATTCGTTTTTTGGGATGTTACGAAAATACCACAGTTTTCATGCAGGTCATATCATATTATTTTGTTGTATTTATCCGGCCTTCAACACCGGTCCCTAAAAATACTGTCGGGCATTAAACCGATCCGTGGGGCAAAAAAGGTTGCGGACCGCTGTCACAGAAGACCAAACTGAACTGTAACGAATAGGGCAGCGATTCTCAAAGTGGATCCGGCCAACTACTGGCCCACGAACAATGACCCGTTGGTTCTTCAGTGCCTTGAGGGACAAAAATGTCGACCCGCCGCATCCCACAACCCTTACAACGTTTGGTATTTATCTTTCTCGTACCCCTGTATGTAACATCGTGTGAAACACCAGCGACAAAGGGCGGGGTCAGGTGCGTGTGACCTAAACTCGGTTCAGGAGAGGACTCTTAAAAAACCTGGAGATCTATTATCCTTTTGTCGTTATTGAGAGGGACCGGTGAATAGACTGCCGGCACTTGTGGGCCTTATAGCTGTCAGGTTGTGAACAATAGCGGCAGCCTGGCTCCCAGCAGGAGAAGCGCTCCTCTAATGCATTTCAATCAGACAGGCGGCGCGTACTAACCGTAACGTTCTTCCCCTCAAGCCGCACTGCACAGGGGATATTGACATTCAGTCTGGAGACGCGCAGCGAGGTTGTGTTTGACCGTCCGATTCCTGCATACACTTATCCGTGCATTACTTCATCCCCCGTAACTCTTAAGGGAGCGGCAGGGATGGCTCGCCTGCATTGACCAGGTCATCAAATTTGCCTCAATTAGTTTGAGTGGGCACTCTCTTTTCGCCTTGAGTGCATGCAGAAACAACCTGCAGTCTCCTTATCTTTTCAATCCTGGTTAACTAAGGACATGCAAACAGTCGTGGGCATTATTATGTGTTTGCAGTGTGTCCGCAGAGACGGGGCGCAGGCAGGGGGTGCCACATTATCCGTAAACGGTGGGGCCCGCAGGACAAAGCCAGCTTCGTTTCGCCGATGGGAGTCTTGACATGACGGCTCATATGAGACAAACCTTTAGAGCAGCCCACAACAGAGCCGTTCAAACCCTGAGAGGCCTCAGCACTGCTCGATAAGACGAGATACAGACAGAGATAATGTTCGCCTTCGACCCGATGCTATTTAAGTGCGAGAAGTTTGTCCGACGCCATTTTAACGGACCTGATGCGGTTGCTTACCATATGACAGTAGCATGCTGGAGCCAGCAAGCGCAAACCTTTGAAAAAAGGATCCCAGTGAGGACGTTTTGAAAATGACACATTTTATCGTCTAAAGTCTAAATAAATGGAGGACATGCTTGCATGAATGCTTCCCCAGCAAAGTGTAGCGGGACTGCACCACTAGGGCAAGTACGGCCAGGCCCATATAAAATATATTGCAGCATTGACACATTTTCTTTTTTTGGGGGGGGGGGCTCTAAATACCACCACAATGAGTTAAAAAAATGATGTGATATGAAGTACCGTCCAATGAGTTCTGAAGAGGTTGGCTGATCACGAGCAGGTAATATTGCGCAAAACACTTCACAATTCACCCTGCCGCTTTTGTTAGCATCCTCAATAAATACAATGGAACCAGTTCCGTCGGCAGCCATATACGCCCATGCCATGGCGCTACTTAATGAGGTGAAATTATATGAAGAGTAATTTGAGATCACACCCGCGAACTGGGTGAGCATCTTGAGAAATCACCAACTAGTGGGTTGGCACTGATATGACAGCAGTGCTTCTGCACCGAAATATTCCGGGGAGAAGACAGCCATCCATCCATTTGCCATATAAAAAGCCAATTCGTGGCAGGGCTCGGCCCCTATGCCTCTCTAATGGTGAAGCTCCTCCCCGACATGCAAAGAGATGTTAGTCTCTCAGTTGATATGTTTCATGTCAACATATGCCCTTGACGCAGATTACTACTTTCCTATTAGCAAGAGCTTTGAGCACCAAAATTATGGTCCAGCTACAGGTTGAGAACCACGAGTTAATGTGCGAATAGCAAGGGGTCGCTGCCCCACTTGGTCAGCCAGGTCAGTGTAACACCAGGGCAGATTTTTGCTACGATTCTTCCCGCTGCTGCTGCACAAAAATCTGACCTGGTTAACATAATCCTACCGTTCACCGCGATGTTGTCAACTTTACAAACAAAATACCCAACCGTCCATGCTTCCATCCATTTTCTATAAGTGATCCATAGCCAAGCTGTCTTTGTGCGAGACGTTAGGTGAACCCTGAACTGATCACCAGTCAATGACACAAAACACAAAGGACTTCCTTGTTTTTAACGGGTCGATTTCCTGGCCTTTTTCATTGATGGTTCCATTAAATTCTCTTCACCCCTGTGCAGAGGGCCACACCCCGGTGTGCCAGGCAAACACACATGCTCTGGTTTACCACAACAAAGGGACCCGCCCGCCTTAGATACCACAATGAGCATATATGCGGCCCTGCAAGAAACTAAATACTCCATTTAGTTCGACGGCCCTTCGTCTGGAAGCCAAATGCATCAACCCGGACCAAGTCGGAACGCAAAACTCACAGATGGAACCCCGTGACGGCCTAACAGGGTGCCCTGTGCTTTAGAGGTCTTATCCATTCAAACGGTAATCAGATTAGCCGCAGATGCAACTGAATACAGTAAATGACCTACATCAATGGAGGGCATTGATGCAACAGAGCCGTCGCTCGCGTGCCAAGAAGCGCTTTGTTGGTTTTTGAACAGTGTGCAGTGTTCCACAGGTCTGAATCCCTTTCTTCCTGCCACTGGTAATGAACACCACCTCGTAAGTCCTCACCGCCACAACACAACACGCTACGCCACCTATTTTCTTTTGCGGCCCGAAGTCTGTAGGGAGGGGCGGCTGGGTGGGAAGAACAGAGTGGCTTTTTATAGGAATCCTCCCAAGTGCTACAGTACCTAAAGAATATACGAGCCTGTGGGCAATTGAAATCGGCGTGGCCGTGGAAGTGAACGACGGGGTTCTTTCTGTGTTAGGAGTGGCCATCATACGTGCTCGGCTGCTTAATCGCAGCTAAATCGGGTTTATGCTCTCACGTTAGCTAAGAAATATCCTGTTAGCTATAAAGTGCGCAGACTCGATGTAGGTTAGAAAATAAAAATGACGTGACGCCGGCCTTGTGTGTCCTTTAACGTGCAGTAATACAAGCAGCACATGATTAGAACTGGCACGACAGTGGCTTACACGTTGGTGTTATTTACATCCCTGGGATCAAGTGGATTAACTAATACCTTGTTTCCAGAGGACACATAACATCCAGCTGCACGGACTTCAAGCAAACATTTATAAGTGTATTTGACTTCAGTGGAATGACCGCAAGGCTCAAATGAAGCTTTTCGAATTAGGTTTGGGGGAAGGGGGAGGGGGCGGGGCTACCAAAAGGAGATTGGGAAGTACACCTGAAGTTGAAAAAAATTCACTGTGGGGACGTTTCACGCAGGTCAAATTTACTATCAGTGAAGAAGTAGTAAACTTGCGGGGCGGCCATCTGCTTGGACCATGTTGAATGGGCAACAGGATAAAGAGATGGGTGCAAAATGGATATCCTAAAAGTCTTCTTCGCTGAGCCACAGGCAAGAAAAGCGTAGCCACGATATCGTTCAAATTTATGCACTAAATGCTAATTTGTGGGCCACAAAATACGGCAGTCATTTGTGGGTGGGAATGAGTTGTGACATAGGCGCGAAATACGACTTTGTGGCTGCATAGTAGGTCAAATGTGTGCAATAAATAAGAATTATAACACATGCACGCAAACACAAACCTTGAAGGTAGCGGTGGAGGGCATCACCTATTTCAGTTAGCCAATATGTGCTAGCTATGTTTTAATCCACAGCCATCCCAAAATCTGTTCCAGCAATTGATTTTAACCTACAAATGTGCTCACGTTAGACCTACTTTTTGGCGCCGTACCTAGATTGTGAGCACAGTTGTTTCTTTTAACATCCATGTCACGTCTGGGGCTCTGCACTTAATCAACAACTAAGCCTAATATTCCAGCAGGCAGTAGTGCTTAGTTGTGGCTGATGTGGCACATTTTGAAAGCTGCTATTCCACTTTTCACCATCCTTTTTTTTTTTTAAAGGTGCCAATGGGAGTGGCTCCAATGTGTGGAAACAAAAATGTTTGATAACCAATTGGTCATTGGTGTGCCTTGTTTACAGATCATGTCCAGGTGTGGAATTTCCTCTTGTCGCTTGTGCTGCTTAGCGACGCAGTGATGCCCATCCCGCCCATATACGCCATAGTGGAAATACAAGCCTACTCAGGATTTACCGGTCTTGGTCCAACAGTGGTGATCCAAACTGAAATCTCCAACCTTGGTGGAAAGGTGGGTTGAATCGAGCAACCGCATGCTGGTCATGGGGTCATTCATTTAAATTTGTGCAAAATTGAAGTCAGTTGCTCATTGTTAGAACATCTGTTTGGGCCGAGGCAATGGAGAAAATGACAGGATATTTTTAGGGGCAGCGGGGAAGAATGTGGCCAGGATGAGAACCCGAGTTTTTTTCCTTTGTTCGTTACAAAGGGTCCAATGCAGACAACATGCCCCCGCCCCCAAAAAAATAAAATCATGCTGCTTTCTTAAACTATGCAGCCAGCATTCCTTAAAGCCTCATGTTTGCAGGAAACAGGAAACTGCTGAGTTTCTCCCGACAACACAGCACGAAAATATCGGTCAGCTGGGAGGGGGTTGGTGGAAATCCTGCCGTGTGGCAGGTAGACACACTGACCTCTTGTACCCGTGTAATATTTTGATTTAGGACGAGACCCAGACTCAGGCAAGGGCGGGAAAACCCCATCTCCACCCCGCTACCTCATCCCGGCCACATCGGAGTACTGTGCACTCTTTGTCGCGGCACGAGCCAAAACGTTAAACCTCTGGAAGAGCCGCAGTATATATAATCTCTTTCTGTTACTCCTTTTTCCTGTGTGGAAATTGTGATAATTTAAAAAAAAAAAAAAAAAAAAGTCCAACACTAATCACAGCTTCACACGTGTACCGAAAAAAAAATAGAGGGCAAGCATGAATAAGGGTTTGTAAATGACAGTAAATCTGTGCTGCCAGGTGTCGCCACTTTTCTTTTTTTTTTTTTTTAGGGTGGGCAAAAAAAAAAAAAAAAAGCCAGACAAGCACCTCACTGTATCAGAGGTACCCCCGGCAGACCACAAAAGCGGTCCGGACAAAACCTCAAACCAGCTGTAAAATATCCCATTAGGCACTTTGTCTTTAGGAAATATTGACCCCGTTCTTCCTCGGTGATGCCAACCATTTTTGAAGAGGTCCAATATACTGTCAAGACGGCCTTTTGTGAGGCACTTAGCAGGGGGACACAGAAGGCCCCGCCTGTTGTTTTATGAAGACATGACTTATAATGAGGTTGTCAGGGTTGAAGACTCCTTTCGGAATATAGCAGATGACATGACATAACCAGAGCACAGTAATGAGGCATGTATGCAGTACACCGTGTACTCGCTAACCACAAGACACCACAAGAAGCTCATGGGAAAGCCGGTTTTCATCTTTACAAATAGTTATGCCCTCCGAAGAGCCGCGCAGTTTTTGCAAGATCACAACAAAAACTTCAAGGGCAGATGTTCTTTCAAGATGAATATAAACCTGAGATGATGTCTTGTCTAATATGTACACGAAAGGATGTGTTGAACGGGAGCCGCTGACACCGGGAGACCAGGCCAATGCTGTCTGGTAACCTTGGACCCCCCCCCCCCCCAAAAAAAAAAAACTCCCACACACCAACACATACCCAATAACCATTTGCTGCCTTCGAACTAAATCACGAAATGCACTTGGGTGAGTGATTTAAAATAATTTTCTGCATACTAGAAGCTGTTATGTACAGTTTTAAGAGAAAACACATATACCGTAAGTACAGTCTGCTTAAAAAAAAAACAGCAACACTGTGAGCTATAGTTTATGAACACCATAGGTGATATAAATAAGTGCTTGGTAGGTTTACTATGAAATCTGTCCAGTATTTGAGGAAAATATACATTTAAGATCAAGATTAATTATGCCTTAGCCAAATTGTGAGCTAAAGCCTTTTTTACTTGTCAAATGGTATTTTTATTTTTATTTTTTTTTACATTGATGTATTGCTTTTCGCAACAGGTTTCAGAGCCACTTGTTTTTGCACATATTTTTGAAGGGATGGGGGCGAAATCGGCCTTATTTGAAGATATTGGGTACTCGTGAAGGATGCCGATACCAGTCACTGATACTTAAATACAAAAATATGACATTGAATAAATCTTTGACAATAGTTGGTGCTATATTGCGGCCATTTGACACACATTTGTAAATCATCACGTCCGTTGTAATCCCAGACAGGTCTTTGCTCGGGATCATCAATTATTGCAATTTTATTTGGTATTGGTGTAGTGAGTACTGAAGAGGAAATACTCATACTGGTATCAGTCTGAAAAAAATTGTATTGATAATGGTACCAAGCAAGAATTAACCCACGATGTCATTTAGGTCGCTGGGAAATAAGCCAAACGCTGTAACGTGTACAGTAAATGTTTTAAATTGAGAAAAACTCCTCTTTCAAAAAGTATAACAAAAATCTCTCAAAATCTTGCTCCTCCTAATGTATTGCTAACTGGTTAATTTTGAAAGACAAATTTTCAGCACACGTCAAAGTGTAGGTCTGGTTTGAGCTCCTTGCCAGCTCGCATAAACAAAGACCGCAATGACGGCATTTACACAAGTAGAAACGTCTGGTACTTGGCTCTCTTTGTTGGGAGGCTATAAAAGTGTCCCCCCCCACTCCCCACCACCACCCTCCACTCTGCAATTACAGGCTGGAACTGACTCGGTGCTCTCTTCGCTCGACTAGTCGGATCTGGAGGGAAGCACAGCCAGAGTCTGGCTGTGTGAAAAAGCACCGCAAGCTTGGCTGAGGCAGCTCGGCTGAACTCAAATGACCCACATTCTGTGCCCGTGCAATAGAAGGAGAGGAGCGGCTCGTTATTCTCACAGATTATGAGACACGCGCCAATTGCAAGTTACGGGAGGGTGTCCAAACACAACGTTTGCCTTAAGGCACGGGTGTTCAAGTCGAGGCCCGGGGGCCAGGCGCGACCCGCGTCATCATTTTCTGTGGCCCACAAAGCCATATGGTAACCCGTCAATTTTGTGTTTCTTGCAAATTGTCTCCACTTTTACAAACATTAGCACGTGAGATATTGGAAGCATTTTTTTTCTTACCAATCCCTCGTTATAAACACATGAAAGAAATAGCATGGACAAACAATTCACTGGCTTCATAATACGCCGTGGCTCGTGACGAAAATGAATTTGACACCCTTTCACAAGTAAATCTGTAAAGAAGCTGACATACAGCAGTGTGGTCAAACAGCCTGAGGGGAAAGTAACATGTTTGACACGACTGCGTCTTTAAAACAAAAATCTTGACCAAAAAAAAAAACGCAGCATCAGACCCATAACAGACGATCCAGCATTTTCCTGCCCTTGTTCCCAGAACCAAGCCAAGTGTGACACTTCCGCAGCGGCGTGTGCTTTCACGTTACCGTGACATTCTGTAATCAAGATAATTTGATGCATGAAAGGAGATCTCTGATGTGGTGTAAAAAAAAAAAAAAAAAAACGCTCATCAGACAGCCACACGTGCTTTCAACACAAGACGGGAAATGTGAGTCTCGCTTCCTTCCGCATGTCGATGTTCTGGATGTCCAGAAGTGACACTTGAATTATTTTTTTTTACCTTTAGCAGTAGCAGCAAACCCTGGCATACAATGTGTACAGTCATACAGAAAAACAAAAAAAAACTCTCTGCAGAGGATAAAGAATGTATGACTGGGGAATATTGTGTGATGTTGTCTTTTTATATGTGTTTCTTTGTGTTCGAATATCTGTTGCTTAAACGGTTTCTGGCACTTTCCAAATTTTTTTCAGTACTGCGCTAGCAGTAGCATTTGTTGTGCAAAGACGTTCACTTGCTTGAGAGTGTAATTCTCTTTGTTTGATGTTTAGTTTGACAGCAAACGGAACAGTTTTGAAGCCACTATCACTAACTACCAAACTGCCTGCTTATTGTGAAGCCAGTTGATGTGAGTTCAAAGCAACGGCCAACATGACAGTGCACAATAGCAAAATATCTGGGTCATATGTATATGTTTCTGATAATCACCTCAGTTGTTTATCACATCCAAGGGGCATAAAGTGATCACCCGTTAGGCCATTCATGTGCTTGTCAACAATGAATAGGCGCATAATCTGATCACAAAGCAAGGCGGTCTTGTGAAGTATGTTCAATTTTGGAGGGCTTTCCTTTCAACACAATCACCTTTGTGAGACCAAAGCGTAAGTGGTGATTACATGGTGCATGTGTGTCATATGTGCTGCAGAGGGCTGTTTTGTGTGCGTGCGAAGGAAAGGAAAGGGAAGGGAAGGGAAGGGAAGGGAAGGGTTTAGAGGCGCTGCAGAAAGGAGGCGAGGCTCCTCGGTCTGGTCTGGGCTCAGCTAGTAGAGTCTGTTGCTGGCCAGATCAGCTGGCAGCCTGTCTAGCGGGGGTGTGGCACATCACAACAAAGGGCTTTGGGCAGACACAGCTCTTATCAACCCCCTCAATTTTGACTCGCATCTACATCCTTGACCACCCCTCCTCGTGTGGCTTCTCCACAGGAATGCAAAGCAAACCTGTGGCGCTCCTTGGAGAAGGTCGCGGGGGATGCGTTGTACTTGCGGAACTTTTAGAGTGCTCCTCGAATCATTGAGTCTCGAGACGCAATTGAAGTTGTCGCAATTACTCAACGCATAATAGAGCAAGAGGAAGAAAACAAGGGCCGGAAGTCTGCATTGTGTGTGCATTGGCGCTGCAGCTCGGCTTCGCTATCTGGGCTGGCAAGTGGAGGCGAGCCGCGAGACGCGAATGGGAGTGGGAGTGGCACTATTTTCGGCTCGCACCCTCCGCGCAAACGAAAAAGGAAAGTTCAACCAAGTTGCGGCGAACAATGAGAGCAACCGAAACACGTACGCACAATGACAAGCGGTGATAAATGCGCAACCCGTTCAATTCAAGCACGTTTCCACGCAAGTGTAAAGAGCACACGTGCAACTGACCTGTGTGCGTCCGCAAGTGCGCCTTGAGGTGCGACGATTTGCCATAAACTTTTTCGCAACCTGAATAGTGGCATTTGTGCTTTTTCTGCGGGGACTCGGGCTCGTTGCGACCTCTCGATCTTTTGCCCCTTTGTTTGAGCGACGGATCCGAGATGGTGATGGTAGGTGTGGCACAGTTTGCATCCTCCGTCAGCCCGGCCTGGCTCTCCTCCTTGCTCCTCGCCTGCTCGCCGAGCACGCCGTTGGGAGTCTGCTGGTTAAAATCCGCCAGGATCCTGGCCACCACGTACAGGGAGGAGTTGTCCTTCACCACGGGTTCTTTGGCGTCCTCCGGGTTCCTCGTAGGGGGAGGCGACGGGTTCTCCGGCTTCATCTCCCGGTTGTTGACCCTCGGAGCGTGGACGACCGCACGGCTGGACATCGAGACAAGGCACTCCGCTGCGAAGTGATCCATGACGTCTTTCAAAGAACTCTCCCCCCACCCGCCCCACTATGACATCCAAAAGAGAAAACGATGGCGTGGCGTGCGTGGGGGGAGAAAAGAACTTGTTCCGTGGTTCCCTTTGTGTGGCGGATAGAAGGAGGTGGTTCTCATCAGAGAGACTTTACGCTCTTCATACCCGGCTTTCCGAGTCTCGTCAGTAATAACATCCTGCGTGACGATCGCAAGCGCTCACAATTCCCCCGAGTGAAGGAGATGAAAGGAAAAGGACAAAGTCTTTGTTGAGAGCGGCAACTCTTTAAAAGTTGGGTGTGTGAACTCGTCCCATGGTTGCTTCAGATGCTCCCCAGCATATAGTGAGAGTGTCTCGGAGCGCCTGTCCCCGCAGCCTGTATCCATGCTGGGGGCGTGTCCTGCACCGGCACCGCGCTGCTGCATCGTCACCGCGCCAGGCTCTCATTGGGTGCAGCGTGGCCCCGAAAGACTCCGACACGCAGACACTTTCAAAGTCTCACCACAGGTTGCCAACGGTGGGTTCGGATGGTTAACAGGAAAGCCACGATGTGGTTCGTGTAGTTATCGATGCGTGACGAATTGAGATGACAAAATGCACATTGAGGCAGCGGATTTGTGCAGAATAGTTCTGAGGTTTGGGGTTCGAATCTCCGTTCGGGCCTTGCAGTGTGGAGTTTGCCTGTTCTCCCCTCAGCCCTTGTGTGATCTACTTTGCCGAAGACGAATTGTTACGAGCCTCATTCCAGTAATCAGGCCTTGAACAACAAAGGGTTTGAACAATCAAAAAATAACCACGTGCTAGTTTGCCCCCCCCCCATGCAAAGGGCTATCGTGCAAAACAAAATATCATTCAACGACTGCACAAAATTGATGAACACTAAACCAACATTAGGTGCAGTGACGCTTAATGTGCACACACACACACACACACACACACACACACACACACACACACACACAAACACACACGAATCAACTCTCTGATCAATTTAATATCATTCCAGTACTACATTTGTCCAGCATGTAATTGCGAATCTGCACAAATATTTGTGGAGTGCAACATGGAATAAAAACAAAGTCACTAAGTATTGTGTAATAAAGTATTAAGTATTGTGTAATAAAGGTCAATACAATTGTGAGACAACTGACCCCTTGTCTCTTCTGCATGGAAGCGCCTGCTGCAGTATATATAAATATAAATATATCTATATAGATAGATAGATAGATAGATAGATAGATAGATAGATAGATACACACATATATTGCTGATTTGGTGAAGTTCAGTCAGCAGTCTTTTGATTTATTTGACGGGGGCATTTGTATGCATCCATGATGGGTAGTATAGTAATAGAAGATAATTGAAAATAATTTTGTTACATAAATAAATTAACCCGTCCACCAGAATATTTTGCACGTTAAATACACAACTCTTGTGCGGGTTATTCAGGAGTTGACGTCAGTACAAACCACAGCGAAATATTGTGCCCACCCACTGTAACATTAATAGTGTGCATCTTTTTTGGAAAATGGTTTCTTCTTCTTCTTCTTCTTCTCTGTTGCAGTGGACCTCCACAAACCTTTTTCTGAGAAACTCCGGAGGCTCTGCCAGTTGACATGCAGCCAGACAGCACAGGCAAAGTCTTCTTCAGATCATCCTCAGGGAGCACACAAGTGGCACACTGTGGAGGAAGTGAGAGTCAACATACAGAGCTGTGAGATCTTGTCATTATTTGACATTTTTCATAGGACAGTGCTCATTTTGTAGGCTTGATTGCATGCAAAGGTGGTTTTCAGTCCGATTGCACTTGAGAATTTCAATTCAGATGACCACCGCGTGTGGAAATGGGGTGCGACTCCAAACAGGAAAGCAAAAATCGGGAACGCAAAGGACACACGTGAAAGACAGACATCCCGCCACCTATCAAACGTGTTTTAATTCCAGGATGTCTCAATTGAGGAACCTTAGAAAAACTATAACATGCTCTTTCATACTTATTTGTCTAGAAAGGATGAACAAATAAATTTGAGGGTTGTTAAATCGGAGCAGAAATAAACCACCAAGTCAGTATTAGACCTGCTTCTGTGCTGCAGCTGATGCGCTCCTGTGAGAATGAATGCACACTTTCAGCACGGTGCACAAAAGCAGTGCACTAGAATGTTCCCAGTGTTCAGCCGGAGCAAGGCGACATGCCATTCAGAAGACCATCTGGCTGTATTATTTTACATATTCTTTGGCCGCAAAAAAAAAAAAAAAAAAAAAAAAAACATGATTCTCTCGTGTTTCATGTACGTCTTCTTGAGGAGAGGGTCTATTTCCTCTTTCTCTTTGTGGGCTGTGTTGAAATTTGTGAGTGCAAATCAACTCCCAAGCATACACCCACCAAAGGCCTCAGGAAATCAGCTTCAGCTTATAAAACCGCAGGGAAGAAGTTGGTTTTTTTATGATTGCAAATCCTGAATTGGATTTGGGTTTTTTTTGTGGGTTTTTTTTTCTCAAACTGCAGCGATATGATGTGCCCCGGGGACCTTTTGTACTCTGAGATAGCCCTGTAGTGTCTGGCATTGACATCCAGTTCCGGAGCAGATTGCCCACTTCACGTTGTTTGTAATCGGAGGGACTTCTCAAAGCACAGTCTGACCAATTTGACCGTCGACGCGGCTGTCATGCCAAGGTCAGTGTGAAAAGCATGAAAAGTCACAAGGAGATTCAATTTGTTATCGCTGTGTTCTCTTATTTGGCAGGTGGTCAGTGCTGTAACCTCTGGCTTATTTCCAGGGATTGATTTCCATGTCTGCACGCACAAAAATTCAGAAAAACACCACTACTGTCGAGGTCATGAATGGAAAACTTAAATGATTGATTGGGCACAATTTCATCAGCGCTACTGTGTGTGCGTGTGTGTGTGTGTGTGTGTGTGTGTGTGTGTGTGTGTGTGTGTGTTGAGGGATGGTGGGGCAAAAAGAACAGCACACTTCCTAACCAGATGTATGACAAAAAATCAATTTTAAATACGGACAAAATATGTGCTTTTTTATCCGACCGATATAGACCACAATATCGCAATACATTTTATGCTCAATGCATGTGCATAGAAGTGCCTTCAACAACAAAGCGTTTGAAAAATCAAAAAATAACCACATACTGCGATCTTTCTTTTCCCAGTGCAAAGGGCTCTCATCCTTAAAAATGCCCATTCAAGGATGTCACAAAACTACTCAACAGCAAACCAACATTAACGTGCAAGAACATTTTTTTGACAAAAATAAACTCACACAACATTTTAAGTCTATTTCGGTACCATGTTTGCCCTGCACGTCATTGCAAATCTGGTAAAAATATTTAGCTTACTTTACTCACATTGGTGCAAGTGCAACAAAGATGTGTCTGCCATCTCGTGGTAAATGGTGGTATTACAACTTAAAACTATGCAGTGGACCCCAACTATTGGTGGGCATAGATACCCACCAATAGTGGGCTGACACACGAGTTACGTATTTTAACCCGAAAAATTATTAAAAGAAAAAAAAAATGCCGATAAGCCTCTATTGGAAAGTTCCCACAAAAAACAATCTGTGAATTGGCAAGTCCATGGATACCGAACCATGAGTATGCGGGAATCCACTGTAGTAGAGGAAACAGTTCTAACACCCCCCGTCCCAATTTTAGTTTTGATCGAAAAATTTATTTATGTATGTATTTATTTGTTTCATAATCAAAGGCCCATTCAGGGCCATCAGTTGTCCATTACTGGTTTTGGTTGAATGACACCGTGATGATTAAACGGGACTGAAAGTAACATGGAGTTCATATCTGTTGGTTGTCTGCTAGCTGACGAACTATGGATGATGACAAATAGAATCCATTACCCCAGTTCGTCAAGCACATACCACCAACTCATACAACTTTCACAGCAGGGCCACGGAGGGCCAGGGGTCACCAAATAAATACTTTGGAACTTCTGAAAAGTCAGGTCAATACACAAGGCAGAAAGCAGTTCTTTCCACTCAAACGTCTACCCACACACTAAAAACCTGAACAAACACTGTCAACACGCCAAAGATGTAGGCAGAATGTGCTACACCTCTGATGCAAAAGGCTCAGACTGCCAATGTTTCTCTAGCTTTTGAAAACATTCTGAGTTCTTCAGAACAAATACATCTACACTAACCCTTGCTTGTTGCGTAACTTTAAAATATAAATGCACTTTTTAGGCTGTTTTGAACATTGTTTCATTTTATACAATTTCGTACATGTGTTTGGGAGATTTCTTGATGGTCTGATGAAACCAAAGTTGAATATTTTGGCCATAATTCCAAAAGCTGTTTGGCGCAAACACAAAACTCTTCAATACCTGCTGACAACGACACATGGTGATGGCAGCATCATGCTTTCGGGGCTGTTTTTCTTCTTACCTTCTCCAAGGTGGAGAGAATTATGAATAGTTCATTATCACTGTGAATGCTAGCGCAAAACTTTGTGATTAAACGTTATTGTGACAAAGGCCCACGTCTCAAACTGTAGCAATAAAAAAAATAATTCTGTTTTTTTCATCACAGTTATTGCTAGCGCAATGCTAGCGCCAAACCATCAGGCTTCTAGTGGAAAGCAAAATGTCAGGAATAGCCGACAAGCGCATTTCAATTTGGGGTTAATCAGAGGCACTTTAAAGTGGGGGTGGATGTGTGCTGAAAGGGCCTTGTAGACTTTTTATACCCACCGTAAGGAAAACCGACATAAAGCTTTTCAGAAAACAAGCTTCCACTACCATTAGCAACTTTCACTTCAAGCGTATCAATCCGGCTACAAAATAATTATTGTCACAAAGGCCCACATCACAAACTGTAGCAATAAAACCCACAATCTGTTTTTATACTTTTCTTCAATGGAAAAATGTAGCGCATGCTGCATCATCAAGCCCCCCACCCCCCCACCCCCAAACATGTCGTCCAAAAATTAATAACTGCGAAAGTAGATTCCAGTGCTTTTATTGCAAGCCATTCTTTATGTTCTTATTTTTGTGACGCGACAAATGTTGCTACCGCTAAAGTTAGCGTTAACCTGTTAACACTTTTGCTTCTGTTTTAGCTACGCTTTTTCGAACACTTGCGCACTATTTTCGTTTTCCCTAAAGTTAGACTTACTCTCGCAAGTAGAAGAGCTAATGCACAGGTAATGGGGGGTGGGTGGCTGGGGGGTTAAACTCAGTGCTGTTATCAGGTGAGACTTTGTGAGAACACCATGTCGTCTTTTGCTGTTGATTTTATACAAATGTATTTTGCATGAGAGAGGAAACCCAACACAGCAAAAAGAAACAAGCGTTAAGGAAGTTACTGAGCGAATAAAGCTCTAATCTTGGTATTTATTTGTCCCATTGTCTCCTCTTTTGTTGTTGCTCAGCAAAGCTTACTCATCCTGAGTGACACACCAACAACAGGCCCTGTGACTAATGATGACAAAGCAGGCTGCTATTTCACCTGTGTAGAAAAAAAAGGATTCGTTAGACGGTAAGGCTAAACGGGACACATGGAGGTTGGAGTACAACATATTATGATGTTTCACTGGGCCACAGGTGACGTATTGATTGTGAGAACGAAACCGGGCGGAGGGCGTGAAGTTTTTGAGCGCAGCGATCATGTGGGTGGGGGTTCAATGAGTCAGTCATGCGGCGCCGAGACAAGTTGATACGACATGTAAAAGCCACAAAGTCTGGTTTGGCTGCAGTTTAGCAAAGTCTACGTGTTACAAAAGTACCAAAATTATTGAGTGCTTATCGGCAAATTCGCATAACATGACTGGCAAACAGAAATGATTGACCGAGACAACAGTGAAAGTCATGCTGCAAGTACAAACACGGTACAATGCACATGTTGTCGGGAAACATTCTTTGATTTTCAGGCATGAACAACAACTGTCATCAGTTTTTGTGATGAAACAATTTGGGTTCAACACTAAAGGACAACGTGTTCTCGTTCACAGAAAAACTCCAATCATACATGGTTGTATTTAAAAAAAAAAAAAAAATTGAATGAGGTGTAGCAAGGAGTTGTCTAGCTTTGTGCAAAGGAAACAAATTAACAAGACACCTACAGCACCACATTAAAGGTCACAAATGAACATGTTATCTTGGAATTATGGGACTACTTGTCAGACAACTCATAGGAACACACATACAGATATAATTTAGCGTTCAAATGGAATATGAAAAACCAATCATGTATAAAGGAAATGTGACAGGAGAGTTTGGATGGAGTACTGTCACCATGCTTGTTTGTGTGTTTCCATTGGTCCAAAGGAGCATATGCTAAGTTGATACCATCAGTATTTCATTGAATGGCTAAAATAAAACAATTTCACCAAGCAGTACAGTAGTTTCTTTCACACAAATAACAAACCAGATATTCAAATTAGTATCATGTAGTCAACAATTTTGCTCGGCATGTTAGCATGTACACACAAACTTCCAGCGCCTTTGGTTCGAAGTCAAATCGTGTTGGTAATGGTTATGTTACTGTATAAGATGACTTTGACATGATATTAAACCGGTGTGGGTTCATAGTTTGTGGAATATTGACAGTTTCAGCTATGAATAGAGATATTTCAAGTTCAAGTCAAGTCAAGTCAAGTCAACTTGATTGTCAAATGTGCTACATGTGCAACATACAGCACAGATGAAATTACTTTCCTCAGGAGAGAGAGGAGTCACTGCGGGTGCCCGCACCACCATGTAAACATTTTTTAGGAGGGCTTACATTTTGCTTTTCGCAACAAAGCTCAGCCAGTAGTGTTGTACGGCTATGATGTCATGGTACTTAATAACGATATCACGTCTACACAGCCCACGAGATCCAGATCAAGGTTTATCACTCCAAATTGTATGGGCAGAATTGGCGGACAGTATATGCAATAATAGGGCACAAAGTGCCATGAGAGCCGTGTGGCATAGGCAAGGGGCGGAGGCTAAAAGAAGGTCACTGCATCGCTTCGCACGCTGGTGGGAGGCGTTGATCTAAGATGGAGTTCACTGTGGTCGTCATCCTCCCTCTGCCGCGCCTCCAGGCTGTCCACGTTCAGCCGCACAACAGAGGCAGCCTTTTTCACCCCGATGTTAATCCTTTCTGCCTCCCCCGCCTTGATGTCGCATCCCCGGCACGCCACCACAAAGAACAAAGTGCTGGCCCGCACTCATTGAGAGAATGCTGCATAAACGGAGAGCCAGATGAGCGCTCTATCGCTCGCTCGCTCTCTCGTACGCACGAAGTTATGTTCGTGAACCCGAGCTGAGATCCACGTCACTCCGTTGACCCGAGGCTGACGCCCAGCCTCGACTCTGTGCATTGTTCCCTCTCATCGCGGCATGTTGGCTTTGTCCATCTCGCACAATGTAGCTCAAAAGAGCAAAGTGAAGCGGACACGTTTTTGTTTTTGCACCCATTTACTCGTCGGTGGTGACCCTATTCAGGATGCATTGATCAGTACGCTGGCCGGGGAGGGATGAGCCCCGCAGGCACTAGTGAGGGGGCCGCCATTCAGCTGGTCGCCGGGACCGCAGGCGCTGCATGAACTCATTGTGCTGATGCCATCGGCGTTGGGGGCATCCTTTTTAAGACCTTTCAAGAGAGGCACTTACATTGCTAGCATCCATTTTGGAGTACTTGCGAGACTTGACGGAGCACAGCTTCATGACATTCAGTTGGGACTTGATTTTATCACCGATATTTTGCAAGTTAATTGACATTTATCACTGCTACTGGTCACTTCAAAAAATGGTGCAACGATCACCTGCACTAACTGCACAACTATCATAGTATGGTATTGCATCACTGATCGCTTGCTCTCTGCCTGATGACTCTGCACATTGTCGCACAGCTGTCATTGGGTGGTACTACTGCACAATGGTGCCCTTCCATTACGGAAAGTCCTTCGATGCTTATATGTCATGTCTTTGTTTATCATAGTTGTTTGTTATTGCAATACTAGTGTTGCCTGTACTACCGGAGACAAATTCCTTGTGTGTTCTATGTATTTGGCCAATAAAGATGATTCTGACACTAATCTAGTGGTCTTTGTCACTTAATTCCTTCCTGTCATGGCACGGTGGAGTGTTTGATTAAATTTAAGTCAAATTGTTGTAAATACTGCAATTGCACGCAGTATCCCCAACCCCCTAACCGACCTCCGCAAGTAGTAGCGGCGGGGCGGGGTCAGAGGTGGAGAACAGCCAAACCAGTTTGGAGGACAGGGTTTGCTGATGGTCTAAAGAGTTAAACCCCCATCGGTTGCCCTTAATTTTTTTTTTTAAATCTACCTAGCAACAAAAATAACAAAACAACATATTCAACTATACACTCTAGATCACTCAAGGTCCAGGGGCAAGATCTGGCCCACCGCATCATTGCCTGAGGCCTGCAAAGGCAAATCCTGTGCCTCGACTTCATGTTTCTTGATGAAATACCAAAACTGCAAATGTGTCTTCAATTTTTATAACCTTAAGATATTGCAAACATTTTTTTGTGACCAATCACACTTCCATCCATCCATTTTTTAATCCGCTTATCCTTACGAGGGTCGTGGGCATTCAAAACATAAACACCTCAGACCTGCATGGTTTTGGTTGTGCTTTCATGCTGGTTTTGCTGATATCACCAATAAGCACAAAACAGCCAAGATTCAAGAAATTTGACCCTTTGGTCACTCGGCAACCCGCTCTACCAACGGAGCCAAAGCCACCCATCTACACCACCATACTGTCCTGCTGGTAGCTGGTGACATCAGCAAGACCAGCTGTCACCAGCTCCAGGTTGGCTGGCTGTGGCTCAGTTCAGAGAGCCGGCCGGTTACCCAGTGAGTGAAGGTTTGAAAGAATCTTAGCTCGTTTGTTTTGCTGCTGCTGCTGCTGCTGCTGTTTTGCTTTAGCTTGTGACACCAGCAAGACCAGCACGAAAACACAGCCAACCCATGAAGTGCTGGGCCTTTTCATTTCAGCAACGTAGCTAGTTAGATTTTCCCCTTTCACTTCCTGTAGCTGTAATAGTCTGTTTTCGTAGCTGACAAGACTACTTACTAAGCAGTTACAGCTAACTGCAAAGGTAAACTAAAGTCCTCTCTCATTAGAAAAAAGGTTCCATGTTCACGAAATGGAACATACGTCACAACGTGTGTTTACACAGCTTCGGGTCGCAGGGTGCTCCTAAAGTCAGCGGGTTCACGAGTGGGCGTGCCTTCCCACAACCCTCGTGCGAGCCGGGCGCTGAAGGCGGAAGTACTTGTGGGAGAAGTAAACGTTGAAAGTGGTGCTGTCTCCTTTATTTAAAAAAACACAACAACAACACCGGCATACGTCCCGACGTTGTCTGGTGGTGGTAGTGGGCAACCTTACGCGGTTTTTATCCTCGAATGACCCCGCAGTGGTGAGGCGAGAACATCCCGTTCGTGAGTTATTAATAGCTCGCCTTGCGTCACCCAACTGCCGCGCAGCTAGACACGCAACGGAGCTGCAAACTGTGCCAGCCACACATTCTCTTTTGCAAAAAAAAAAAAAAAAAACGCTTATAAAACATCTAGTCGACGTTCCCTTTTTTTTTACCCCCACTTCCTCTTTTGAAAAAAAAAAAAAAAAAACGCTTAAAAAACATCTAGTCGACGTTCTCCAGCTGCCACACTATCTCACAGCTCGTGTGATTATCACCTGTAAGTGTGACACGCACACAAACACACGCGGAGCTGTTATTATGAAGGAGACAGCATCACAAAACAAATGAGTCAAGCACGTTGTATCACCTGGCAACAACACCACTGTTTTTTTGGAATATCTCTGCTCAGGAGGATGACTAAAAAGCAGCATAGCCAAAGTTATAACCTCGAGTCCCTTCCCCCATAAAAGCCACAAGGAGTTGGGCCAGTCCAGTTCCAGTGGATGAAGTGAGGACAGGCTTATTCGGAGGTATGACTCGACAATGTTGTCTGTAGGTGGGCTGCTGGAAATCAGCTGTTTAAAAAAAGAAACCTGAACATTTCCCTGCAATGGATTTGTTGTAAATATTTACAAACAGTCTTGCTGTTTCTGCTGTGGCTGGGCTTCCTGAGTTTGCGGACCACCACGCCCACGAGGCACAAGAAGGAGGGTGGTGACTGTGTTGTGATTTAATAATCCCTTCCATTCTGTGACTGCACGTACAGCTCCACCACACCTGCAGCCACAAGTCCAGAGGCTGAGGCTTCCCACTCGGATGACGCATTGGGATGTACTCGTGAGCCAAAGGAAAGGTCCAGTGGGATGGTGCACGCATCAAGTTGATGTACGAAGCGTTTCAATGGTAAAACATTCCATGAAATGACATAAACTTAGTTATTTGAAAATGTAGAAATCACACGGTCCTCATCAGCAAGACGGATCAGGCCAAACGTTATGTTACGCTCGGCCCAACTAGCCGAAAGACTTTAAAATATTTCAAATGTGCTGGAGATGTGTAAGCATCAGAACAGGTTGGATCGTGTTTGTGTGATACGTCTGCTTGTCTGCCATATTGGATGTGTCAGTTACGCAACATAAATTAACGCAAGTCAATCGACTGAACTTCATATTATGCCACATAGTCAGCTAATTGTGTTCTCAAAATGACGTTATAGCCAAATACAATTGGAGGAATTGTTCAATCGTAATTGCCGTGTGAAAAGTAATCTCTCAGGATTTGACTTTCACTGTGATGGCGGCGACGAGGAAGTACGATTCGGTGTCAAGGTATTTGATATGCGTGGACTCTATGAATCCATTTTCTGAAGCATGTGTCCTCATTTGGGACACAGGTGAGCTGGCGCCTATCCCAGCTGACTTTGTGTCAATAAGAAGGATACACCCTGGACTGCCAATCTTAGGTTGGTGTTTTTCTTTCTTTTTTTAATCTATAATGTTACATTAATATACTATTTTCTTTTTTTTTTTTTAAATCTATAATGTTCCATTAATATACTATTTAAAAATGGAACCAAGTGTCACAAATGTGCCTCGGGATGGTTAATGCTTTATATCAGGCAGTTTCTCTATCGCCTCAGCAGTTTCCCAGCCAAAACCGGCTTCCTGTGTAAGCGACGCAACACTTTTGACATCATGGAATTTACACAGATTCAGACCATAAGCAGAAGCAGACTAATGGGCTTTAGCTTTTGGAGGAGCTTCGTTGCCACGCAGCTCAAGAGCGGCTCAAGAGCGGCTCAAGTAGAAAGGGTGCTTGCTTGTATTGAAGCTTTAAGGTCTTCGCCGGCATTACGACACGTCAATAATATTTTTCTGGGTTTGGTTGATGATAGTTTATGACCGCAGTACCTGCCATTCTTTCTCTGAACAGCATATGATGATAGTTTATGACCGCAGTACCTGCCATTCTTTGGCTGTATTTACATGACGCGGTTCAAATCACAGGCCATCAGCAGTGTAGTGGTTCTCACGGATGACGTTAATGCAGCTCGTCGATCGCCTGGCAGCCAGTCCAGTGTGTCGTCTGCCTTCCACTCCGGCTCCCCTGTGGCTCTGAGCAGCGTAAGAGCTTGAATGTGGATGGCTCAAGTCACCTCGTTCAGATTTTTCCGTCGGTGACACGGTTCTGATGAGCGCCACGGACTTATAGAGTTGGTGGATGGCTCAAGTCACCTCGTTCAGATTTTTCCTTCGGTGACACAGGTTCTGATTAGCGCCATGGACGTAGAGTTGATTTGAAGTCTACACACACTTGTTCAAATGCTGTCTTTTTTGTGATCAATTGAATCACTTTTTCCACCATGGTTTTGACCTGCACAACTCAGCTGAATAAATCATTTTAATAGGGGAAGTAAAAAGAACAAAAATGTGCTTATGTTACACAAGTCTGAAAAGGTTTTGAAGCGATTTCTTTTGGTCTCATGAACATCCTTAGACGTCTCTTCAAAGTAACGTAACTCACTCAAACGACTCGTATCAGTTGACCGAGGGGCAAATCGTTGCGAGAGTAAACGTTTTAGCTTGAGTCAGCGTGAGTCTTTAACAAAGATTTGTCCCCCTTCCGCAGGCCCAAATGATTACCTTGCTGCCTTTCGCTTGGTCTCCTTAATGCCATCTGTGTTTGGGATCATCCCGCTCTGTAGTAATTACCATTGCAAGCAAGCACCTCGAGATAATTGACAATGCTGCTATGCTCAGCAAGATTAGACCGGTGCCTGTCGACTGGCTTTGACTTGGGTTTTATGGGCTGTAACACCGCCCGCTGAACATCAGTCCGGAGTTGACTGCCTGCCGGCTGTATCAACGACGGACCGCACTTCTGCTCTGCGAACGACTTTGTGTTCAAGCTTCTCAGATGGATTATGTGAAAATGTGAAGATTACACAGTTTGCCTGATCTACAAATATTCTCATGATGATGTTACATCGTCTTCAACATGGCACATAGATCATCCGAAAGGAGACAAGCCTCAAACTCTCGTCTACATTGACGTGCCAAAATGACAAACTCAAGGTCGTAAAACTTGGGCGCGCACAGCAATAGGTGCCAAGAGACTGTGATGAGCTAATACACTTGAATCACCTTTATTTAGATTGAGTTGTCACAATGTGTTGACGTTGTCAAATCTCATCAGTCACTTGAGTGGCTTCCAAAGTCATCTGTGGTCAGCTTCTTGTAAACACAGTCGGCTCCGGTGAAAAGCAAACCGAAACTGTCAAACTGGTCTCCTGAGTTACAAAACGTGCGTGAGCATTAAACCGGAGCCTTGTCTTCTATCTAAGTGAACAACTCTGCGTGCAGTTGGGGTGTGCCGATAAGACGTCAGAGCGTCATGGTGTGAAATTTTGCGGTTGATGTTAAGCGTTCCCTGAGGGTGATAACCGAGAACTGACAGAAGGGAGTTTTCTCAAAGGTCATGTCAGTGATTCAATTAAAGCCAATGCACCTGCATTTAACAACTGATGTGTAGTTAATTCTGGACAATTTACCATACATCAGATGTTGAAGTGATTTGAATTTTGATTGACTGAAAACATGTTGAGTTGCACACTGCGTCAGTCTCGGGACATTTGAAAAAAAAATGATTTTGTATCTGTGTTGTCTCCTCATAGATAGAGGAAAGACGTGACCACATGGAACCCTCAGCGCCTGATCATTCGCGTCCTGAATCAGAATTGGGATCGGCCCAATGCCTTGGCGATTTCATCGCCACTGTTGTGCGCTTGAATGCATCAATTAGAGGTACGAAGATGCGTGTGGACGACAACTGTGACCGAAGGTAAGTGCCATCCAAATCCTGATCGTACCGTGAGCAAAAACCAAGACCTTTTTGGCATTCCTCTTTTGTGGGGCTTTCAAGCTTTACAGCACAATCTAATGATTGATTCAAAAAAAAAACAATTGAATTGTATCTAGCTCAACAAGTATATCCTTGTTTGGATGTTGTCAGTGAGAAAAAGCACTGGAGCTTGTGGCCTTTGCATGTCAGATAATACTGGTGACCCATTCTTAGAAGCATCACTCTGGATTAATTTCTGGCACTATGGCAGCTCTCCGTGTCAGCTGAAGTCTGGAAAATATTGGGGGGGGGGAAAATGTTTTGGGCTCACGTACAAATAATCCGGTGCGCAGCAGCTCTTGGGCTGAAGAGGTAATCAAACAAGTACGGCATTTGACTATTGATTCCGCTTGTTAACGTCCCTCTCAGTTACGTTTTAAGTGTGACATCGGTTTTTGGTTTCAGCCTGAAAGATGAGTGGGCAGACACTGTGCATATCGTGCCTGTCGATGCACTGATTTCAGGCTTATTTGACTCATTTTGGAAATGTGAAGTTTTGGAGCCGTGTAGGCGCAGCGGAGGACAAGGAGTGATTGGCAGCTCTTGACTGGTCATGGAGGATCAATTATATTTTGGGCTTTTCAGAAAAGTTAAAAGTAGAGTTGCCAATACACTAAAACTTTTTTTTTTACCGTCACTAAAACTACCAAAGGGAATAATCAGTCTGGGTATATTACGGCACAATGGAAATTGATGTATGCCCATAAGCAGATCATGGCAAAGCCATCCATTTTCTGTAGCATTTGCCTCATTAGGGTCACAGGTCATTTGGTGCCTCTCCAGGAACTACCAAACCCATTTTCAGGGAAACGTTTTTGTCTTCATTTGTTTGATGTTTAACAATCATTTAGAAATCCGTATTGCTGCCTTCAATGGGATTTGAGGGGAACAGTACACCCCCCGGATGTAAAAATTGAGCAGTCAAGTTGTGTGCTCCCATCGAGGGTAATTTGCTCCAGCAGCGCTTTACTTGGAGTGGAGTTCAAGTCCCCCTTTGATCAAATCCCCATCCCTATAAATGTCCGTCTCTGGTGTGTGTGTCCCACATGTGTTTTTTTGGCCTTGTTGGATGATGAGCTGCGAGTGGAAGTTTGTGCAGCTGAGTGCAGGGCTTCACCAGCCCCCTTTTTTCCCAGTGAGAAGAGCTCCCTCACCGCTCCCTGGGAACAGCTTATGGGCTTTCCGCTCTGACAAAACAAGACCCAGCAATCACAAACTGCAACAGCCACTTTGTAGGACGTCTATTCATTAGAGCCCGTGATGCCAGTCGCTTCCCGTGGGGTCAAGAGAAACGGTTTTACGGCCCCTTCTGCCCAGCATATGGAAACCCTGTTAACCTTTGTGCGGGCCGTAGGTTAACGTTGGTACTGCCCTATGTCAGCATGTGCTCTCAGAAGTGCACAATAGAGAGAGAGAGATGTGCAGTGAGGAGGACATTCATGGAATGATATTTGTCCTGTGAGATTGGTGTTGCAGGAACAATCTTTGAACGATGATGTCCAATGAACCCATCCGCAGGCCGTGTGCATCAGCCTGTTCTGATCTCCGCTGGGGAAGTTCTTAGCCACGAGTCGAACTCGAATCGGCCACGCCTCGTTTCTGTCTACTTCCCTAAAATGCATTTGTGCTGACAGAAGCGCAGCGAGGGACCACTCCTACGAGCACGCAGACCTCTCTTTCGACAGCACTTCACTTTTTTTTTTCCTTCCCCCCCTTACCCCTGACCCTGTTCTGGCCATCACTGAGCCCCGACATCAGACCGTGACTTCTTTGGAAATGCATGCAAGCAGCTTTTAGTCTTGACCTAGATTGCTCCTAAAGCTCCACTTTATAAGGGACAGCACAGCAATAGAATGTGATCCCCGACGCTACATCATTGCTTTTACTAGATGCTAATAATCAGTGCTAGAGCTTTAATTTCATTGAATTTGTTGGGACTGTACAATTTCCAGCTTCTGATATTTGTCTGCTCACTCACTGCATTAACACTGACTTCATTTCCATGGTGAGATGTAGCTTATATGTTTGGGCTAGTCTTTCACAAATATAATAGAATATTCGGAACATATACAGTCGAACCTCAAAATTCAAAGTCATAGAATTTGGAAGGGTGGTTGACTGGTTAGCTCGTCCGCCTCACAGTGCAGATGTACCGGGTTCGATTCCGGCTCCGGCTTTCCTGTGTGGAGTTTGCATGTTCTCCCCGTGGCCTGCATGGGTTTTCTCCGGGTACGCCACCTTGAGAGCGCAGATGGTTCGTCTATGTGTGCCCTGCGATTGGCTGGCAACCGGTTCAGGGTGTACCCCGCCTACTGCCCGAAGACAGCTGGGATAGGCTTTGGCACGCCCCATGACCCTTGTGAGGATCAGCGGATCAGAAAAAAAAATGAACGGATTGATTCTAAGTATGTTTGCTTCATGCAAAAATGGTAAAATGAGTTTTAAGCCATGTAGCACTTTTCTAAATTCTAGCTCTCTGAGCTCCTCCGCTACGTACCTATGCACCTGCAAGATGAGGCAATATGAGGGCAACAATTAAAGCCTGGTAGCTTTCAAGGTTCCATACATAGGATCACTATTTATTTAGTATTTCGAATAAAGATCCGGTTATAATAACTGCACTGCTCTCTATGAACATAAAGAAGAGGGAGCATGTCCTAACATGACCTACTCTTTTAACAACCAGCCTGTCTTGGCTTCAAAGTCCAGCCATGTGTTTAGTCTGTCATGAAAAATCAGACGTCAGCAGCCTCACGCCGTCAACTGTTTTTCTTTATCTCCTTTCATACCCGTAATCATGTTTTTTAAGCTATTTGTCCGAGCGTGTACATACTTTGTACCTGCTGTTTGCCTTCACGGAGGGACTGAACACACCCCGGAGTGTCTCAGGCGTGTATTTGTGTGTAGGCCGTTTCCCCAGCAACCAAAGTGTGGTTGTGATGAGCAGAGCCAAAAACACGCCGGTTGTATTGTGTTGTCCGTGCAGGTCAGTGCAGATCTTCACGAGCAGCAGCGGCATACAACAACAAAGCGGCATCAGGCCTTTGCTTAGTGCATTTTTTTGCTGTTTTTAGGTCCAACTATAATTCAGTGCAGCAGGTGAAACAGCCCTCCCAAAACTGTGTCTCCTTCCACAAATGGTTTCCCCTAATCGTTTCTGTCACTATGCAATTACTTTTTGTGGTTTTGGCTGTACTGATGGACAAAACACAACATGATCTAAATTATACTCATTCCAGAGAGAAAAAAAAAGGCTCATCAAACCGCCCGTGACCTCGTGGTCAAAACAAAGGGGCTGTACGAATGTTGATAGCGCCATCGTGTGGTCACAGTTGAGATTATTCTCTGGATTTCCCGACCTTTTTTGAACCCAAGATCTCACCGTACATCACCCAACAACAACAAAAATGACACAAAAGTCTGAATACTGATTTAATGATGACCTCATCTCAGTTTAGTCATAATTGTACTTACTCAGTTTCTTGTTGAATTGAACACAAAGATGATAAGCCACTTACTCTCGTACGAATGGCAACAAGCGGGCACATCGTACCTTCTGCCGTCTAATGGAAGAGCATTCAGTTGCTCTGCCCGTCACTGGCATAAATAGATGAACAGGACATATTTGTGATTAATAACAATTTTAAGACGAAGAAATTGGAATTGGACACTCTCCTGCAGCAGCCTTGACGATCTCCCAAAGCACTCCATAAGATTGTTAGTTAGTGTTTCAAGACACCAGTTTTGAAAAGTAACTTGTAACCTTCTAATGGAGTATAATTTAGTTTTATATTATGTTATGATAGAAGTTAATTGTAACCAAGGGGGGCTGCGTGTAATAGGTATGTTTTGGAATGTGAGAAGAAGAAATTCATATAAGCAGAGGAAGAACATGCAAACTCTACACAGGAAGGAAGGAAGGCCTGAGCAGTGTTTCAAACTCCAGACGTCAGAACTGTGAGGCAGCTGTGTTAACCACTAGCTCATTTCAATTATTTGTGACTTTTTAGATCATTTAGATGTTCCATCTAATTAAGATAATATAATTTAATACTGCTTGAATTATTCATTACAAATTTATGAAAGGGTAAATGTTATGCGTGTCTTTCCCCCTTCATTCATCATCTCCTCTGAAGTGATAAATAATCTCCTCTTCCAAATTCAAAGCCACTGACCCACGATAAAGCTCTTTAGTGTTTGCTTACGCAGAGAATTGAGGTATTATCCATTACGAGAGGCAGTCCGTCCGTACACATGGCTGTGATGAAGTACTATTGTATGACTTTGTTTTGTTGTGTTGAAAATGAAGCTGTTTTCTTTCTGTCTTTGAGATACGACCAGTGGAGGAATGGATGTGGGACTCTTGTTTTTCCAAATCAGGTAACATTTGCATGTGTCATTTGGAATGTTCTGCGTTAGCGCTGTCTTTTGGCTCGTCTAAATCCTGCAAATGCAGTGTTCGCATGCCTTAAAAAGTGTTTTGTTACCACTGGCGGTACAGTAATCTCAATTGAATTGGGTTTCATATTCAATCCCAATCAAAAGAGAACAGAATAAATCTGTGGTTATCCAACTTGGAACAGTGAGGATGAATTAAATGGAATTACCGGTAGTTGAAAAAAAAAAACATGTTGAAAAGATGCCTCACCACTTGATCAGTCCAGTGCACAAAACATGTCAGAGACATGAAAATGGTCAAGATTAGTCGAGAAACCGCAACAGTTTCAGCTAGCCTCCAACAGAGGGAGTTGTTGGATAAAATAACAGCAAACCGACACGTGAGTAAACATCTCATTGTATTTATTATTCATGTCCCTATCACACAAGTGACTAGCCAGGGTTTTTTTGTCCAGCATTGAAATACATTAAAATTTCACATTAATTTCAGAATTTGAAAGTACCATTACCGTGTTTATTCGGACTCTTTGAAGTTTGTGGCTTTGAATTGTGAAAACAAAGACATTAGGTACGTGACGTCATTGGACCAACATTAGGAACATTAATAATATCTGTATTAAGGTATTTAACAATTATTAGGGTTGGAAGTAATGCAGTGGTGTAGGTAGAACATACTCAGAGTCGTTCCTGATACATGTATGCCTGTTAAATTGCTAGAGACCCGTTAAGTTGCTTGAGAGGAACAAAATGTAGTGATGCATTGAATTGAATTTATTCTTGGACCATACGTGTAACTAAAAAAAAAAAAAAAAAAAAACGTATCCGAAGATATTTTTCACTCCATAGAAATAAACCGGCGTTAACCCGTTCAAACCTCACATTGTGCTTGTTCTGGTGTTGCGCGCCATGGCTACCAGGGGGCAGTGCAATACAGATACACACGAAGAAGAGCTTCACAACTCACGCAGTGAAATGCTACAGTACAGTACTTGTTTTTCACAGGGAGTAAAGAATAAAGTTGTGTTTATGAGTTTATTCATCCTGGCAGAATTGTAAGATTTGTCTTTTTTTGTAGTTGAAAGCAGCCGGATGATGATGCAGAACATATTCATTTTATGTCTTGTGCGATTCAAATTTAACAATAAGGCATTTAAGAGTAGCACAATCAAAACGTAGCAATAAACAAACTAATGTTTCTGACACAAATGCTGTTCGCTTGTCCGTTTCTTGAGTTTTACACTGTGTGTTAGCATTAAGCTAACGTACTTGACTAAAGCAACGATATGCGACAGTTTTAAACACACAGCTTTATAGTTATCTTCGTTTTATGTTGAGTTGGCAAGTAAACTTTGAGTAGAAAAGCAATAAATCTTCACAGTTTGACAAACTGCTGCTTGCAGAATTGTCTTCAGCTCTCTGACAGTGTTAGAGACTGAGTGTTAATATTTCCAGACCTTTTGATAAAGCTGGGACAAAACAATTGAGCCCACTGTGTCCTGGCTGGTCTTCCCGTTAAGTGTCTTGTCCTCGAACTTTGCGTGCTGGCGCAACCTTTGCCTCTCGGTCTGCTAACTTTAGCTTCACAGCTTGCATGGTCGCACTAAGCCTTTTTTGGGGGCTTGTTGTGTGCCAAAGTAGATTTACCTTCAATAACCATTTAATAAAGCTCTATCCATTAGACTCGGAGTCTGCCGGCTGCATTAATCCTGATTACGGGATGTGCGGTAGAGGAAAAGGGTCTATGTGTCAAGTATGCCATCGAGTGATTTATATCCCCGGTTGGCATGTGTGTCTTGTCAGTCGGCGCTGAGCGGAGTGGAGTGAAGGGAGAAGAAGCGCTCATTGATGTTCACCTTTTGCCAAGTGTAACTACAGTTTGTGCCGCCTTGCTTCCGCAGTGTCTCTCTGATGCTGATGTTGGCTTTGACCTCCTACGGCTGCTTCCAACATCTTCATCATGGACTCCAAAGGCCCCAGTGGCACCTTCAAGAGGTCCTCCCTCAAACGTAGCACGTCGGGCTCGCAGAAGGTAGGGAGCTTTCAATGGGTGCCTTTTAAATTGGACCTGGCAGCATTTTATTGGTATTTCAGCATGTGATTAAACATGGTTTTATTGACTTTTGACACATGCTGCTTGACATGTAAGAAATGTTCTTGTTACATCACAGTCAAAGTCCAAGGACCGTCTCAGCCAATCCCATTGCAGGACTGCTGATCATATGTAACATGTATTTGGCGTTCACATGTTGTGTGCCGAAAACCTCTGCAAACATACTGTTAAGTGAAGCTGAGTGAGCTTCAAGTAAGAGCTGCTCGCTGCATTAATCCTTCATAATGGCCCAGTATGGCGAGCACGGCAGATTAAAGTCCTGTGATATGTTTTTATAAAGTCTGCTCTCATGTGATTAACACTCCTATTAATACGTTCTTGAAAGCAACCAACGCGGTTTTGTAAGTTTGTATATGAAATTGCGCGTCTGCTCCCGGTTCAGACTGGGGTGGGTTTTTAGTTCCAACGAATTGTTTATTTTATGGGACGGGAAAAATAATATACAAGTTGTGTTATCAATGTTAATAATTTGATATTTCATTTAAGACGCAGAGGAGGCGCTGCAATAGTTTGCTTTTGAAGTATATTTAAAATAAGAAAGAATATTTTAATTCTTACCATGAATTCATTGTTGGATTTTTTTAAAAAATATTTGTTCTTTATTGTGTACATGTTACGATTGTGCATGTGCTGTAGAAATTAAGTTGTCATGGTATAAACTGCTTGTTTTCGTCTTTCCGTACATTCAAGGAATAAAAGTCATAAATGATATTTTCCTCATTTGGTGGTCCAGTGAGCTCTAAATTCCTTGAAATGACTTCAATTTCCCATTTCAAGTTGTACAGTCAGGAGGCAATGATTTTAAAGGCTCCACAATTGCCCATTGTATTGATGAGATCACATGACCGCGTTAGTCAGCAGAGAGCTGATGCCTTTAGGCCCAGAGGTCAGCATGATGACTACTAAATGTTGATTTTTAATTTAAAAAGTGTAATGTTGTGGTGGGGGGGTGCGGTTATACCTGAACTTAAGTATACAAACTACTGGGCAAAACTAAGAGGATTTATTTGTGAAGGCCTCACCCTTTTACTAATTTAACACCATTGTAGAAATATTTAAAAGTCCACCGAAATAAAATAACACTTCACGTTGGAATTTGTAGACATAAATGCCAATTATCAGTCCGACAATCAGGATTGCATTTTCATCTCATGAATATTTTCATTCAGAAAGTCAGATAATCTTGATTGGTTTTAGCTAAACTGTGCTGTCAAATGCTTCTGCTTCTCGATAAAAAAAAAGGGGGCCACTTTGACATAAACTGTTTCTAAATAGGTCAAAAATAACATTTAAACATATTACATTGCGGGCCACATTGTAGTAGCCCCACTGGACCTGTTATAATGTAATATATAACTTTGCGGGATGTAACGGTCGGCCCAAAATGACATACCTTGGGTTTAAGTTCTCGGTTCGGTTCACACTAGACACGGTAAGGGAACAAGATACAAAAAAGAAGTGGTTTTCGTGAACAGTACACATTGGATGGCATTTCAATTTAAACCGAAAAGTTAGTCTTCTTGTGAGGAAATGGATGATTCAGACAAACGCACTGTGATGGAATAGAAAAAATTAGGAGGCTGCGGGAGAGGCTTTTTGAATGCCACTGAGTAGTGGAAGTGCATGTGTGCGTGTGTGTGTTCCACTAATACTGTATTCACATTGCTGTGATGTCATTTCAAATGAATTAACAAATTTGGTACCCTGCCAAAATCATGCGCCACGATGTCCGTTAGCCAGAAGATGAGCTGCACTGTCTTTGTTTACAGACTAGGCACGTTGCTACAGCGCGAGGAAGTTCCACTTCTCGTACCTTACCTAATACACTCTGATCCCAAATCATAACCCAATCTTAATCTATAATTGTCCATAATGATTGATGATTATGATAAGCGGGCCAGAAAACTGATTAAAGGTTGAATCACAAGTTCTGAATTGAAAAAACGTGAAAGTTGTGACACTGCGTGTGGCGCAAAAAGCCACCACCCATTAAAACTGGCAAATGTGTCACAATTGGAATATGTAATATCATTTACAAATAATTCTTTTTATATATTCCAAATAGGCTTAGTAGTTACAACCATGAAAGCAGGAGGTCACTTTACGGTTCCTTTACTGAAAATTGGTACCCAATAGATGAGTTTTAGTTTTTGCTGATGCTTTAAAAAAAAAAAAAAATCCACGGGCTTGTCTTGAGCGCAACATTCCTTGGGGGCTAAGAGGGAGTAGCCGCTTTAAAACGTGTCTTATGACTGCGTCCACTGGCGAGCCTAATCAGTGACATGTTGCTCTCATGTGATGGCTAACTGGATTTTCAAACCAAGGATGACAATTGAGTGCTTTTACACGGAGCGAGAAGGCAAATTTGTCTACCACGAGATCGAGCCCGCATCTCATGGGGCAAATGTCTCCCTCCCCTCCCTCAAGTCAAGCGCCAGCCTGTGAAAGGCAGCTTTTTATTCGGCCCTCGTGGGATCCAACGTGGCTCTGAAATCTTCCTTAAACAGTAAAGGATTCCACATGGGTTTGCTTCTCTTCACGCCGCATCAAACTCCATCCTCGCCGCCATTGAGCGGCAAAGCCAAGCAATTAGTGGCTTTTATCTTCAACCCCGGTGACATCACATTCCACACAGGACCCCCAAATCCTTTATGACCAATTTCAACTTATTCTCCTTTTACGACAGTCCGAAGACACACGTGGACCTGTCACTTTTCCACAAGTATTTTTCACTGAGCAGAAAAAGGAAGCTCCTGAACATTTTTTTATTAACCTTAATAACTTGTGATTTGGTTTTTCTGTGATTATATTAAGTGGAATTGTCGCCGCATTGGAACAAATTGGCTGTGATCTCCTTTCTCGCTAAGCTGCGAGTCAGGAGACCCGACACATGTGACTGCTGCACCCAAAGGCGAGTATAGTGGAATATCGCATGTCGGACATGAGGAGAGTGTAATACTTGAAAAGGTATATGAAATAGATCGTATATTAAGACAGGATCAGAATTATTTCAGTATACTGTATACCTTGTGTGCCATTTTTGTAAATTGGTGTGTTGTGAGATTTCGCTCATGTAGAAGTACTGTAAAATCCCATGAAAAACACGCACCCGTGTATAATAAGCACCCCCGCCCCTCCCGGCCAAATCGCCTTCTTTGAGGGAAGACAAGGCAGCTTTATTTATATAAGACATTTGAAACACAAGGCAACTCACTGTGCTTCACACAAGCAAAGACGACGACACCTACAAGCATTTACAAACAACAGTTAATGACATTTAGAAGCAAAGCAGAGACAATAAAACAAGCTGAACAAAATTAGCAAAAAATATAGTAATTGTAGCTCGCTATATATTTATTTTAATTTCTTTGCTTTCAAATCCATAAATATTGTACTTTGACCGACAGTATGTGAAGCATTTTCACTTACGCTGTGTATGAAATAGTGATTACATTTTTAACAACCACACGAGGTACCGCCTAGTCTCATGTCTAAAAATGGTGGCGCAGTGGTCGACTGGTTAGCACGTCGGCCTCACTGTGTCGAGGTGCAGGGTTCGATTCCGACAAAAAATAAATAGGAATCTGTTTTTCATACCTTGTTCATACTCGCCGCCACCTTCAGGAGTGGATGTGCAATTACACTCTATTCCATTAAGGCCACAAAAAAAAAAAAAAAACCTTCATGTTCCCTGGTGTTGCACGCGCATTCCCTGGGGGGCCCGCCCCACGATTTGAGAAGGACCCGTCTCGGTAGAAGATACACATTCAACAAAAAAAATAATTCTCCAATTTTTAACACGGTAAGAATACTTTGGGTGTAACGCTAATTTCCCAAAATTTCAATCCGCCCACAATGACCCATTATCTTGTTCTATTTCTCAACTGCCGCCTATTTGGAATGAATGTTGTTTATTGTGCTGAGGCTTGCCTTAATTCTCGTTAATTTTCCCCGTGTGACACAATGTGATCCGCCAGTATATCCAAATCTTCAAGGTTTTTCGTTAAGCGCTCGGAGGCAGCTCGAGCGAGGCAGCTGCTTGGGGTTTTCATTGCTGTGCCCAATGAGTTTAAGTACGCCGAAACAACTGCATCATCTTAGCCAAAGCTCTCTGAAAATGTGTTCTGTTTTCCTCTCCTATAATTAAACTGCGTCCCCAAGAGCACCACCAACAAGTGTCTAGTTAGGGACATTTCAATTTGTCTTTTTGGACCCTGCAACTGTTCTTCCAAAAAAAAAAAAAAAAAAAAAATTCCACACAGACTCCCAAGTGCTCAACCATAAAAGGAGTGCTGGTGAAACCATTTCAGGGTTTAGGGTTTTGGAATATCTACCACTTCCAGCTCAGCTCATGCCTTCATCTGCTTATTTAAGCAAGCCCTCCATACCTCAAAATAGCCATAATTGCCAGCCGTTAGGTGCCAGGCACGCTTCCTTTTCATACACTTTTACGCCATCATTTGTCAACATCCTGTCGACATGTAAACATTAAGCCCTAAAACTGCCAAATATGACTGACATTAGGGTATTGTGGCGACTGTTTCGCGTTATCTTTTCCACCACCAGAACGCGATGGAAATAGAGATTAACTGCAATTAGTATTGACTGACTTTGCCCCCAGCTGGAGAGCAGTCATGTCTTAACAAGGCGCCCTTCCAAAAGAATGCCCGCATCCAATTCTCTCAATTATGCAAATTTGGGTTGAAATCAAAGTAGCTGGAAATGATGGTCGGTGGGTTGGAAGGGGCGTTAGGTGCTTGTTTTCAAATGAAAAAGTCTGCGAGCATTCAGCTCGTCATGCCGCACAAACAAGCGTCTTCTTCCACGCTGCTGCGAGGGCAACACTAAGAAAAAGACTTTGAACAAATTGGGAGATTAGGGGCCGCTTATCAAAGTGGATTTATTGTGCCTTGTTCAAGCGGCGGGTGAAAATACCCTGTGGGCATGGGGAAAGGGGGTCATGGGACTCCCAAAAGGATTACCTTGAACTGGAGTCATGAGACTGGGCCGAACAAAGAGCCCGCTCACATGCTCATCATATTAGCTGGCCCTCATAAAGTGAACAAGTGTCATGTCCTGTGGGATTCAGTGAGGCTGCGGCGGCGGCAGCAACAGCAGCAGCGGCAACGCTCCAGCGCCAGCTCACTTTAAGGCTTCTCGCGGGCGGCTCCGCGCTCTCGGATCCAAAGTTTTTATGTAAGTGGAACGACTGCAATGCTTTCTAGCTAACTTTCGAAAGTCCATTTATTTGTGGGTGAGGGACAGGTTTGATTACAGGATCATCCACGCTAATATATTGCTTCAATTTATTGCAATTATTTGTTTTTAAAGTTTTTTTATCCGTTTAAAATGTCCTCTTGTAATTGTTGTCAGCTACAAAATATTCATTATGTTGCTTTGATTTAAAAAAAAAACTGTCATACAGAAAATAATATGTAACTAACCAACCATTGAGATCCTGTACATAGCGACACTCTTGTAATCTATAAGCATAATCATTCATATTCTAAGATTCAAAACGAATAAAGGAGTGGCTGTTTAATCTATATCACTATAAATACCTAAATGCATTTTTTATTATTATTATTATTATAACGATCAACTTTCAGTTGCCTGGGGCAGATTGCGGGGATCAAAACAGAGAACAGTAGCCGCACTCTTATAATTCCAAATCACAAGGCGTCCATAAGAATCCATTAGTTGGGTCTTTTCGTCACACTCACATGATGCTCAAAAGTTGAAATGGAAGAAAACAAAAATCGAGCAGGTCAATTGTTGACGCTAGAGAAACAGTGAAAACAAAGTTCCTATTTTTCCACAGTTTTCACTGATGCTGCCAAGACTTTCCAGGAAAGCGGAGCTCCCATCGCTCCACTTTTAATTAGTCATTCACGCTTGACAATGGAAGAGAAAATTTTGCGCTCAACTCAGGTTATTTTCTGCTCCGAGCTGGAAACGCATCAGAGGCGAAGCAGTTTTTTTGGACGCAGTGTGCAGGGGCCGCTTGCTTTTGTGTGATGAATCTCGGTGGCTGCTTCTGCTGTGACAAAAGAGTGACGCCAGCCAACGCTTTTGTCTTCTTTTTTCCGGCTTTTTTTTTTCTTCTCAGGCGCAGCGAGTTTGGATTGAGAGGACATTTCTGAAAAGGGAATGCATTCACATCTTTCCCACCAAGGACATCACCAGGTAATACTTAATACCGGTCTTCTAATTATGGATGGTCAATTTGTAGTAAGAATCAAACTTGGAAAGAATAGGCTACTGTTCCTGTGAAGCACAGATTCTTCCATAGAAAACTTTTATTTTTTTGGTTTGTTTTTACATTATTTAGTGACTTTATTAACAGTTAGCACTATTTTAATATCTTTTTTTTGAAATCATATTTAGTTTTTAACCCTTTCGGGGACAGCGGTTGCTACAGTCTTATCAATCTTAGCATGTTATCAGGTTACAGAGTGCATGAAAGGGTTCAATTATGCCCCAAACCGGTGCCGAATGCAAACGGCTTTGCTCAACATTTAGGGCGTGGCCTCAGCAATTGTAGTTCAGAATGTACCTTAACCTTAACCTTCACCACTTGGGGGGGAGTGGACTAGCCCTGCATGTACCCTAACATTGGTGCGTAGACCAAATGAAAATACTGTGCAGGGTGTAAGCCCTTAACATACCTTTTATTGGACCTGCCATAAATAAATACGACCACAACCATATAATAAGAAAGGTGGGTTTGAAAGTGAAGAGAACAGAAGTCAGCCGCAAGTGTAAATATTTTGAAATTCAGGTTTAAAAACTATGCCGTTTCCCCCAATACCATTTTAAGCATTTAAAATCTATTTCACTCTCTCCAAGTATAGAAAGCTGCTTTTTAATTCTGGATTTTTGCTTTTAAAATGCCTTTAGATTTTTGTTTATGAATGCATTTGAATTTAGAATTTTGGGTGTTGTACTTTTGGTTGTGTGAAGCACATTGAGTTGACTTGTGGATGAAATGTTTTGTATTAATAAAACTGCCCAGCCTTGTCTAGCCTAAAGTAGCCTAGTGGCGAATGTTTGCGTTAAAAAATACTACAGTACAAAATTCATGAAATAAAGAATATCTTTATCGCACGTCAGTGTCTAAACACAACTTGTGGACGTTTTCCATAAAACCAACGCCTTTGTTTGCCCTCTGACCGATGTCGAGTCTTGCCACGGCTTTCGTTTAGATGTTCATGCGGTCAGCTGACAACGCAGCACGTGGCCATCCCGCCCGGCGCCAACTCTCTGGAGGAAGCGCACCAGCTCGTGCAGATCGACACCCCCAAAGACAAATGGAGCGTGATCAAGCACACCAGGACCTTCCCGACGGACTCGTTCGGCATCATCGAGTTCCAGGGCGGAGGGTTCATCAACAAGGCCATGGTGAGACGAAGCGGCTTTTCAATGGCTCTAAATTAAATCTCATGGCATTTTCCCCGTCCTCTCCACGCTATTAGTACATCCGAGTGTCCTATGACACCAAACCGGAGAACCTGCTGCATCTGATGGTGAAGGAGTGGCAGTTGGAGCTGCCCACGCTCCTCATCTCGGTGCACGGAGGCCTCCAGAACTTTGACCTGCAGCCCAAACTCAAGCAGGTTTTCGGCAAAGGCCTGATTAAAGCGGCCGTCACCACGGGCGCTTGGATCTTCACGGGCGGAGTCAACACAGGTAAGGACGCCGCCGACTGCGACGGCTCGGGATAATTCCGTTTAATGTTCACTTAACAAATGACTCTAAGTGACATTAGAAGATTAGCCCCGCACTCAACTGTTATTATATAATGCTTCTGCCATTTCCTGGCTGGGAGGGGGCGAGGAGACTGACCCATTGTGACAGCTTTAAACACTGCAATTAAGAGCTTTTTTGAGGGCATGATTCATCGTGAATGGCAAGCTGCATGATGTTTCCATCCATTTCGATAACACCTTCACTGAGGTGCACTCAGACAAATGATCGCACTTTTGCCAAATTGGTCCAACAATTCTCATTTATTTACGACAATCTTATCCATGCCAGCAATGTATAGTGACAGGCACTGGCATTTCCCTAATGTTCCTTGACCCAATAAAGGTTGGGCAAGACCGACTTGATCAGCTTTGGATTCACACCGGCTCCCATTTGGAGTTCACGGTTCTTGTTTGTGCGCACTTTTTTCACTTAATTGGAAGCAGCCACGTGTTTTTCTTAGGTGTGATCCGTCACGTGGGAGATGCCTTGAAGGACCATTCCTCAAAGTCACGAGGGAAAGTGTGCGCAATAGGAATTGCCCCCTGGGGGATTCTGGAGAACAAAGAGGATCTTATTGGGAAAGACGTAAGCATCCGAAAGGCGAAATCCGGGAAACAAAGGAGAGCCTTCGATGATGAGATCTTCTCCTTTCAGGTGACCAGACCCTACCAGACGATGGCCAACCCGCTGAGCAAGCTGGCCGTGCTCAATAACAGCCACTCGCACTTCATCCTGACCGACAACGGCACCTGCGGCAAGTACGGCTCTGAGGTCAAACTGCGTCGCCTGCTAGAGAAGCATATCTCGCTGCAGAAGATCAACACCCGTAAGTGGTGTCAGACACACGTGGGGGTGGTGGGGGCTTCCATGGGGGCTTCATCTTTCATGATGCCTAGGATTCACGGACGCAGAGCTTCTTCTGTGACCCATGGGCTTCCCTTTGTCATCCTATGCCTGGAGCTCGGATAAGGCAGGGACAGCAAAGGGATGCTCAGCTGTCACCACAGACTTCGCTCGCCCTCTCCTTTGCCATTTCGTGTGTCCTCACATCAACATCCCACTCACTGTCTGTTGTCCTTAAAGTTCATGTTTAAATAACACCGTGACTATTTTTGGGGTGCGTTACAGGTCTGGGCCAGGGTGTTCCACTCGTGTGTCTGATAGTGGAAGGAGGTCCCAACGTTATCTCCATCGCCCTGGAGAGTCTGCGAGACGAGCCTCCGATTCCGGTGGTGGTGTGCGATGGCAGCGGCCGCGCCTCTGACATTATTTCTTTCGCACACAAGTTCTCAGAGGATGGAGGGTGAGTATTTACATCAAGGGGCGTCACGATGAAGTTAGGATTGCCCGCAGGTCTATTATGCTAAATTCAGTCCATCCGTGTCGGATAAATGTATGCCCAACAATCGTATATTGTTTTTAGATATGGCTAGTGGCAGGCGGAATCCTCGTATGTCCAAAATCATCACTACTCCAGCAATGCCATATTTGTTCAAGCATCAACATTGTGTCATCAAAGGGAGTGACACTTTAGATTGTTCAATAATTTGTAGATTGACCTCTACAATAGATTTGTCAAAAAATATTCACCCAATTGTGACATCGGACGTTTTGGTCCGACAACCAGCGATATCAGATTTTTCAAGGATTTTGGGGTGCCCAGTGGCCCTGTATCTTCCTAGAATAGATCCGCTCATGTAGTGAGAACTAGCAGAATCCCTTCTCCACTTTCACAGTCAAATTCAAGAGCAATCTGTACTAGGATGACTTCAATAAGGAGCGGAAACCGGAGCAAACGATCGCACTTCCTGCTGTTTGCTAAATTATCTTTATTCATCTGGGTGTCATGAAAATACATTTTGTTGCTATAATAGTTGAAAATATATTTTATATTGTTGTAAATTTTTGAAAACTACGGTATATAAAACCAGTGTCTTAGTAGTAATTGGTCGAATAGAAATAGTAAATACTTGTACTAGTTGTGGTACCGCCAACCACAAGGCCTGTGTCAATTGTATGCAAAGCGCAACATCACGAGTTTGTCATACGGGAAGCGCCGATGTAACAATTTTTGAAAGACATCAAGGGAAACTCGTGTCATGCTTTCACGTGCCACAAATGACATGGAGCGCTTGAATCTGGCCTGCGGGCCTTGAGATCACGCATACACCTCAAAGTGGCATCTCCTCCTCCTCCTCCTCCAGGCTCGTCAACGACGACGTGCGAGATCAACTCCTGGTGACCATTCAGAAGACGTTCAACTACAGCAAGAGCCAGTCGCAGCAGATCCTTCTCATGGTGATGGAGTGCATGAAGAAGAGGGAACTGGTGAGTAAGGGAATAAAAAAAACGGCTACCAGGATGTCATTTGTACACCATTTGAAATTGATGTGTGCCTCAATAAACATGTATGTCAAGCTTTTGGTCTCCATGCTCATTCATCCGCTCATGTGTGTTTTTTGCAATTAACATATTGAATCAATATAATCCCCACCACCTGCTTCTCATTTCTCCTCCTTTGCCGTGCTCATGCCCAGCGTGTGGAATAATCCGCATCGTCCTCATGCCTCGCGCCAAAGGTTGCAAAGTGGCGACCCCTCTGTGTCAGCGCACTGTCAAATTGTGCGCAAAGTGCAAAGAGAAAGCACATTAATCCCAAAAGTGTTGGTCCAAAGTGTCCGCTTGTGGAATCAATGAAGCGGCATCAAGTGACGGTGATTAGTTTAATCTGCGCCCTCCAATACATCTGGATGGGAAAGATCCCAGCGCACGAGTACTTTGCTTGCGCTGGCTTTTGCCTCATCCAGTCACAGATGGAAGATCCATCTCCATAATCCTCAATCGGGTTCCTCTCAGCCTAGAGTGCTATCACTGTCACTCGAGAGCCTCCATCCTCTAACACACATGTAAGAGACTACCAAGTGCCCTCGCACACCCACATAAGCAAATTAATCAGACTTTTTTTTTAACCCCTAAATCATCTTCACCACACACAGTGTGTGCTTGTTTTTTGGGGTTTTTTTATTATACATTTTGTGTCATGTGAGCCAGACAGTGTGACATAATCTCTTCATCCTAAATGCATCCCTAGTGAACAGGTGGCAAAAAAAAGATTTTCAGTGATGGGACACTCCGTAATATTCCCCAAATTTGCATTAAAAGAAACTGCAACAATAGCCACCTCTTTACGGATCTCGACAATTATGTCATCCGAATCCCATTATTCCCAAATTCACATTTTGACATATGTGGCCAGTGAGTGGTCATACATGATCACGACTCATTCCCATTTAGGGTCGCAAAATCCACTTTTTTTTTTTTTTGTTCTGATACCCATATAGAACATGAATTCAGAGGTCGCTCAGTAGAGCTTCAGAACTGTGAAAAATATTTGATGTGTTCAGGTTGGAGTTTGTCCATCTAAATTTCGAGTAGACTACTTCCTGTTTCATTGAAGATGTTGAACAGATTGAGAATGCCTTCATGATTCTGAGCGGTGAAGTGTGTCAAAACTGTATTGGAATTGCCAATTGTTAAATTCTGGAAACATTCCACCGCTTTGCAACCCCAATTCCATTCTTTCAAGTCATTCCGTCCCACATCTCACTCAGCGGCCATCAATTTTTTTTTTTCAAATTGTCTTTGCTTCCTCCTCACAAATAGATCACAGTTTTTCGAATGGGTTCTGAGGGTCAGCAAGATATAGAAATGGCCATTCTTACAGCCTTGTTAAAAGGTACTATCATGACCCAAATATCAATGCATAGATTCTTGGCGGCAGCGCGCCACACGTTGCCTTACCCTTTTCTCCCGCCTGTACCCTTTTTGTTTGTGTCTCATCAGGCACGAACGCTTCAGCAGCTGACCAGCTCAGTTTAGCTCTAGCCTGGAACCGAGTGGACATTGCTCGCAATCACATCTTTGTCTACGGACATAATTTACCTGTAAGTGGTGTACGGCTCTCAATAAGTGTCAAATCATATCACACGAAAGCATTAGATTGTAAAGTGCTGACAGTAAATGTGGGACACACAAAGAGAAGGGAGAAATCTGTATCAATATGCGTGTTTTTTTTTACATCACACTCTCTTTTTTTATAAATAAATATATATATCTACACTACAAATATTTGTATACATGCATACAGCAAGTAATATAAACACACGCTATTTGGCAGCCATATTGTTACAGTCCCAAACAGTGTCAATAAAAACACGTATTTATTTTTAATTTTGTATTTTATTGTTCTTATTTTATGTGGGTTTTTTTTGCTGTTACTATAATAAATCCAGACTCTTCAACACATGGTGCCTCTAAGACCGTATGAGGAAGAGCATTCATGGGCATTGACAAATGTCCATCGACATTGGCAAGATCCAAAATATTAGAAACAATGATGAGTATAATGCAGTGCTGTCTTCATAGCAACTGTTGCCAACTAGCTTGTTCCCGCCTCTTTGTCTTTCTTGTCTGGTTAGCCGGCTGGGGCCATCGCTAGCACGACCACCGCGCTGGCCCCAACCCAGGAGAAGCAGAAGAGTCCAGCCAGTGCCCCCCGCAACAAAAACAGGGGCAAGAAAGGAAAGGGCAAAGGAAAAGCCAAACCCGAACCTCCAGAGGAAACCGATCCACGGAAGTTGGAGCTCATTCGTTGGGTAAAACTGGACTTCTTTTAAAAAAATAGTCATCTCAGATTGTTAAATTTGTAAATATGAACAAAACTATATTAAATTTTTTTTATGTCAGGTAAATTCCCTGGAACAGGCTATGATGGATGCTCTGGTTTTGGACCGAGTGGATTTTGTCAAGCTGCTTCTGGAGAACGGCGTCAATATTCACCACTTCCTCACTATTCCAAGACTGGAGGAGTTGTACAATACGGTGGGCATATATTATATATATGTTATAAATATGTATATATTTTTTTTATTCACTCACTGGTAACAGCATTACAAGACCTGATGTATGATTGTAATTATGATCATCGTTTGCATGAGATAGAATGAGAAGGTGGTGTAGAAGGTGGTGTAGCAAAATGCATGGTGCCTAATAAATAGACCCGTGGCTAAATGTGACTTTTTTTCCCCTCTTTTTAGAAACTGGGCCCTGCTAATACTCTGCATGCTGTCGTTAGAGATGTCAAAAAGGTAAATAACCACTTTGCTGAATGTTTTTATCCTATAAAGTTATTTCTGGGCGGCACGGTGGACGACTGGTTGCCATGTCCGCCTCACAGTGCAGAGGCGTAGGGTTTGATTCCGGCTCCGCCCTACCTGTGTGTGTGTGTGTGTGTGTGTGTGTGTGTGTGTGTGTGTGTGTGTGTGTGTGTGTGTGTGTGTGTGTGTGTGTGTAAATGTTGTGTTATTTCCTCTGCTCTTGTTGAATTTCTCTGCAGGGGAACCTTCCCCCAGATTACCAGATCACCTTGATTGACATCGGCTTGGTGCTGGAGTACCTCATGGGTGGAGCTTACAGGAGTAATTACACCAGGAAGGCTTTCCGCAACCTCTACAATACTCTGTATGGACTTAAAAGGGTGCGCATGGGCATAATGAATTAAAAAAATAAAAAAAAAACGAAAAAGCTTATTTGATGTTTAGAATTTGTCTGTTACTAATGGCCATGTGTTGTCCTGTATTCTCAGCCCAAAGCTCTCAAGCTTCTCGGAATGGAGGTGAGGCCTCTTGTCTGCAGCGAAAGACACGGATGATGTAAGAAAAGAAAAAAAAAACTTCATTTTGCTGTTTGGTAGGATGACGAACCTCGACCAAAAGGCAAGAAAAAGGCGAAAAAGAAAAAGGAGGAAGAGGTGGACATTGATGTGGATGACCCGGAGGTGTCTCGCTTCAAGTATCCCTTCCACGAGTTGATGCTGTGGGCGGTGCTGATGAAACGGCAGAAGATGTCGCTCTTCCTTTGGCAGCGTGGAGAGGAGGCCATGGCCAAGGCACTGGTGGCCTGCAAACTGTTCAAGGCCATGGCCCACGAGTGCTCCGAGAGCGAGCTTGTGGACGACATCTCCCAAGACCTGGAGAACAACTCAAAGTTAGTGTCTGCATTTGTTTTTAATCTCATATTTCTTCAAATGGGCTTTGCAGTGAAACGCAGTGAACAGCAACCTCTTGGTTCGCGATTCATGAATATTGTTGTTTTGGGTTTTTTTTTTTTTTTTTATGTGTAACCTTCAACCTCTCCTCGGCTATTCGCTGATGAACTCTTAATAGCTCGGGATGGCACTAAAGCGCGAACTGAAAGGAAAGTAGTAGACCAAGTGCATGATTGAAGCTGTTTTTTTTTTTTTAATTTGCTACCACCAGTAGAAGTTTAAACATAAAACACTGAATTACACATATTTTAAATTAAAGCACAGCATTTACAAAAGTCTGCTAGCTTAATGCTAACACAACATGTAAAATGCCAGAGACAGGCTAATGAAGCTAGCATGAATGTTCCGGTAGTTGTAAGCAACAAAATGTTTGAATCACACTTCAGTCAACAAATATTTGAACCCAAACGGTACAGCTACAGACAATACAACAAATACCCACAGGCATAAAATGTACGTGACCCTCCCAAACGAAACCGATGTGAAGTCGCACAGCCATGTTTTCGAACGAGATCCAATTCAGCAGCGGCCATGTGAAAATGACCCATTTGAGGATTTATTATCCAAACACCAGAAAAATAAGTCAAGATCACTCCCCGGTTGAGTGAATTTCTTACCTTCATGCCTCAAAAAATGCTTTGGTTGGGGGGGGATTCAATATCACAGAATGCTTAGGGTTTCAAATCTACGTCATGACACGTATGAACCCACAAGTGGCCGGAACACAATCCTTTGTGGTGAAAACAAAACATCCTTTGCTGGACTGACACTGAAGGGCCGCTCCGATTAGGAAATAGGGGAAAGGAATGGATGAATTTTCTCAGATGTTGATCATGCCCGTCCTTTTGTGTAGAGAATTTGGCCAGCTGGCCTACGAACTGCTGGACCAGTCGTACAAGCACGACGAGCAGGTGGCCATGAAGCTGTTGACCTACGAGCTGGTGAACTGGAGCAACTCCACCTGTCTGAAGTTGGCCGTGGCCGCCAAGCAGCGAGATTTCATCGCCCACACGTGCAGTCAGATGTTGCTCACAGACATGTGGATGGGCTGCCTGAGGATCGGCAAGAACCCAGGCCTCAAGGTCCTTCCGTGGCAACACCTTGCCACAAAAAGGCATGCGGTTATCGCAAACTCTCATCTCACCTCATGTTTATTTCATCAATAGGTCATTTTGGGCATCATCTTTCCTCCGCTGATTCTTCTGCTGGATTTCCGTCTCGGGGATGATGCGTCCTACGCTACATCTGGAGCCAAAGACGAGGGAAAAGATAAAGACGACGACACAAAATCCAGCAAGGTCCAAACCATTGAGTTCTCATGCTTTCTGCTGTCTGACACTGTACATAAACTTAAATGTATGTAACAGACACATGGAATCACATTCATTTTGTGTCTTACATTGGCTTTTACCCATTGATTATCTGTTCAAATAACACTTAGTAAGTCACCGTGTATAGGCAAACACAGTTTTGCTCACTTTCGTTGTTTTAATGAACCTTTTCACAGATTGTGTATTTTATTCTCGTTCGTTGCATTATTTTCTTTTTCTTGTATCAATTTGTTCAGTTCCCCTTTGGCATATTATTTCACCATGACTTCTATTTCTTCTGTCCGAAGTGATTAAACTATAATTTTAAAAAAGGGGGGGAGCTTAATTTTACATTTAGGGGTAGCTTTGATTGTACCGTATTTTCCACATTACAAGGCGCTTCGGAGTATGAGGCGCAGCTTCAACGAATGGCCTATTTTAAAACTGTTTTCATACATAGGGCGCAACCCATTATAAGGTGCATAGAATAGAAGCCACAATAGTGGCTGCGGTTGCGTTATGCATCCACTAGCTGGAGCTACGCTAAAGGGAATACAATACAATCCGGCTTTATTTACATCGAGCTTTCACAACCACTACAGCTGTAACAAGCATTTAAAATACTACGTCCACGAAATCAGAATACTGTTCCACATATAAGGCGCATCGGATTATAAGGCACACTGTCGGCTTTTGAGAAAATTGAATGCTTTTAGGTGCGCCTTATAGTGCGGAAAATACAGTACTTTAATGGGCAGAAATAGCAGTGAGAATGTACCCCCACCCCCACACTCCCTAGTCTTTCCCATGAAGTAAAGTGTCCAGTTATTTTGTGTGTACTAGGACCCCAATGATGCCACTTCCCGGAAAGGGGATGAAGAGGAAGGCAGTGCCAACGTCCGCAAAATCCCCATTGGCAAAAGATTATTTGAGTTTTATGATGCACCCTTCACTAAATTCTGGTTCAACACAGTAAGTTTTCATCCGAAACATTTGTAAATGTTATTTTGGGGTTACGGAAAGGACTTGTGTACTCTTGATGCTTTCATTGGAAAGAATTCTGGAAAAAAGTACGCCTTATGGCAGTGGTGGGCGTACTTTTGTACTCAAAAGGCCAATCTTGGTTTTTTAAATGGTGGGAAGGGCCAGGGAATTTGTTGATGAGGTAAATAATAAAAATATGAGTTTGGTGAAATTTTCCTGTATGCACAGATATGTTATTTGGGCTACCTGATGTTATACAACTACATCATCCTGGTGAAGATGGAACGATGGCCGTCCCTACAAGAATGGACCGTCATTGCTTACATCCTTACCCTCGGCAGTGAAAAAGTCAGACAGGTAAAGTCGATTGAGTCCAAATGACTCCAGTGGCATCTTCCACAATGTCTTAATTAAAATATTTGAGCCACGGATCACTACAAAATAAGTGGACTCCCATTTTTTATTGATGTTTTTTTTTTGGGGGGGGGGTTGTAATTTTTTAGTTTTTAGGGAATGGAGGCAAGAAAGTGGGGAATTTATAACTTGGTTATTTAGCACTGATTATTTCTGGGTATTGTTCTTTTTTTTTTTACAGAAACTCGCGTATTCCTCAAATTTGGTCATTTTGACAAATATAAGCATTTTTGACTTGGATGGAATTTGCTATTCATATTGGATCAAATCATTTTTAATATCGTACAGCAGGGGTCCCCAACCGCCGGTCCGCGGACCGGTACCGGTCCGCCGGGCATTTGGTACCGGGCCGCACAGAAAGAACTTGCCATAATTCCGTTTTATTTATTTCGGAATACGAAAGATGTTTTATTTTGAAAAACTACCGGATTCTCCGTTACATCCGTCTGTGTCACGCTTGACACACGTCAAGCCACGCTTCTCCATCACGTGACCGATTACAGTACTTCAAAACAAAACACAGGCGCTCGCAAAATGAGTTAAAAAAACTGCTGGAGATCGCAAATGACGGCGGCCTTCAAAGTACGTTCGACTAGACAACTGGATTAAAGTTATGGCTGAATACTCTGAGATCGCCACAATAGCACTGTTGCTATTTCCGACATCCTACCTGTGTGAGGCGGGGGGGTTCTGCCGCAACGGCGACGAAAACAAAATTACGAAGTAGACTGGACACAAACCACACACTTGAGCTGTCATTGTCTCCTATTACCCCGAGATGGGACCGTCTGGTTGCAGAAAATCAAGCTCGGTGCTGTGGTGAGTCGTCATTTTCATGCACTTTGAATTTGCGTTGTATCGTATTTTGAAGACATTAAACATTGCCATAGCGATCGGAGTGTTGCGGCCAGATTAGACGCTCCTTGTGTTTATTATTATATTTCGAAAACGCCACCATTTTCATGCAGCTCATACCATATTATTTTGTTGTATTATTTCCGCCACACCTTAAATGCCGGTCCCTGAAAATATTGTCTGACATAAACCGGTCCGTGGGCCAAAAAAGGTTGGGGGCCCCTGTCGTACAGTATCTTAAGTTGCCCCCCCCCCCAAAAAAAAGGAATTTGAGAGAGACTAAAATAGGCTGTGTACAACAGTGGTCTTATAAGTCCAAACTTCCATCCAATCGATCCAATATTTCATGGATGCATGATAAATAAAATTCATTGATTGGGACATGCAGATACTCACTTTGGGGAATGTTTTTGAATCGTGAATGTAGAATGCCTGCCCCCTACAGGTCAAAAGTGGAACTTAACCTTGACAAGTCTTAAGTCTCGTCGACGTCATGTGAAAGATGTGCATTGTCTCTCTTCATTTCTGCCCTTAACTTCAAAATTATGAAACTGGGGCGGCTCATTGATATCATTCCCTCTAAAGATCTTGATGTCTGAGCCTGGCAAGCTGAAACAGAAGATCAGCGTGTGGCTGGAGGAGTACTGGAACATCACGGACTTGGTGGCCATCTCCACCTTCCTCCTGGGACTCATGTTGAGGCTGCAGCAAGAGCCTTACATGGGCTACGGGAGAGTCATATACTGCATAGACATCATCTTCTGGTACATCCGCGTCCTGGACATCTTCGGCGTCAACAAATACCTGGGGCCCTACGTGATGATGATCGGAAAGATGGTATGGGCTCCAGAACGCCACGAAGGCGCAGCCGCCACGATTGAGCGCCGTGCGTTTTGTGTTTTTTTTCAGATGATCGATATGATGTACTTTGTGGTCATCATGCTGGTGGTGCTCATGAGCTTCGGGGTGGCCCGCCAAGCCATCCTGCACCCCGACGAGGAGCCGACATGGCGCCTGGCTCGGAACATTTTCTATATGCCCTACTGGATGATCTATGGAGAGGTTTTTGCCGACTCGATAGACCGTAAGACTAGAATTCATAGTAAGATTCTGTTACACGATACTCTGATTTGTTGTGATGCATCGACTTTTAAGAAGTGGAAACTGATGTGATAGGTGTCATTTCACAAACGTGATCATCTGCTTCATGTTTTTTATCGTTGTTGTTGTTGTTGATGCCTCTTTTTTTTGTTTTTTCATAATGATGGTGTATTGCGAAATTTGACACCAGCGCACTTTTACTTGCACAACAGCTTGATCATGACAGAAGGATGATGTGCAAATTACTATTGATTGATTTTATTTACCACCATGTGTATTTCTGCTCACTTTTCTCTTCAGTCTATGCAATGGAAATCAACCGTGAGTCGTCCCTCAGACAAATTCCAATCCATCCCAATAAGAGCGCTTAGGCTCGTCACAACTTTACAGCCGTTTTATCCCCCGCAGCTCCGTGTGGCGAACATTTGTACGACGAAGACGGGAAGAAGTTGCCTCCGTGCATCCCTGGCGCCTGGCTCACGCCTGCCATTATGGCCTGCTACCTCCTTGTGGCCAATATTCTCCTGGTCAACCTGCTCATTGCCGTCTTCAAGTAAATACAGACTTCTTACCGAGCTCTCAAAACACTCACTCAAAATGATCGAATTACGCTAATATAGATGTATGTACATGTACGTATTGTATTTTAGTCTATTGATTACTATGATCACTGAACGAGCTGTTGTCCTACTCATGGGTGTGCATTGCACAGCAACACCTTCTTCGAGGTCAAGTCCATTTCCAACCAGGTGTGGAAGTTTCAGCGCTATCAGCTGATCATGACCTTCCACGACCGGCCCATCCTGCCCCCGCCACTTATCATCTTCAGCCACCTCTACATCCTCTTCAGCCGGCTCTTTCGCCGCTGCGCCAGGAAGAAGCAAGACGGAGAACTTGACGAGAAGGACCGCGGCCTCAGTCAGTACACTGTCTTGTCCAGGGAAACCAAGACAACAAGTATTATTAAAAAAATAAGATTGATTTGAGAAAAAAAAAATGGAGAGAGACCTTTCACAGATCTGTCAAGGGAGCCTCCCCCCCGCGTCTTGCGCCTTTTTTATCTCATTTTCTTCTCTTCGGGAGGGGTGAATGTCAGCACAATCAGCATTTTGAGCAGCTACACAGAATGCAGTCGAGTGCATATGAGCAGGCAACTTTGCTTATCTGCAAAATAACTGGTCAGCATCCGATGGTACGAACAGTTACTTACATTTTAGCAGTGTTATATGTCAAATTCCCATTACAATTCCCCACTTTTGATCCTACGGATGTATACCTTGTCACTCGCATGTTACAAAATACTTTTTAAATTCGGATTTTGGCAGCTATGTGCGATTATCATCAAAATTGTGAAAAAAAAATTGCGTAATGAGTGGAAAAAAAAACCTGGGCGTCCGACTGGATGCTTTTCAAAGGTCTTCGAGCCATGCTATCAATAAATTGAGTAATTCAGTCATCGAAAATGAATCTGCACACTTACCAAAGTCAAGTCAAAAATGGTGTTTGCAATATTTTGTTCTAGGTGCCACTGCAGCATTCTGATTGATATTGCCTCAGTAGAATAAACAGTTGAAGCAGATTAATTCATTGATCTCAGGGCGCCACCATTTTGACATTGTACCGTCAGTCCTCGGCCGTCGACTGCAATTGACATCAACATGCCCTCGGGCTCTCATTTCCAACGTCACGGCGAGACTAGTGGCAGAACATCAAACATGTTACTGCAAAGAACATTTTTTTTGGGATGTGACGGACAGGGGAATCTGACTTGACCAACTGGCTGATTGACCTCCTGTTGTGATTTGTTTTTTTCAAAGAGCTGAGACTGAATCCGGAGGAACTGAAGAACCTGTATGAGTTTGAAGAACAGTGTGTGGAGGAATACTTTCGGGAAAAGGAAGACGAGCAGCAGTCTTCGAGCGACGAACGCATTAAGGTTACTTCGGAAAGGTGAGCCCTGGTTTGGCGAGTACAGTGCTACCTTGCCTTACATGTGTTTACACTTGGGAGTTTTTTCTTGAATGACGAATGGTCGCAAAATAACATTTACAAGTTTTCTTTAGTTTGCAAAATAATGCAGTGATATTTTTCTTTATGAAACACACAACTTAAAAATGCTGCAATTTTGGGGGCGTCTGGAATGCATTAATGGTGTTTCATTTCAATGGCTGTTCTTTTTTTATAGGTTGGACCTACACAAAAAGGCAAATCAATGATGAAATGATATGGAAGACAGTTTTTAATGTAATTCAATTACCGGTACTTTTTTTCAATTACAGTTTTTATCTTCCCAAATACTGACTTGCAGTCTTGGAAGGCTTCACTGTGACAACTTCACAAAATTCTACCAGACAAATGTGCCGTAAATCATAAATCAGTCAAATCAATTACAACGATGCAAACAAATCTGTGGCTTTATCTCTTCGACTTTTCATGTTTCATGAAGTAATATGCAAACATGGACGGCACCTTTTTTTTTCGAGCACTGAACTCATTTCGACACCACGTAAATAAAACTGGAAAATAATCAAATCTAGCGACCGACAAAATTAACCAGTTTTTTTTTTCCTCCCCAAATTAGAGCTTTTCTGCATTCCACTATGCTGTGATGTTTAATTTGATGAATTCTGTTCAGCCCAAAAGTTGCACATGTCACTCACCACCCCTCTGGTGCTCTTCAAAGAGTTGAGAACATGTCCATGCGTTTGGAGGAGGTCAACGAGAGGGAGAACACCATGAAGGCCTCCCTGCAAACGGTGGACCTCCGCCTTGCCCAACTGGAGGAGATCCACGGTCGGATGGCGCTCGCCTTGGAAAAGCTGGCGGGGGTGGACAGACTGGAGCTGACCAGGACTCACTCCCGCAATTCGTCGGTGTGCGATCCCTCATCTTTGGTTCGCCAGGGAAGCATCAACAGCGCTGACGGTTACAGCCTCTACCGCTTCCACATGGACATGGAGGAGTTTGCCACCAAGCAGAAGGATGCGGAGGAAGTGGCGAAAAGTAGCCTGGAAAGACAGAAGAGTCAAGCTTCCAGCACGTGCGCCCTGAACGTCAAGGAGGGCGCTCAGACCTTAGAAGTTGGCAGCCTGAGCAGAACTAGGCCCGGCTCTTGCGTGGACATCCTCATATCGCCGTGTGAACCCAAGCAAGCGTCTGCGGGATCGAGCAGCGACACCTTAGCTAGCAAGGAGATACTCGGAAGCTCGCACCTGCTGGACCGAATCGCGGACAAGAACAGACTCAAACCATCCTCCCCGCCCAAAAGGACCAAATCACTGAGACACTATCCGGCCGAAGAGCCGGCCGCCTCTCCTTTGACCAAGAGGAGGAGCATGAGCACCATCATCATCAGCCCTCCCGATGAACCCGAGGAACCTGCCCAAAAAGCCCAACTGCCTCCCGCGGCTTTGTCCTCCCCAAAAAGGACAAAATCGTTACGCTGCGTCCCTGCTGAGAGCCCAAGCCAAACATCCCCCGTTACAAAGCGGAGGGCGATGAGCAGCATTATTTACAGTCCGGCCGAGGCGGTCGATGACGAGCTTCACGCGCAAGACTACACGTCCTTCGTGGAGCAGGCCGCCAAAACTCCCAATCAGTGGCCTGCCGATCTGGAGTACACTCTGCACCCTAGCTCGGACGGCCGCATGCCGAGAGTGTCAACAGTCAGAAGGACCATCCAGCAGTTTCAGAGCACTGCTGCCGCAGCGGAGGTAAAAGAAAACGATGGGATCTTTCCAGCTGGGACTGGAAGTGAAGGAACTCCACCAGAGCTCACGGAAGAGCAGATAAAGACAAGGGTGAAGAGAAACATGTCGGACGGCGCTCAGTATCTGACCGTCACGCAGGATAATTTCCTGCCCTCGCACAGGTCTTGGAGTTGGAATGCCAAAGATCGCAAAGCGAGAGGCGCGGCGGTTAGCAAGAGAGCATCCAGCAGCGAGAGGGACCTCGTGAACGCATGCGGAGCAGCGGCACACAAGATGGAGGATGACATACACGAAAAGAAATGACATCTAAAAGTGTACGGTGGGAAACAACCTTCATGCTGGATTTGCATTCAGTCAAAGCACACGAGGTCAATTGTCCCTCCCACTTGACTAATTCTGATGATGCGAAGGACTCAAAGAAGGAATGCAATTACTCGAAAAAGTTAGAAATATGAGGTGGGGAAATGCTGAGAGAACTTTACTAGTTACAAAATATACTGTTACTAAAACCTATTTCAAGGACGAAAGGTGAAATAAAAGAAAAAGTTATAAGATGAAAATAAATTCCCATTATGACAAAAAGTAAAAAAAAAAAACCTAAAGACTAAATCTAAAAAAGAGAAAAAAAATCATGTTACAAAATATAGTCATAACAAAATAAAAATCATAAAACGTAATGTAAAAACAATGTAAACGTAAAATAAATAAAACTGAAGTGACTTAGAGAAGAACATTTTCATGTTATGAGGAAATAAGTCATTTTTTAAAGGTCATGTTACAAAAAAAAGTAAAAACCTAAAGAGACTAAAGTTGAAATATTAGAGGTGAGGGAAATGCGGTCATGGTAAGAGAATAAATATTTTGACGTGACATAAAGAAGTCTTATTTTTGAGGTGATGTTATGAAAAAAGTAATTCTGAACATTTTTAGTTGTACTGTTACGAAAAAAACGTTGAGAGACGCCATGTTCGTGTAAGTCAGTGATGACATTCTTCTACTTCTAATGTGTAATGGCGCATTACTGCCACCAACTGGTATGTGGTCCTAATTGCAGTCATTCTTCAGAGGAACGGAATGACGTTCTCATATTAATACAAGAAAAAGTCATCATGTTGCAAAAATAAATATTAAAAGGTCCATGTATTACACTTTAACGTGAGGAGAAAAGAAATCAATGTTCCAAAAAGTTGATTTATTACAAGAAAAAAAAATCTTGTGAAATGAACAAAGCTCTAGTGAATGAAAATGAGTGGCGGTATTATGACAGAAAATATTGCAAGATGTAATTTTACGAAAATAAAGATATTATATCACAAGAATAAATAAGAGGAAAAAGTCACAATTTTTAAGAAGTTGATATTTTAAAAGAAGTCATTTTCTGAGAAAAAAAAATTGTATAGTTGAGTACAAATCTCACAAGGCTGTTGTTAAAATGCTTCCGAGAAAAGTTGTCGTCGCGTAGTCACAATATTTCAACCCAATAAGTCCAAAAGTGACTAGTTAAAATATTACGAGGAAGTTAACGTCAAAGAGTTGAAAATATAACGCTGCAGGAAGAGAACAATTAAAATATTACTTTGACTTATGTTTTGTCCAAAAGTGTGCGTGCGAGTGTAAAAATGTCTGTAGACCATGTGCCGTGACTGACTGGCAAGATTTTGAAAACACCCGAACAATTCACTCACTGCCCTTTCAAGTCTTTTTAATGTGAAGAACACTAGCAGAATGTCCACACATATTGCACGGGTGACGTGAAACTTTCTCAACGTGTACTCAACAATCACTTTCATATACAGACGGAGCCGTCGTCTCTTTAGGAAGTGTACAATGTGCTTAATACTGCGACGGCGCTCATGCAAATACTGACAATGGCATTACAACGTGGATTCACTGCATCTTGTCGGAGGAACTCTTCAATCATGTCAGTAATAAAAAAAATATATACACACACAGTAAATTGGAGTTTGTATGACTAATGCCTTCAGGTCTTAATATGGGTCATTTGATTAGTAACAGTAAAGACATGCTTCACCGAATTTATTTTTGAAAATGAACTTTACTGATGGAATAGTTGGCAGTTTTATATTTTGCAAACTTGTGATGTGAAAATATCTCCATTGTGTGTCCCAAAGAAATATTTTCTGAATATGATTTTCCATGAAAGTTAACAAATGCATCTTTGTGTTCAGCGTTCACATTCGACGGTAGGTTATGTCCGTCTCCACCAGAGGGAGCTGTACGCTGACGCGCCATCATAGCAGACAGCAAAATGTTATTTCTAATATATTGCAATAAGTTGTCAGAAATTTAAGCACGTCTTAACTATTATTTTTGTATCATACAAAGGGACAACAGTGACTACTACTGCGAATGCTTAAGAGGTTAATTCGAAATGTTTTTAAAGCATAACGAAGGCAGCATGACAAAAATGGCTAATTTTTTTGTTTTTGGCCAGTGTCTTTACCGTTATTGATCAAAATAAATGAAAATGACCCATTAATTTTACACACACACACACACAAATACATTCATTGCTGGGACTCGATATGCATGTCGCACAGCATCCTCGTGGTCAATATGGCACAAGGTATAAAAGTAGTGCTACAAAGTGCTAAAAAAAAAAAAAGTGAGGCGTTTGTTATTGTACGAAAACCATGGATTGCTCGAGTTCAATAACTGAGGTTACGGCAAAACAAAAAACAAGACTCCTCACAGGCGTCCGGCTACAAACAAGCCGTGGACAACCGTCACGGGGTTCAAGCCCCGGTTGCACGTCTTCAGTCGGACGAGGCCTTGAGTGGAAACCCGTCAGCTCACGCTGGGGCCGAGGTCAGCCCGCAAAAGCAAGAAGCCCTCGCTCAAAAGTCACATGAAATCAGGAGCCGCCTCAAAATGAGCAAAGTCACTCTGGGGTGTGTGCACGGCGGGCTCTAGATGAGCGAACACTTGAGGAATTTAATCCTCTTGGATTTCTTCTCGGTGATCTTGACTGCTTTGCTGGCTCCTGCAGCAGTGTTGTCAGGCTAGATAAAAAAAAAGACAAGTCACATTTGCGTCGACTAAAAGTCAAACTGAACATGCAGCGCAGAAGCACTTACTGTCTTTGAGCTCAGATTGTGCAAGATGTCTCTTCCCATGGTATAAAACGCCTGATTCGAAAAAAATATTAAGGATAAATATTCAGGACAACAGTTTTCCAAACTTTGAGCCAAGGCACATTTTAAATTAGGAAAAAGAAAATCTCACAGCTCACCACCAAACAAAAAGGACATAAACAGGTTCATTGTACCTTCTGCCATCTCGTGGACAAGACAAGCATTTCTTTGTTCCGCTTGTCACTATGTCGCTTGCATTCATTAACAATACATTTTTTTGTGGTTTAAAAAAAAAAAAAATTGACCAATCTGTCAAACACGGAAATCTGTGGGTTTTAGCAATCCCGAGCGACAGATTTTTTTTTTTAGGCCGATTCCAATTATTTGGCAGAATAAAATTCCATTTACCGATTAATCAGCCGATTAATTTAAAAAATGTATATCAAGAATAAAATAACGTAATTGTATGTCCCTTCATGCTTCCAACAATAAAGATATTAATTTCAGGCAGAACATTTTATTTTTACTTTTGTATTTGTTGTAACTTTACAGCGGAGAAAATTTGCTAAACTTTTCTCGATTATATTTTTGAACATTGTCTTGTTGCAATGTGTTCCATCCATCCATTTTCCGATCCACTTTATCCTAACGAGGGTCGCGGGGGGTGCCGTCTTCGGGCAGTAGGCGGGGGGCACCCTGAACCGGTTGCAGGCGGGGAACACCCTGAACCGGTTGCCAGCCAATCACAGGACACACCGAGACGAACAACCATCCGCACTCACACCCACACTTAGGGACAATTTAGAGGGTTCAATCAGCCTGCCATGCATGTTTTTTGGAATGTGGGAGGAAACCGGAGTACCCGAAGAAAACCCAGAGCTGGATTTGAACCCGGTACCTCTGCACTGTTCGGTCAACGCGCTAACCACTGGACACCGGGCCGCCCCGTTGCAATGTGTTAATGTGCAACACCCGCCCCCCCCCTAAAAAAACAAGTATTTTTTGACGCTTTTGACGTTGAATAAGCATGAAACTCTCCCCCCACCCCCCCCCAACCCCAAAAAGATATAGCAGGGGAAACACTAATCCCATTTGAAATGTCAAACACAGACGTACCTCTTCGACATTTAGACTTGACTTTGCGCTGGTCTCCAGGAACTTGACGCCGTAATCAATAGCCAGCTAAAGAGAAGGAAAAACAACAAAGCAGCGATTGATTACCATTCATATCCAATGCATTTGAGTTCCTCTCATGAGGAGACCTTTTAAAGAGTTGGTTGCCAGCGGAGGTGGTGGGGGGGGGGGACGACTCAACTCACTTTTTCACCCCTGTCTTTGGACACCTGCCGCCTGTCACTCATGTCACATTTGTTACCCAGGACCATCTTCTCGACGTCCGATGAGGCATGCTGGGATTTGAGAAGTCAGCGAGGGACAAGTCAGTCAAGCAAACAAAACTAATTTTTTTTTTTTTTTGCAACAGTGGTTTTGAAGCTCAATCGGACTGACATATTGAGGAAGCGTGCTAACATAAACGATTAAGTGTCTATCTGTCTGTCTGTGTTGCCATGGTCACAAGGTGACATTGGGGATCGGCAGAATAATCAGTTAAGTGATCATTAACAATTCCCTAGAGTCCAAAGCAATTGAAGGCAAAATGAACCGCACTGCAGTGGAGGTATTGTCAGCTATCGGAGATTGAGCTTATACAGTGGGAAGAGAAAGTCTACACACCCCTCTTCAAAAGATATTCTCCACCGTTGTGACTGTATTCTATATATTTTGATTGTTCTTGTCATAATAGTTATTTTGAAAACCTGCTGTGCCACAGAAATAACTTCTCAAAAAATGTACTTGCATCTCTTGTTTCAAAAAAATGTAGCCAACATTTTTTGCCCGTTGTTATTCCGTTTAACTTTGTCGTAATGTTCCCCAGACATCTCGGAAAAATCCAGTCTCTTGCCAATCCCTCATAACAAAGTGAGACACTCATGTCAAATCTATCCGGCAGCTCACCTCTTCAATATTCCTGATCCAGTTTTTAATGTTTTCAAACGACTTCTCGTTGGAAATGTCGTAGACCAGCATGATTCCCTGGGAGGACGACAAAGACGAATCATTGTTCCTCGGTCCAACTCTTCAACATTCCAGCACGGCGAGTGAGACCTTACCATGGCTCCTCTGTAGTAAGCTGTTGTGATGGTGCGAAAGCGCTCTTGGCCTGCAGTGTCCCTGAGTGCATCCAACAAATATAGTCAAAGATCCGCATCCATTCATCCATTTTTAAATCAACTTATCCTCACAAGGGTCAGTAGGCGAAGGACACCCTGAACCGGTTGCCAGTCGATCGCGGAGTACACAGAGACAAAAAAAACATCCACGCTCACACTCACACCTCGGGACAATTTAAGAGTGTTCAATCAGCTTGCCATGCATGTTTTTGGAATGTGGGAGAAAACCGGAGTACCCGGAGAAAATCCACGCAGGCACGGGGAAAACATGCAAACTCCACACGCGGAAGCCAGAGCCGGAATCGAACCCCGCACCTCTACACTGTGAGGCCGACCCGCTAACCACTCGTCCACCAGGCTGCCAGATGTGCGTCCAGTTTTTCTAAATAAAAATCAAATGACACTCACCAGATTTGAAGTTTGACTCTCTTTCCGTCCAGCTCAATCGTTCTGATTTTGAAGTCTATGCCTGCAGTAAAATTAACACACACTTATCAGAAGACTAAAATAGTGGATCGTCATTAGTTCATGCATATTGTTTCAAATGTAGAACACCTGATACAAGCAGAAAAATGCATGAATATTATTACCGTCGGCCTAACCAATTACTCAATTTATGGCATTTTGCTCCTAAAATTTGATACAGTTCAAGTAATTTTTTTTATCTCCTGATGACTGAGCAGGCAGTAAATTTGCTAGTTTCTTTTTTTTTTTTTTTTTTTTTTTTTTTACTTTATAAAATATTTTTGTTTCTAACAAATTTTTGCTCCATCTCGTGAAAAAAAGGTTCTGTTTCTTTGCCTTCAATCACATATGGATACTATTTGTGTTCATGGACAGCACATTAAAGTACTGTACAAAATATGGGTCAGGCAAAAATGTCTCCGAAACCAAACATACAGATGTAATGATGAAACCATCTCACTTCACTTGCATATTCACTTGATCCGTGTGAAATCTGGGCCTGTATAGTTGACCACATAGCTGTTTTTCTCTTGTATGAATGGCAACAGTTGGATACACTGGTTAATTGGAGCTTCTGACATCAAGTGGAAGCGCATTTAATTGTTCTGCCTGTCACTACAGGTCGTTTGCATAGATGGTAGAAAAAAAATGCAAAAATGGACCAAGATAGATAGATAGATAGATCCTTGAGCTCATTTGAATGTCGATCAATCTCTGCCCCTGTCAATACCGAAGAGACGAATGCACACTAATGCAGACACACTTGACACAACTGATGTCGTGTTATTACAGATGCGCTCGTGCATTATTTCTCCTGACAGGCTACTGCGGTTTACTCACCTATGGTGGATATGAAGGTGGTATTAAAGGAGTCTTCGCTGAATCGAAAGAGCAGACACGTCTTGCCCACGCCGCTGTCGCCGATAAGCAACAGCTTAAAGAGGTAATCGTACGTCTTGGCCATTGCGCGAAGCAACCACGGGGAGATTTGGGTCAATAAATGAGAATGTCACGTCTTTTGGGTCCTCAGCTGTCCGGCGGTCTGGCGGCGGGCCAATGCGGCGAAGAGTGACGTAATGCGACGCGTTGCATTCTGGTCCATGTAGTTTTGGAAACCAAGAAACCGCTGTTTCAATTTTTTTTCGCTAAATTCACCCGTTGTTGTTTGTGTTGTATTTTAGCATTTTTATTAATACTTAATACATTTCTAAAAAATATCATATGTCTGGTTTACATACTATTGTAAGCATTTCAAGATATTAAATAAAGGTAGTCGCGCAATCACGTGTATTATAAATTAATTATTAAACCATTTTAAATACTCATTTACTTTTATCCTGTATTTCCTGATGGATTGTAAGCATTTTATATGTAGCGTAATAACTGCTCGGTGATAATCCCCGTTGCTCCCAATTGGTGTCCACCGCCACCGCCGAGAAGAAGCCAACGTAGACAACGCCAGCACGGCGAGATGCCTGTAAGTTAATAACTTTAAACGTGCCCTAGTTTTTCTTTTATTTTCTTCAATGCAACGCTTCACGTACGAGCGTGTAATAAAGCAGTTGTCACACAGGAAGCGAAAGACATGCGTCGTCTTGAATAACATCGAAGTGGTGCGCGTAGTGGGAACAAGCACATGGTGTCCTACTTGTGTTTGTAGATGTAGCTAGCCCTGCTTTAGCTTCGCGAGGCGCGGGGGTCGTGTAATTGCTGGAAAATCAGTAGCGCGTAGGGGAATCGTTTTATGGCCCAGAAATTAGTCTGCGTCGTTCTTTTCCTCCTTTCACAACGACGATTGCTCAACTTTCAACATTAAAAATGGCTAATCGAACGTTCTAAGCGTTGAAGTGAATTGCGACTATTTGGGTTCAATATTGATGGAAGTGTTCTTAACGTCCTGTTTGAAGCTTAAAACGTACTTAGCCTTTTTACAATAGGATTGTGTCAACAGTAAATACTGTCAAATTTCAGGATTGTATTCATAAAATGTTTAGTTTTTGTCAAAATAAGACATTTAAAAAGCATAAGATTAATTGACTTTCAAAGTACGGTGATTGTTAGTCGCAGCCCTAAATCAATAGCAACAATGCTTAACGCCGTATAGTGCTCCCTCCCTCTGTACTTGGAGACTGAGATACCTGTCTGAAGCACCGAAGCATTGACACCACATCGTCATAAATACTTTGTGGAGTGGATTAACTTGATAGCAATTCGTCCAGGCCCTGAAGTAGAATAGCTGTACTAAACCATATTGCACCCTCCAACGTACTTCCAGTTGGGCTCAGGTTTTAAGGGTGGTGTGCAGTGTTTTTGTCCACACACAGTATTGTGTGCTGCTTCCATACAAATCTGGTTTAATTTGTCCACGCCATTTGCTAGTAGTTTTTGGACAACAGTGGCTCCTTTTACAGCCTTCCAATGACATCCATTGTCTTGTTTCACTTGTCAACACATATTTTAGCATGTTTTAAGCAAATGATTTGCCTTCTGACAGATTTTGCCAAGTGAGCATTCTGCACTGTGCTCTTGCAATTACCAAAAAACATGTCATCTTTATTGGCAGTATGTTCATGTCGAGTATCTTAACTCCTGCAACTATGTGCTGCTCAATAACCTGTTATTACATTGTTAGCACGTCAGGAATGATATAATCCGTTGTATCTTTTAGTTGGCTAAAGACCTCCTTCAGCCATCTATTGAACATGAGAGAAGACAACACAAAAAGAAAAGACTTGTTCAGAGTCCAAACTCCTATTTTATGGATGTGAAGTGTCCAGGTAAGCATAGCAGGAGTGACATTTTAATAGTAAGGAAGAAATGCATTCATGCGTGTTCTTTTGTAGGCTGCTACAAGATCACTACTGTGTTCAGTCATGCACAAACGGTGGTTCTGTGTGTGGGATGCTCCACAGTGTTGTGTCAGCCTAAAGGAGGAAAGGCCAGACTCACAGAAGGTATCACCCCCAGCATGTAGTTATTGAGTACGTCATAAAAATCTGAGGCTGAACCCAAATTTTTCTTCTCTTTACAGGTTGTTCTTTCAGAAGGAAGCAGCATTAAAAAGGAACATTACTCCTACGGTGTGCATTGTTAAATCCCTGGTTGAGATGTCACTATGCAGAGAACGAAATCATGTTTGTGATTTTATAAGCTTGCTATCAATTATGCCTTTTATGCAATGGATTTGCAAGTCAATAAAAAGGTGGAAACAATTTTGAAGCACACTGGGAATTTTATTGATAAAACTTTTTTTTTTGCTATGACTGAAATGACCTTCACAGAAAGCATACAAAGTCGTCCTTTAAACTTCTTAACAATACAGCTGTCTGGGGAAAGTTAACATATAGAAAAGACTGGCAACAGGTACACAGTGTTTTTATGACAGAAACACACCTTGCATAACCATGTCAATCCATTCGTAGGAGCATTAAATAAAAGCAATATTTTCACCAAGTGGTACAGTTCAGTACATTTTAATTTCTTTCCTAAAAATGAGAACGTCACCTAAGAGCAGCCTTTGATTGCGGTGGTGGCTGGAGACCTATGGCAGCTCGCTCGCAACATAGGAAATGGAAATACTGGAATATGAAAGGTGAATTTGAGGTCCGCCACACACCGAGCGACGCGACTGAACTGGGCAATTGCTAACAAACCAGTGTCTGCAACCCTGTCTCGGAGATATCAAATAGCTGCAATGGAGAATTGTGAGCCCTCTTCTTTTCAGGCGCCACAGACATTAACTTTTATTGAACTATAAATGGTGAGATTGTCCTGCCTGTTGTAGCTATACGGATATAAGTTAAGGCAAGCGTGTGGACATTTAAGAGGCTGTTGGCAACGATCGCGCCATTCATTGACTGCAGTCATGAATTTCAGCAATGGAGACTCTCCATGTTTTACTTTTTAGTCACAGCTTACGTATTAAGAGAAAAAAAGCATTGGCTTAGTGCCAAGGAAATATTTTTGTAGGGGGGGGGGAAAAAAAAAAAGATTCAACATGGCATTTTTGTTTGGCCGTTCCATTTGTGATGCCGTTCCGTGGCAATTCAGATTTGCAACCACAGCAAAACTAATTGCACAACGACACACTGCACGACAGTTTCAGTAGCCTTTGGTCGCATAGGTCAGTGTGCCTTAAAAAAGTGATGATGGTGGAGATAGGATGCACTTGTCATTTATGTCAGCACTTCTTGTGGAATAATCTGGTGAAACAAAAAAAGCCAGATCCGTTTTTTTTTCTCAACTGAACTGTGCCACTTGGCTGTCAAGTTATGTTTCCATCTCAGTGGTTCCTGGAATAACCTAAAACTAGGGCGGGGTTGCTCAATCACCTCCAGTTGAAACACGGTGACGAAAGCACCCCCCCGGACCGGGTTATGCAATTTGTCCGCTGCGGGGCAGACTACTGTGTCTGACACTGCACCCCACCTCTGGGACCCTCCTCGTCTTCATCATAAGCTTCTCCGCCGTAGTTCCGCTGCTGTGAGCGCTCGTCCACCTCGCAGAGCTCCACCTCCTCCGTGTCGTCGGCGATCAACACGTCCTCCCTGGGGGGAAGCAGCCTTTCCAGCTGGAACATGAGATGCTCCGGGAGCCAGTGTTTTTCAGGAAACTCCACCTGTACAGTTCAGCATGATATTTCATACACCCCCCAAGCTTAAAACTTTCACGGTGGCAATGATGGTCTCACCTGGAACTGTATGAAGAGTTGTCCCTTTTCGTAAGGGCTGCGGTATACTGGCATGCCTTCGTTTTGAATGACCTTCGTGTCGTTGTTCTTTATAACTTCACCTTCAATCGGGAAAACAAAAAGACCTTAGTGGCGGCGAAAAGGGCGACTGTCAGACTTGCAGTATGTGTGTGTGGGTGGCACTCGCTTACCCGGTTGCGAGCTGATGAGGAGCGTTCTGTCGTCCAGAGTGCTGATGGCTTTCTTGAAGCCACACAGGGCCTCCACCAGTTTGATGCTCATGGTCATGGTGAGGTTATCGTCGCTCCGTTTGAAAAGGCTGTGCTCCTTCTGGTCCAGCACGATGATGACGTCGCCAGGCTCCAAGTCGGGCTCCTGATCGCCCTCGCCATGAAATGTAATTTTCTGACCGTCTCTCATACCTACAGTCAAAAATCATCCACTTGGTTTGTGTCCCACTGGATGGATGCTAACAATATTCATATCGTAAAAAAAAGATGACTTGCTGAATTGCACTACGTAACGTATATTACCCTTGTCAATGTGGACTTCAAGAATTTTCTTCTTGCGTTCCACTTTGTGCCCACTGCAGTTCTTGCAGCGGTCCTTTGAGCTAAACGACTCGCCCTGCCCGTGGCAATCTCCGCACATGCTCTGAATTTGCTGAATCATGCCCGGTCCTATCTGCTGCACCTTGATCTGCACTCCTCTTCCTTTACAGCTGGAGCATTTCTCCAAGGCACCTTTCTTACCACCGTAACCTGAACGCACACAAAATGCACTTGTGAATGATTACAGACGGACAAAAACAGAATGACAGATGCTAAAGGGAATGCATACCTTCACATTTTTCACATATGACATTCTTCTGGAGGGCCAGCTTCCTTGTGGAGCCGTTGTACATGTCCTCCAGCGTAACACTCAACTGGTGGACAATGTTCTTCCCTACAAAGTCGGCAGTGTGAGTTGACACTTGGAGGTCGGTTTCTTTATAAGATCTCAATTAAGAACTTACCTCTCCTCTCTCTCTGCATCCTTCCCCCGCCTCCAAAGAACATGTTGAAAATGTCCATGGGAGATGACCCTCCACCCATGCCGCCTTCTTTAATTGCTTGTTCCCCACCTTGGTCATACAGATCTCTCTTTTTTGGATCCGAAAGCACATCATATGCTTGCGATATAAGCTTGAACTGCAGGAGGGGGGAGAAAAAAAAGAGCATCACATATCATCACCAAAACACTTCTGAATGCTAATAGGGGACTGTGCAGTTTTTTTTAACTGCTAGCAAGATTCGAATGTAGTCACTCCTGCTTCTGCCCCCTCGAGGCTCTGACCAGTCTCACCCCCCGTAATCAGGCACGTTTTTAATTTAACACATTTTTTCATTGACCTATATTTTTTTTTGTGGATAATGTTATGTGGCTCCCAAAAATATTGACTATACATTTTATTAGGGATGGGCGAGTATCGCGTTCACGCAAAGGCTCCCAATACCAGTCAATGGCGCCCTCTCGTGGCCGTTTTGCGATCATGACGTAAATGGCTTGCATGACAGACACATTTTTCTAAGTGAAATGCATCCACATAAATCTTCTCAAATGTCCATTACGCAATTTATGTAATTCCGTTTATATTAATGCTTAGCGTACATTGTTCGTGTCTTGTACCAACATTATACATCAAATTGATTGGTAAGATGACTTTCTCCATTGCGGTAGATCATGCACATTTACCTTTCATTATTCAGTGCATTAAAATAAGGTCTATTTTTCAGGTTGAATACAGTAGAGGGAACATAATAGTATATTATACAGAGTGTTATACTCGCCTGTTACCTACTTTTTTTGTACTTGTAAGACCGATTTTTTTGTAACATATACTGTATATTTCCTCTGGAGGGTTGTATTTTAGCTTGAACCTTTTTCATTTTGTTTGCTGTTTTTAACAGGTAAAGAAAAATGTGTATTCATCAACATCGGCTGATTTGAAATACTGACTTCACTATGATACATTTTTCGGTTTTATCGCTCAGCCCTATTTTCCAACTTGATAATGTGATGCTTAATTAATAGTTGAACCGGTATTATTTTGCACTTCAATTTATTTTGAACAAAGACTAGACTTAAATGAGTTGTCTGCTTCATTTTGCACTTTTGTTATTTTTTGACAAATGAATCCTCAATCTAGAGTGAGTTGTTTGGAATTTAAATTCTGTATTGCAGAGCAACTGTTTCCACTTTTTAAAATCAGAATTAAACGAAAGATCTGCCATTTTTTGCAGTGTTTGGAGATCTATGTATTTTTTTCAGGTGATAGTGGACAAGTTTGCAAAGCAGCGGTTGAAATGTTGAATGTTGACTATTAAACATTTACAACGGCTGTGTCAGGGCTTACGACGAATGTCTTGATTTGCATAACTACTTGTCATGATATCGTGTGGTATTTCAAGACTGAATCATAGCGCTAATAAGTCAGTCCTTACTGTACATAGAAAGAGGAGCTACCAGATCATTCCATAGGATGTAAAATTAGAAGGGGGCATTCCTAACAACACGTCGGCGGCCACAGAGAAAATCGAAAAGTCTATAATTAGCCCGAGCTCACCTTCTCTCCCTCGTTAGGGTTCTTGTCCGGGTGATATTTTAATGCCAGTTTCCTGTAGGCTTTCTTTATTTCGTCCGCAGACGCTTTGGATCCCACACCAAGGAGATCGTAGTAGCCTGTTTCGCGAACCATGATGACAGCCTTGGAAAAAAAAAAACAGTCCCGGTTGTTAAGTGGTCGCCATGCTAACGTGAGTCAACACCATTGACGCTAGCAACCAACCAGGCTTGGGAACCCAAAGCGCTTTTTTGAAAGAGAAGAAAGTCACATATAACACACAAATAACAGAACATGATAGCATAACGGAAATAAAATAATAATATAATGAAGTTAGTCGCAGTCAATTTGCCCTCTAAAAGCATTTTGGTCGTTATCGGTTATCACGTGCGTTAGCCTTTCTCGTGTATAACACCGTGCTAACCCCGAAAAATGCGAATTAACACATTCACGAAAGAGCTACAAAGCGTTTAACATCGATCGATCTACCTACTGGTGGTCTTATTGTCTTCTTCGAGACTAGTGTGGAGTCTGCGTGAAGTGATGCCGGTTCCTAGGAAGATGGCTGGTCCTTATAGCTGCTCTTCAGCGTGGAACTTTCTGGAGAGATCGAGCTGGATGGGCCGGAGGAAATCGAGTACGGAAGCCCGGAATTAATTGCGCTATTTTTGTTTTTAAATGGAAAGATTCTTGTTATTTGATTATAAAATCTAATCAAAGAATTGACACTCACATTTAGATCATGTTAGAATGTTCACTTAACAGAGAGTGAACATTTTTGCATTTATATAATGGGTGGACGGAAATACAATATCAGTGGTGGGAACTAACGTCGGCTACCGTTACTGTACTTAGATTCTCCAGTTATCTGTACTGAAGTATTTCTTTATTTGATGACTTTTTATATTTACTACAGTTGTAAACGGGTTATCTGTGAAGGAGGATACTTTCCACTCCTTCCTTTGTCAAAATGTGCAACGCAAATTACATTTTATGTAAATGGGGAGAAGAAAAAGATCTTGATTGATCTGGATGGATGAAGTGATTGACTGATACTGTATCTTGGGGACATAACAGGCAGTAAAAACAAAAGGCAGCAGCAACATGAAGGATGATAATGTAACATATTCAAAGAAGCAAGATAGTCCCCAACCATGTTCTTATTTACAAGTTTGCTGTCGGAAACATGTTTTCAGAGTTCAGCCATCGCAAGCTCAGCCTTGGTTAGAAATAAAATGTGATGTACGATGATGTCCCCTCGCCCCTCACTATATGTAGTATGTAAGTTAAAAAAAAAAGAGAGGAACTATTTTGTGTGCAAAAAGTTTCTTATTTTGCTAAATGTTTAACATAGCTATATTTGTTTTTGTTTAAAAAAAATCTGTACTCAAGTACATTTCAAAGTCTACTTATGTTCTTAAATGCTGGGCTTTTTTTTGTCAATATTGAGCACGAAATGAAACATTAACTTAAAACTTACGACATTAGAACCAAACTCCTGTGACAAAGATATGGAAAGCTGCTGGATAAAATCACCAATGAAAGAACTTCAAGTTAAACAGGAAAGGACTTGGCAAAACAAGTCAAACCTTGCAACCAATGTACATGCATGACCTAAGTCAGCCCAAATTTGACTGAGAAAAAGCATGCAACCATTTTTGTAACTCTGCTAAGGAAGTGAAACTTGTGGTTTCATTTAAGGGAAAAATCTGTGAAAGTCACCCAAGTGTAGTTAATAATGAATGAGAAAACATGAGCTGAAAAAGTTGAATGGGATGTCATATATAAAATGTACAAACGTTACACAATCAAACTAGATTTCTGGCAGCAAAAAGCAACGTGACTGACAGTGTACGAAAACTTTAAGTTGGGTCCAATTTTGCCAAATGAAAACAACAGAACAAACAGTAGGTTAGATAATCTCCCATCGCTCATCACATTGCTGACCTAAAATACCATCTGAGCTCTCAATGGAGCATGTTTCTTTTTTAGGAACGTGGAAACAGTACATGGAAATTTGTTTTGTGACCTCCTGATGAGACCTCGATCACAGAGGACAAGCTGATGCTGTCAGTTGACCTCCCTATTTTAAATCACTGAATCATCCACATCAACTGTACCTACGACGTCATGACAATGGCCGTTTATTCTGGTGAACATAAATGTCAACATATTGTACACAGCCAGTACCAGTCATAAGACACAAACACATTTGTTCAGCTCAAAGAATAAAGTCAGACAGTTCTGATGTCATGTTGGCATTCATGATGTAATAGAGTACATTCATAATATCTGACACAAAGCTGCGGAAAAAAAAAAAAACAAAAAACATAAATCAACCTTTCCTGTCCTGGTGTCAATCTTATATAATGATCTGAAGGTATCATTTATTTTTACATTAATAATAACTCGTGACTTTAATTCAAGTAGTTCTATTGTCGGATATAAACTATAGCAGTTATAGACACACCAACATCATCATAATAACAGTCCCCTTCATATTACTCTTAAATATGCATACTGAATACAAAATAAATGTAACTGAAGAAAATGCCTAGTTAAGATATTCAGGATTACAAATCCTGAGACAGTTTCTGTTGTAGTTTCAAGTGTGAGCAAAAAAAAAAAAGAAGAGGCACACGCTGAACTAAGACTATTAGAGATCTCGCACTCGTTGACATATTGCCTCCGTGAATTCGGAGCACTTTGACTTCCCTCCGAGGTCTCCGGTGAGCACCTAGACCACAGAAAACAAAACCGCGTTACCATGTGCGCATGGTGTTAAAACGTGGCAAAAAGGACGATGTTGACCTTTTTGTCCCGAATGGTGTCGAAACAGGCGGTCTCAATCCTCTTTGCGTGGTCATGCAGGCCCATGTGGCGCAGCATCATGACCGCACTGAGCAGCAGGGCGGTGGGGTTGGCCATATCCTTCCCCGCGATATCCGGGGCAGTTCCATGAACCTGGAAAAAAAAAAATTCTCATCATTCTTTGAAACTGCTTTTAAATAAACAGTGTAAAAAGAATACGAGCGAACATACAGACTCAAAAATGGCAACACCATTGGTGCCGATGTTTCCACTGGGGGTCACTCCGAGTCCTCCAATAAGTCCAGCACAAAGATCACTGAGGGTAAATAGTAACACATACATACCTACTTGTTAATGTGTCGACAAAGTCCTCCTGTGCGTGGGGTTTCTCCAGGTACTCTGACATCATCCAGCAATGTAAAATCATACATGCCCCCATTTAAATGAAGATAGTAAATTTCCCATAGATGTGAGTCTGTGCTTTTTGTCTACATGTGCACTACGATTGACTGGGAGCGAGTTCCAATGTCAGGTGGGATCGACTCGAATGAGGACAAGCGCCATTGAAAATGGATGGCTGTCATAGCATTGTCGTCCAATCAGATTGCTGTGATGTCATAAAATAAAATAAAATAAAATACTGTAATCTCATCCCTACAATACTGCTCGGAGCCACTAGAGGGCACATTTGAATGGTACCAATGCATTGCTGAATATGTTATTACATTTTTCCCCCCCCCCTGCAATTTCAATTTGTCACTACATGTATTTGGCGTATACATTGGAAATTGTGTATCTTTTTACCTCAAAATATCTCCATACAAATTTGGCATCACCAGAATATCAAACTGTGTAGGATCTTGCACCATCTGTAAATTGAGAATTAACAACAGTGCTAATGGGTTAGGATAAAAAAAGAAAAGAAAAAAAAAAACAATTATTGGAAAAAAAGTGCTGGGGGACTTACATTAAGGCACACAGTATCCAAGTACATCTCAGTAAATTTAATATCTTTGTTCCTTTCGGCAGCCTCTCTGCATTTTCGGAGGAAGAGCCCGTCTGACATGCGCCTAATATTATCAGAGATGATTGATGAACAATGCAGTGAGGTATACAAATTACTTCGGTAGTCATTTGGATCGAGTGTGACTTACATAATGTTAGCCTTATGAACAGCAGTAACACTGGTCCTCTTATTGTTCCTTGCGTATTCAAATGCATACTCTGCAATGCGTTGGCTGGCTTGCTCTGTGATGAGTTTAATACTCTGCACAACTCCATCGACGATCTGCAAATACGCACACGCTCAGCAATCACGATGAAGTAAACTCTGGACTAAACTCAAACAAAATATGAAGTTCTCCTCAATTCAATGTTGGAATACAAATAGTGTCAATAGAACAAATGGTTAAAATAATTTTATATAAGGCATTTACCACATGTTCAATCCCACTGTATTCCCCCTCTGTGTTCTCCCGAATGGTGACAAGGTTGACGTCCGTGTAGGGCGTCTTGTAGCCCTCGATGGAAACACAAGGGCGCACGTTGGAATAGAGGTCAAAGGTTTTCCTCAGGAGAAGATTCATAGAGGGGTGACCGGCAGCAATTGGGGTCTTCAAAGGACCTGTAGACAACAAAATCATTCACCATTATTTGACCCTTGAACCGCCACTTTTGGAGGCACGATCATGACTGGCGTTTCGTGTTTTATTATGCCGGCAGTTTCAGGTTATTATATTTTTAATACTTGAAACTTTCTGCTTTTGACTCTTCTCCTCAATGATTGAAATGAAGGCAACCTAGACCACGTTTGTATCTTACATGCTCTTCTTGTAGCTTGGATTTACAGCAGGTGCTTTTTAATGTGTTTGTGTTTCCTACAAGAGTGTATATATATGTCACATATCAGTGTATTTCAATGACAACAAGCTCGCACTGACGCGCTTTATCCGAGCTGAACATTTACACTCTGACCATGCAGTGTAAATTAAATTGAGCCTCATTGGATTTTGTAAGAATATACTGGTGACCCAAGTGTTCTGGTCAGCGATGGTAAAGTAATCGCAATCAATGTTATCTTACCTTTCAGACCCATTTTGTTTCTGTCCATTGACTCTTTGGCATCTGGAGGAATCACCCACTTTCCACCAGGACCTTTAATGGCTGTAACATTCCTCTCCTCCCACTGAATGGGTGCCTGTAATGGAACACATAATATAAAGGAATGATTGAAGGAGTAATAGTGAGGGTTTAATCAAGTCATTCTTCAGTACTAACCTGGGCTGCTTCAAATATCTTCATGACAGCAGTGGAGATCTCTGGTCCAATTCCATCGCCGGGGATCAGAGTAACAGTTTGCATCTGAAAGGCAGGTCAAAAGGAAAGTGTCATAAAATGACACTTCCAATAAATTCCAACATACAAATATTGTCATTCTCCACGGGAGCGACATACCCCGCGGGAGAATGTCCTGGTCTCTTTCCTCAGGGCTCCTGCCACATGCTGAACCTGTCAACCACAACAGACATGAGATATTTGGTGAAGTGTATAAATACTCAAATGCCACCGTGTGTCAAAGACAATACCTAAAATACCAGCTCGTAAGTTTGTATATGGTGTTCGGTATAAAAAGAAATGTACAGTCACACAACTCATTGCTATATAATTATTGCACACAAACAAAAAAAAGTAAGATTCCTGCCTAATATATATTTAAGGCCACGATTGTGTCAACAGGGTGTACCAAAAGCTCGAAACACAAACTAGCATCAGTATTTTGGAATCAATAGAAAGTGGCCCAACAAACTACACAGCCCCTACCTGTTTG